GCAGGCTCCAGTACCCAGTCCGCCGGGAAGCCATACCTCTTGAAGCAGCGTTCGCACTTGCCATAGGCCTCTTGCTCCGTCATGTAATCAAGCACGGAGAGCTTCTGGATCTTAGAGGCCGCCGGTCGCCACCCGCACCCCACAGCCGTGCCTTCGTCATTCAGCAAGTGGATTCTGGACTGGCCGGCGTTGCCTGTGCGTTTGACCGCCGCAACAACGCGAAGGGGGAAGTCCGGGGTGGTGGGAAACAGGTCCTTGGCCTTCACTGGCGTGTCCTCGGGTCCCTGTTCCACCAATGACCATGAGCGAGTAGATGGTGCGCTCCCTGAGGGTACCGTGGGGGATGCCTCCCCTTCCCTTTCGGTTTGGTCCCGGCGGCCGTCCGGTCCCGCATCCGTGATTTCCACTGCTGGCGGCGGGAGCGGGTCCGCCCAGTCCGGGTGGTTCAGGTCCTCCCTGCGTTCCCTGCCTGGCCCGAGGTTCAGGTTGACCTTCTGCGCTACCTGGCCCCAAATCTCCACCACGACATTGCGCTTCTCCCGCACATAGACGTCTGCTGTGCTCTCTGTGAGCCAGTTGCCTAAGTACATGCGGCGATCCCGGGGGATCCCCATCTGGAAAGCGCAGTCCGGGATGAACACTCGGAATGAGTGCCACGTCAGCGGCTTCACCAACCCCGGGGTAACTCCCCAACGGAGAATCGCATCCTTGAGCCTTTTGTGGTGTTGAAGGTCTCGGGATCAGCCCTGCAAAGTCTTTGCTCACTGTCGGGAGCAAGTAGTCCATGTCCTGGAATGCCTCCTCGGATACCAGTCGCCGGACCGAGGCCACCCAGGTAGTCCACCAGGGGATCCCCGTGAAGCTGTACTTCGGAGCAATCAAGGGGACCGGGTTGCGGTTGATCCGTGCTGCTGAGACCGTCTTGGTCTGCCAGGCCTTCAGCTCCACGGTGTTACTGGTGTGGGTAAGGTCCTTGGGGTGAACATGCTGGAGGTCATTGAAACGAGCGCTGCATCCGACTTGGAATCGGGCGAAACCCAGGATGAATGCGTCCAGTGCCTCGTGTCGGCACCCTGGTGATCGTAGCCAGCCCCTTCCTCCAGAGCCCATATGACCTCTTTGCTGGGGACCACCGCCTTGCGCTGCGGCCGGGTGACCGTGTCCGTGAGCGCCTCTGCCAACGAGCTCTTCTTGGACTTGAGGCGATGGAGCTCGTCTATCTTCAGCATACCGAAGGTCTTGGAAAACCATTTGAGGGTGTTCCACACCTGCCGTAGCTTGCATGGGGCGACCTCCTCTTCGGAGAGCTGGTTGAGGAGAGAGCGGACATGTCGTTCCTGCCATGGAATAACCGTGAAGCCTCTCTTCCGGAGACTCTCGTAGACCAGGCAATGTTGTCTGAGTGTCCGGAACCTGTTGTCCCCCAGGAGGTCCAATGCCTCCTTGCGGAAGTCCTCCCCCAGGATGTCCTGCATGTACGCGATGTGCTCCGCAAACGGGGCGAAGTGGGCGAGGAGCCGTTCCGCCCATTTCCCGCGCATATGGAGTTCCATTGCTCGCTGGGTCGTGGGCTCAAATGTCCCCATCTCCTTGAAAATGTAGCTCCACTCCTCCTTGTTGCGCGGCTTGGGGATGCCCAGGCTCTCCAGGAAGGGCACCGCCTCCTTCCTCATCTGGAGGATGTTGCCCATCCACTTGTCCGAGGTCGAGCCCTCCGCATTGCGGCCCCGGCGTTGCGTCTTCACAATCAACGGGAAAGTGGTCCAGGCCGAGTAGATGTACTTGAATGTGAACCTGTGGGCGTACACGCCCGTAAGGCTCGGCAGGTCCCACGTTCTCGTCTGCCTGGTCCAGAACACCCCATCACCTTTCGCCCAGAAAATGCCCACCACCTGCTCAGGCGCCGGGCGCTCGCCCCGGTTCACCTGAGCTCGGATCTCCAAGGCCGTGTAGATGACTGGGTCGATGTGGTCCTGCTCGCACGTGAGTGGGTGAGTCCTGCGCTCAAGGGCCAGGAGCTCCTCCGGCGCGAGCTTAAACTGCTGGTCCGCGCCCCGGGGGATCTCACCGCTTGCGTGCTTCTTCCAAATCCCCCCAAACATCCGGAGCTCTCCCTGGTGCCGCTTCATTGCCCAGAGGATAAGGGACAGCTTGCCATCCTCCGAGTCCAGGTCTTGCTGTGACATTGGCTGATCCCCCCCGGGGCTAGTGGCACCCTTAGGGGGGTCGGTGCCACCAGATCGGGCATCTCCTCCAGCAGTGCCTCCTGGTGCCACGGGTTCTGCGACGCTCTGAGCATCCTGATGTAGGGGACGTACTTCTCCTTGATGTCCCCCACCTGGGGGATGTCCTCGGGGTCATCCAGCTCTAGGGGGCAGAATAGGCCCCTCTCCAGGGCCTGCCTGAGATCATCCGGCCACGCCGACACTGCCAAGGGCTGGAGAGTGTGGTTGAGCATCCATGCCTGGTTGGTGTCCTGGGTTCGCTTGTTTGCCGCCTGAGCCTCCTGAATGGAGCCCATCGCCTCAGCCAACGCCTGGCTGGCGTCCACGCCCTTCCCCTCCAAGTACTGGTCTCTCAGCTTGGCCTTGAAACGCTCCAGGTTGACCTTCCTGAGGGCGCGGTCATTGGCCACCTCCTCTGACGGCAGGGCCTGCATGCCCTCCTGGAGAGGCGCCAGGATAGCCATCTCATTGTCCAGCATCTCCTCCGTGACCAACTCCTTGTGCCGCTGGCCGAGGCCTCCTCCGGAGTCGGTTCCCGATGCTCCCGCAAGGCCTTATGCAGCTCCTCCTTCTTCCTGATCGCCTGGTCCACCTGGGGGTGGTAGAGCTGGAAGCTCTGAGCCTCCGCCTCCTTCCGGGACCGCTGCACTTTGACCTTGATCTCCGGACCTTCAACGCCTCGTCGTCCGCCTCCATGGACAGGATCTCCTGCCGGATGTCCACCCGCCTGTTAAGCGGGACCGCATCTGCCATGGTGATCTCATCTGCCGTGTCCGTTTTTGGAGGGGCTCTCCCCAAGACCGTGCCGTCCACCAAGTTGCGGTCGGCCTGTGCCCGGGTACCACCGGGGCCAGCGGCACCCAGGCTTCCCCATTCCCTCTGCTGGATCCAGGTCGGCTTGCCCTCCACGATGAGCAGGTTGTAGGTGATGCCGTCCGCCTCATAGGTGGCCGAGGGTGCCTGTAATCGGAATGGCCTGCATCGAGCCTGTGCATGCGCTGGGTGCCGATACACGCCTTGTTCCTCTGGAACTGCGAAGCCCAGACCTCGGCGGGGCCAGGGGCACCCAAGCCGGAAGTCGGTGTGGCAAATGCCACATGGAGACGCTCCAGTGCACTGGAGAGGTCCTTCATCACATCGGTCGCCGAAGATGATGTGGGGGCCTCGGGCTCGTCCAAAAGCAAGCCTGCCGCCACTGCCGCCTCCCGTGTGCGAATGTCCTGGGCCTCCTGGCTGGCCATTTCAACCTCCTCCACGGTGAGTGTCTGGTCCTCAATCAGCTCAAAGGAAGTTGCCGAGGTTGCCGAGGAAGCCATTGCTTGGTCGGGGTTAAGTTCGGAAGTGCCACAGATCAAACTATTTCAAACAGCTTGGGTTCCAGGAACCCAGATCAATGCTTGAGCCAAAATGGCACATGCCATTGTGGTCAAGCATTCCAGACACAGTTCATGTTTCCACATGCGTTTCAACATTAACAAAATATGTATACCAGTGGTGCAATGATGGGTTTGACGACTTGCAGAACCCCCCGAAAGGTAGCAACAACATGGACCCTTTGCGGGGCCAGTATTCCATTTCAGTGGGTTCGGAGTCCGAGAAAAAAAAAGGACAGCTTACTCATTACCAGCTCGCTTCCTTTCGGGGAAATCCAAAAGCAAAACTATAAACCGCAGACTTCATCATTTCATGGCTGCTTTTCCACTTTGCTGGCAACTGATCCACTGGGCAATTTGTACAATACTGCCAAAACTTGAAAAGAAATGGATCGCCAAAGAAAGAACAAAACATGGGTTCCGCTCGTTTTAAACAATTACTAGGAAAGCTCGAAACTCATACTATAGGCAGATCGCCGATTTCCAGCCAAGAGGGTTGTCTAAAACCCCTAAAGGCTCGATGACCATCTCTACTGGATGGACAGAATCCTGCACCAGTTGGATGGATCACGCCATATGAGTACTGGTTCATAAACCTCTGCATACTTTGTGCACCGACAGTATTATAGGCGAATATAGAGACAAAGGCACAAGAAAAGCGCCCCTTCCCTTGTGATTCCAATCAACAAAAATAGTAGGCAACTATCATGATATAAACTGCGAGGCAAAAGTATTAAGGATTACCTACTATAGGAAGCGGAGAGCTGGATAACATACCATGCCGCCCAACAATCAAAGTGGAAGAAACGGCCCGCAACTCGCTGGGTGGTTGGGTGTCGTCTCCGTTAATGCACACAGTGTTGACTTCGAAAGCAAACCCTTTGGCAATTCGCAAAAGGTCTTTTAGGCTCACTTCTTGCATGAGCAAAAAACAAATCCAAACTTTGTATTTACCACTAAAATAGTCTGACCACTAAACAGGTCACCATCGGGATTGGCAAAAACAAGTAAGTGTACTTGTGATTTACCACCAACATGGTCCCAACCCCAAAGTGACTAAGCACCAACCCTGTAAATTCCAAAAGCTTGGCTTGGTGGTTTGGATGTTAAGGGGGTACCTTCCAAACCAATCCAAAACCACCAAGGGGTGAACTTAATTCCGCGTAATCCCAAAAGCAAACCAACTCAAGTCCGAGTCCCGGAACTCAAAACTAGGTCCTCCAGTAGAGAGGCTAGAATAAGGGTAGCCTTTTTTCTGTAGTCTATTTTAGTAGAAAAACCCACCCTCCAAAAAATGGGGTAAAAGGGCACTACTGCGAAACCTAGAAATGAACATCTGCGAGTGAGGCACGCCCTCGATCCGCGAGAAAAAAACACCTCCGCTACGCTCCAGGCGCCCGGCCCTTGAACCTCCAGCTGCGCAAACTCCCGCAGCAGCTTGGAGGCTTCGCAGGCGCGCGCCTGCGGCTGGGCCCAACAAAACCGACGCCACGGGGGGAGCCTGGGTGTGTGTTTGTGTGTGTATCTGGTTTTTAGGTTTGCGTGTATCTGGTGTAGCGTGTTTTGTGTGTGTGTGAAATGGCGGTTGTCTGTGTGTGTTGCTGTTTTCCGAAGACCCAACAAATTTGGCGGTCTCTGTGCTTTTTAGGTTAGTACAGCCAAAGGGGCGTCCACCATTTTGAGAAACTCCGGTCTGATTCACGAAACCTGGTTCTCACCAACGTCTACCCAAAACCATATAATACTGTTGTAAGACCTCGGAAGTTAGCACATGTGTGGGACTGTCAGCGACCTCCCAGAAAACGAACCACCCAAAAACCAGCATATTGACCTATTGCTTCTCAGGTTCCTTCAATGGGCCCTCCACGGTTTTAGTCGAGATTCACCCTCACTCCGATGCTCGAGTGAGGAAACTCAAACATTTGGCTCAAAAGGTGACTGTGAGTCACAAGAAAAAAACGATCGCATTTGAACTGCTCTACCCAGAACCATGCTTCAGAAAACTTCAAAAGCGGATATCCGCACCCATTTATGGCAAGGGGACTAGCCCTTAACCTGCATGTACCCGTGGCTCGGTTTTGAGCACGCGGCTCAAGCCCAACAGAACCATCCGCGCCTTAAAGTACTTTTCCTCCACATCTCGCGGCAGTGACGCCTATGCTTGGCGGGTTGTCAAACGTTTGGGGACGTCTCTTCCTTCGGGTATTTTGTTGAAAGCACCGGCTACCTCCAAAGGCACCGGCTCGCCCAGGGTTTGTCACACTAGCTGAGTTGGGCTAAGGCGCGCCGCAAAAAGTTTATGGTTTGCTGGCGACTGGAAAACAGTCATTCCCAAAAAAAGAGTTTAAGGAGAGTTTGCTGAAACCAAAGAGGTCAAGACTTGCTGTCATTGGCCCATGTTTAAAGGGTCATGGAGACTCCAGACCCTAGGCTTCCAAAGGCGATTAAAAGAATGGTCGAGGTCGCTAGACTGTTTTTTGCCGAAAGACCGTTTTTTTGCGCCTGGCCCTGATCCAAGAAATCATGGTGTTTGTTGCCCAAGAAGTGTTTAGGGTCAGGTCACTGACAGTCACGCCGCCCTCATCCTCCCAGCTGCAATTGACTGCGCCCAAGCCACTCATTCCCCGGCTTGTCAATTGTATGGTCACATCACTTTTCAAAATCGCCAGGTGTCCCGCCTACCGTATATGCGCGCATAGATTCTTCGCATGTTGGTACTGAAGTCCGGCTTTTTTGAACAATGATGAAAACTTAGTGGCTTCGGGGCATCGCTGCCGATCAGGCATGCGTTGTGGGCTCCTGGGAGTATGGTTGTCCACGCCTTTAAATGTACTTTCCACGCGTTTAAATGTACTTTCCACGCTAAAAAACGTACTTTCCACGGTTTGTCCATGGTTTGTCCACGCCTCATTTTCTTTCGAAATCGATTAAACAATCAACCAACGACACGCGATCAGACACTGTGGAGCTGTGGACAAGAAGCGGAAAGCGCGCACGGGCATGTGAGTGACAAGCCAACTTGACACAACATGGTGACGGCGTGTGATTGCAACGGGATGAAGCGACTTTAAAACATACTTAGCTTATTTCACAAAAGGCAGCAATAAAGTTCTTCAACCCCTCACTATCAGAAGCGCGCGGGGATGTCAGGAGCCAGCCGTCTCAAGTTGCCCAAGTTTGTCTAGACCTACTTTTAATGGTCGAGGGACATTACTTTTATAGCCTTTCGTTTTTAAATGGTCGAGGCTATTTAAAGAATAGTCGAGGAAGCATAGGGCAGATAGTTTACAGGTTAGTTTAAGGTTAGCTGACTGAAACCAAAAGCGACCAAGCAAGGTACCCTGACAGGTGAAGCATCCAGTCACATCCGGGCAAAGGCACAAAATGAGCCTGACCTTTGGCATGAATGGAGGGGGCCTCTGTTTGACTTTGCAGGCGTGGTTGGCTTCCTCACTTTGTGCTTTTGTCCGCGGAAAGATCAAGCAAAACACATATTTCCTGGACTTGGATGTTTGGCCAAGTTAGTAAGCGGTTAGCAACTGCCTCAACCATCATGGCACCCACTGGGTCAGCCTCTGCACACCTGCGCCAGCAACTAGCTCAACATCTGCTGGGTCAGCTTCTGTGTCTGGACAGCAACTTTGCTCGGATCAGTGGTGATGTTGCCAGCCACCTGGGTTGTAACCCAGCAATAACAAGGTTCACTCCACTTGGGTGTCTTGTAACCGGGCTAATTACGACATAGGTTGCCAATCACTGGCCGAACACCCAAGTAGTGCTAGAACTGCTTTATGTAAAACCAACAGGGGGGGCCGGAAAAAAAAGGGGGGGAACAAAAACAAGGTGCACAAAGTAGGTCGTCAGCGAGACACCCAAGTGGAAGCTTAAGTGTAAGTTCCTCAAAGACCGCTTTCCCCAAGCATACCAAGACCTGGGTTCTTTGGTCTTCGATTTGCCGAGCAAACGTAAGTTGCGATGGTAAGTTCTAAGAACTCGGCAACCCCTGCCACCCCCCGTTCAGTGGAGTTGACAACTTGTCTAGGTCCTCCAGTAGAGAGTTTAGAATAAGGGCACCCTCCCCTCCAAGTAATGTTGACCCAGGATTAATAATTAGGGAGTGTTCCCTCCAACAGTGATGAATCCCCACTAAAAGCGGACACCCCCTATTAATCAACCAGGGGTTTATGAATCTGGGGTTAACATTAAGTCAGCCTGGTGATGGTGATAAGTCCCCGTTCAGTGGGTTATAACCAGGCCTACTAACCACTTACCTGACGTACCCTGCCCCTTTCAGTACCTGGAAGTGGGCTTCGGGTAGTCACAGAGCTATGGCCTGCCCAAAACCCCGCGACGACTCTCGCGAGGCCCAACGCTGAGATGGGGGCATTGGTCCGCTGCACCGGCGACCTCAGTGCGACATTCGATTGGGGCTTCACCCAAAAACGTGACGGATTCCCACCTTCCATTTGCTTAAGCCCCCTGCAAAAAAAAGTCCAGTAGTAAGTAGTGATCGATTCCTTTGAAAACCGACAAAGGAAAACAAACATATTCCTAAACAAATGCAAGCCACTAGAAGGGGACAATGTCCTCTTAATCCGGGGGTTAAGATTCGAAAATTAGGGATTTCAGCTTGGATTGCTGAGCTGAGTCGCCGATCCGGCCAGAAAAAGTTCAAACTGCTCGGTCCTTGACTCAAACTATGACAAAACCTGCTAACATTACACCGGCAAGAGACCCGAAACCGTGTTGGGGAAGGCGTGAACATAGAAAAAAAACATTGAAAAGCGAATGCCAGCTCAACGGGTGAAAGTGGCGACCCCTGCCGGAAAGGATCGCCAGAATCGCCTCGTACGCACCTTGTGCTCCTCCCCCAAAATATGGGTGTGAGTTGGGTTCTCTCACTCGGTGAAAGGACGTTGACATGGACAAAAAGCGGGCCAGAACTAGAGAACCAACGAGATTCGCTTTGAACAAGCTGATAGTTTTTGTGCTAGACTGGTTGACCCCGAAAGGGTTTCTGAAACACGGCCTTTTGTTGTTTGTCGGCGAAGAGGAAACCAAAGAAGAATCCCACCTTATCCGCTCCGGGGCACTACTGTCCAAACAGCCCTCACAGGATCGACCGAGGCATCGGCATCGTGACCGACTTGGACGGTTTCGAGCGCACAGTCACAACCTGCGCGCTGCCGTCGAGTCGACATGAGTTCGGATTCCGGACTGCAGCCCTAGGGTTCAACCGATTCCCATTCAACTAACGGCCCAAGGGGACCCATAGATGACAATCCTGAACGGTGAACACTGGTGGTGAAATGAACTGCATTGTTTTACGATAATCAACTTTACTAAGTACCCTGCCCCTGTACTGACCAGCTGAGTTGACTGGCGAGAATACGTGCGGGCTTTTTAGGCATTGACTACAATGATGAGGACATGTGACACCGAGAAAGGGGACCCCTTCCCAAACAAAAAAGGCCAAAAGGCAGGCACTGGGCAAACTGGGGCGGGTTCCGCTCACTCCGAAGTTACCATTCACCACGCTCACCTAGGTCCTCCAGTAGAGAGGTTAGAATAAGGGTACCCCTTTTTTCTGTAGTCTATTTTAGTAGGGGAACCCTCCCCCAAACAAGGGTAAAAGGGCTTTGGCGGAAAATGCAGGGGAAACCAAAAGGACAACCACCGGTTTTGATCTTTTTTGGGGGATCCTCTAAAAAAGACACACACACACACACACACACCAAATAGGCCCAGGTGGAAACTCCAAATATGCCAGCTGGTTATTTCGAAAAGCCCCGGAACCCCCTACAACCGAATCTCTGGAACCCTCCCTCAAAGCTGCTCTGACGACCAGAGCTGATTTGGGCCTGTCGACCCTACAGCTTTCAGCCGAGAAAAATGGAATTCGGGCAGGCTTCAACAGAGCATCGCAATTTCAACTTTACGCCCATACCCTTGGGCCCCTGTTTGGCTTCAGGTTGTCCTAAAACCCACTTCCGAGGTGAACAAAAAGCATATGGCTTGCCCCAAGTGTGGACGTTTGGACCCTCAGACCGAGTTCTAAAACTTCTGAGGGTGGAGTTACACATTGGCTCGTTCCAAGTGTGGTCCACCCATGTAGGGAATCTCAAAATGTATGCTATCGGTACCCATTGGTCGGGAAGGCTCTGTTACTTGATGTGGTTGGCCACCCGGGCTTTTGCACCCACTGATAACAAGCTCAATTCCACTGGACGGGGGAATGATAAGTGGGTTGTAAACGATAGGTCCTTCTTGAAAAATAGATGGGTTTCCCTGGTAGATGATTGAGCCACCATGTAAACCAGGGCCCTGAAAGATTCCAAACCAACCAAACACACCAATGATCACATCTTATAAGCTTGGCGAATCGAGCTTCTTTCACTCGACACTCCCAGGCATCGGTCTGAGTGAATTGACTTGCCCAAAGTCTCCACCTTATGATGGTTCTGAAAGAAAATGGTAAACTGATGGATTCCCGAAAAGTCCACTTGTGCTAGTGTAAGCCCCCTGAAAAAGTGCAAGACATGTATTTCCAGTAGTGCTAGATTTCCTTTAAAAAACCAACAAGGACAAAAAACAATCTTACGCAAATGGAAGGCAACATGATAACAAATAAGCATAAAAATAGACAAATCAGACGCTAGGTTGCAATGACTCTCTTGCGCTCAATTCGATTTTTGGACGCGGAGGCGTGCGCTGAGGACAGCGCCTGCCGAAGATTCGGCCTGCGCGAGTGTGAGTCACCGCTTTGGGCCCGGTGAGTCCAGTTACCTGGCAAAGTTAAGTAACGAAGGGCGTGCCACCCTTTCAAACCAAAACGAAAAGATGGGCAACTGGGGTCCACTGAGGGGTCCTGGATTTCAATCAGCTGGTCAAGGTGATGAGTGACAAGCAAAACCTGGTATTAACAGGGTCCCGAAGCCATGATCTAAAAAAACGGCCGAGCCATGCTGCACCGACTTCTGGATGGGACTATCCCATACTAACCTACCTTCATCTGTGTACTGGTTGTGGCTAACCACACCGCGACACTCATAGGGGCTGGGTGGCTGGCGGGAAATGGGCATCATGGGAACGACGACTGAAAGCCCTCGTTCGCAAATTCACGGTTTACGGTGTTTGCAGTAGATCTGAATCTATGAGCTACATTGCAGCTAGACAAACAGTATACATTGTATGTGTGTGCATCTATGTATATATGTACATATGTAAATACACATATGTGTATATGTATATGTATACATGTATACATGTATATGTATATTATATGTATATATGTATATGTATATATATATATATATAAACACATACTAGTCAGTTGGCAGCTACGGGCTCCCATCTAATGTGCTCTTGTCCATCATCCTTTCGATGTCGTGTACGCAGACCGTGGACCTACAACGGCATCCGACTGGTGTTGAACTCACGGCACTGTAGGTAAGAAATGAGAAGTGGAATGAACCCAGGCTTTGGTCCCCGAATACTGAAAACCACCAGTTGGATGGTTTATTTCGGGGTCATTCCATTTCTCATTTCCTGCCTATTGCACCAGCAAGGTAAGAAACAAAGAAACCGTTGGCCCAGTTGGTTTGACGAATGCATGAATTAAGAATTCGCTCCGTCTCACAATCAACCGCCATCCTTCGGTACTACCCTTTTTTGTGAAAATGCGGACATGCCCTTTGAGTTTGAGACGAATTGCCTTATTATTATTATTATTATTATTGATATACTTTTCTTTGGGGGGGGGGGAAGATGTTCCTTGTGTTTGCAGCTCTGTTGAGACCCAGTGCCGTTTTGGCTGGGGAGACCCTTTCTCTTCCTGAAAGCTGGGTCGACATCGCGGCTCCGTGGAGGAGATCGCCGGGGCTTCCCTCCAAAATCAACCCACCAAACCAGGTGCTGGCGCAGGCAAGTGGGTCGTAAGCCTGGTTACAACACTAGTAACCATGGCTTTTTGCGGATTACAACCATGATTACCCACTCAATTCCTAAGCACAATGCCGCAATGCCCCTTTAAGTAAGTATCTATAACCATGGCTTTTGTGGGCAGTCTCATCGTGGTTCTTGCCCACTTACTGACGTACCATCCAAAAAAGGTGTCCTGTTCCTGGCTTCTGAGGTCTGCCCCCGCCTCTTCCCCACCAGTTCATGGAGAATGGCTTGCCCGTCTCGGGTGGCAGCCTGTGGGGCCCGAGTCGCGCGCCTTCATTGAGCCTTCAGCTTGTCTCCTCCCTTCAGAGAGTCAATCATCAACAGCTAGACCAGGATAAGCTCATACTGTGGATGGTTGCGACATCCATTTCACATCACGAAATAAAACCATGGTTGAAACCGCAATCGAATCATTCCAGGGCTTCTTAGGTGGTGCCAAGGGTTCGTCCATCAACAGTAAGAACCCTTATTCTTGTCAGGTATGGTGTTAGTAGGACTATGGTCCCCCCCGCCAAACACACCCCAAGAGGTCCCTGATCCCATATTGCCACGGATGATATTTACATGCTTGTGGCTCTGATATATGTATATACATACAATATTATATATGTATATATGAGCCACAAGTTGCGCCCTCCCCACAGACTTGTTTTGGCTCGTGCCCTTCAAAGTAGCAACAACACTCTCCGGAATTTCTAGCTGGGTGCTTGCCTCGGACGGCCCTAGAAAGGCCTTTGGTCCTTCTCGAGCCCATCCGGAGAAGAGAGCACACCCGACCGAACAATCTGCAAAAACAACTCCGCGCAAGTCATACATGATTTGCAGAGGGAGTCGCCTGAACCACACATGGGTTGCTGTCAAACTGGTCTAGCCCAACAATCTGCACAAACAACTCCGCGCAAGTCATACATGATTTGCAGAGGTAGTCGCCTGAACCACACATGGGTTGCCTTTCACAATGATCTAGCCCAACGCAAAGGCTTACTAGCTCGGAGAAACCCAACCCACAAGGCTCACTGGATATGTTTTGTCGATCGTGCGGGCCCCTTTGTGGGACCGCTTCAAGGGAAACAACCGGAAAGCAGTCCTTGGCATTTATTTTTTGCGCAAGCTTCGTGTCGAGATACGCCAACGTACTATACCCACATTAGGTCATGATCATAGGATGTTCTTTGTAAACCGTTTCGTAAGTCATGGAGGCTCCAAGTAGTCATTTGGCCTCTGAAATAACACATTCTTTGGGGGGCTGCTGAAAAGTGCAACCAATGCAAAGCCGCCTGCTTTTTGTGGTTTTTGGTTGGGGAGAGGGGCCTACCCCGTTTTTTACTGGAAAACACCCCCTCCCTCGTTTGGAGGGTTAGCTATAAGACAACCCCACCCAGTCCATCGGGAGGCGCCTGCACCCAACCTTCCATGGGGTAGGTGATCCTGAGGCTTAAAATCCTACAGATCCACCTTTCAAGCGCAGGGTGCTGAGTCAGTGGTTACTAAGCCTGCTTGCAACCAACTGAATGGAGACTTATAACTATGGTAAGTGCCCACTTACTAAGTACAATGCCCAATGAAGTACCCAAAATAGGTCGAGTATTTTTGTTGCACCCGTTGAATCCACTCAGTCTGTTGCCACTTGCTTGGAAGGTTGTTTGGTCAATATAGGGTTGCGCACACCAAACTAGATTTCTGGTCTCCTGTTTGTTTGCCTGAAGAAATGAAACCCTTAAAGTAGCCCCTGAAATGGTGCCCCAAAAGGGTACCATCCATACCCAAATCGGCTTGTGTCAAAATAGGCGCCCCCCAAAATGTCTTGTTTTTTTTGTTGGCTCCCTTTCAAACCAACCCCAAACAGGGCTCCCTGCAAAAAAAACACCCGCCCAACTGGGTTTGTTGAATTTGGGGGGCTCCCGTTTTGGACAAGGGACATTAAGTGAGAGCCCCAAATGCTTCTTTTGGAGAGTGTACTTTGGCTAGGTCCTCTAGTAGAGAGGTTAGAATAAGTATAAGGGTACTCTTTTTTTTCCGGTAGTCTATTTTAGTAGGGGAACCCTCCCCCCAAAAACGGGTAAAAGGGCACTACTGGGGGGACCTAGTTAGTGTTCTCCACGTTCTCCCAAAATTGAGGACTAGTTGCAACACGAATCAGCGGCCCGTGTTGTTGTTTTAGAAAGATCAAGCAGCAAAGGTAGAACACATTTTTTGGGATGCGCTGTGGATTTACCTCACCTTTCCCTGTTGCTCTTTTGATCTACTCTTTTGCATCTACTCTTTTGCATCTATATCCCGGTGGGTGAATCCACAAAAGCCGCATCCACAAGATTGAAATCAGCGAATGTATTCTGCTTCCGACCGGTTCCGTTCAGCTTCTAAGGCCCCCGGTTGGCTGCCGCAGGAAGGTGTCATTTGTGTCAAAAGTAGGGATGGCTCAAGTTCGACGCTGTGTCGCAATTGGGTCATTTTGTTAACTCCCTAATGTTTGTCCTGATGTTCAATGACCTTATCTTCAAAGGTCGCAAGAGTTACAATGAAACTTTAGGTGCACACACGTGCGTGTCCTATGCATCATGACGATTGCGTGGGCTTGTCTCGAAACCGGGAACCTTCCCAACCCAACAAAACGACAAGGGGGCATGGCTGTCCTTCTGCCCTAAGCATTGGACCCTCCGTGGTCTGGATCTGCATTTGAAGGGTTTGGACCTCCAAAATGCCCCTTTGGAGGTCCCAACGTGTTTTCTCTTACTTGGCCATGGGTCAAAAACCCAAATCGTACCCCCAGTGAACATGTCAATCCCCAGTAAAATAGGTTCTAAAATGGGTGGCAATTCACCTACCCCAAAATAGGATCCGATTGGTTTTGACCCACAAGCCAACTCATAACCCACCCAGGTGACCAACCTGGCCAACCGCAAGATCTGGCACATTCAAGGAGCGTGGTCTTTCGCTCACCCCCTCCTCCAGTAGAGAGCTTAGAATAAGTTGGTACCAACTTTTTTCATGGGGTCTATTTTAGTAGGGGAACCCTCCCTCAACAAAGGGGTAAGAAAGGGCACCTATGTGGGGGGACCTAGTTCTTTGTTGGTTGGTTGAGTTTAAAAAAGAACCCTTCCCACAAAAAGGAAAACTTGGTTGCTGTTGATCCCCCTGCAAAAATTGGACAACGTTGTTGGGGTTTCGTGGAAAACCCGTTGTTTTCAACCAAAACGTTAAAGTCTAAAGATCCAACCCAATAGCAGTCAAGGAAGAGAGCAAGTACCATGACTATGTCCCCCAGCAGAGCGGTTAGAATGAGGGTACCCTTTTCCCTGTAGTCTATTTAAGTAGCGGAACCTAGCTGGGGGACCTCCCAAACCACCGCACCAGTCGCCGAGCCCCGGGCTTCAGCCACCGCCCCTGGCGTGGGCCAAGGCCCGCAAGCACCTGCCAAACTCGAAGGCGTCCGGAGGGCGCAACTATGCATCTTCCAGGCACCATGTTAACATATCCGCCGACAACAGACGGCGTGTTGGACACAAAAAATGCTCCTTACCTCTTTACCTGTTACCCCTCCCCTAACCATTTCAGATTATTGCGGGGGGGGGGGGTCCACGTACCACGCGGTGATTCGAAGACGCTTGACTAAATCTGTTCATTGTGCGGGCTTGCGCAACTCAGTTTGTCAAAAACATTGGGGTGTTCGATTCCCTCCGGGTGCGCTTTCGCATCCTTAGCAGCTCCAGCGGCACATCGCCAGCATCACCTGCATCATCCGCATCAGCGCCTGCCAAGGATGCGGATGATGCAAGTGGTGCTGGGGATGTTGCCCATGCTGGTGAAGGAAATGAAGGGGGGAAAGGGGGAAAGGATCTCAACAGCGAAAGGGGGGGAAAGAATGCCGTAAGGGGGAAAGGGGGGAAAAGATCTTTGGGAGGAAAAGGGAAATCTTTCTCGGGGGGCAGGCCCTAAGGGGCAATGGGGGGACAGGATCTCAAACGGGAAAGGTGGAAAAAGACTTTGGGAAGAGAAGGGTGGAGATCTTGGGGGAAAAGGCCTTAGGGGGGAAACGGGGGAAAGGATCTTAAGCCGGAAAATCTTCGGAGGCAAAGGGAGACAAACTCAGGGAAAAGGACTTAGGGAGGAAAGGGGGGGAAAGATCTTTGGGAGGAAAAGGGAGAAGAACTGAGGGTGGGAAAAGGCCTTAGAAGGAAAAGGGGGGAAATAAATGATCTCAACAGGGAGCTGGGGGGGGGGGGAAGATCTTAGGGAGGAAAGGCAGAAGATCTGGGGCAAAAAGGCCTTAGGGGGGAAAGGGGAGAAATGATCTCAACAGGGCAAGGGGTGGAAAAGATCTTCGGGAGGAAAGGGAGAAGATCTGGGGAAAAATGGCCAACAGGGAAAGGGGGAAAAGATCGTAGGAAGGAACAGGGAGAAGCTCTCATGGGGGGGGGGAAAGGCCTTGGGAGGGAAAGGGGGGAAAGGATCTCAACAGGGAAAGGGTGGGAAAGATCTTAGGGAGGAAATGGGGGGGGGGGGGGGAAGATCTTAGGGAGGAAAGGGAGAAGATCTGGGAGAAAAGGACTTAGGGGGGAAAGCCCAACAGGGAAAGGGGGGAAAAGATTTAGGAAGGAAAAGGGAGAAGCTCTCAGGGGGGGGAAAGGCCTTAGGGGGGAAAGGGGGAAAAGGATCTCAGCAGGGAAGGGGGGGGGGGGGAAGATCTTAGGGAGGAAAGGGAGAAGATCTGGGGACAAAGGCCTTAGGGGGGAAAGGGGAGAAATGATCTCAACAGGGAAAGGGGTGGAAAAGATCTTAGGGAGGAAAGGGAGAAGATCTGGGGGAAAAAAGGCCAACAGGGACAGGGGGGAAAGATCTAAGGAAGGAAAAGGGAGAAGCTCTCAGGGGGGAAAGGCCTCAGGGGGAAAGGGTGGGAAGGATCTCAACAGGGAAAGGGGGGAAACAATCTTAGGAAGGAAAGGGGGGGGGAAGATCTTAGGGAGGAAAGGGAGAAGATCTGGAGAAAAGGACTTAGGGGGGAAAGCCCAACAGGGAAAGGGGGGAAAAGATCTTAGGAAGGAAAAGGGAGAAGCTCTCAGGGGGGGGAAAGGCCTTGGGAGGGAAAGGGGGGAAAGGATCTCAACAGGGAAAGGGTGGGAAAGATCTTAGGGAGGAAAGGGGGAAGAAGATCTGGGAGAAAAGGACTCAACAGGGAAAGGGGGGAAAAGATCTTAAAGGGAGAAGCTCTCAGGGGGGGAAAGGCTTAGGGGGGAAAGGGGGAAAATGATCTCAGCAGGGAAGGGGGGGGGGGGGAAAGATCTTAGGGAGGAAAGGGACAAGATCTGGGGACAAAGACCTTAGAGGGGAAAGGGGAGAAATGATCTCAACAGGGAAAGGGGTGGAAAAGACCTTAGGGAGGAAAGGGAGAAGATCTGGGGGAAAAAAGGCCAACAGGGAAAGGGGGGAAAAGATCTTAGGAAGGAAAAGGGAGAAGCTCTCAGGGGGGGAAAGGCCTTGGGAGGGAAAGGGGGGAAAGGATCTCAACAGGGAAAGGGTGGGAAAGATCTTAGGAAGGAAAAGGGAAAAGATCTGGAAAGGCCTTAAAGGGAAGAAGGGAAAGGATCTCAACGGGGAAGGGGGGCAAAGGATCTTAAGGAGGAATAGGGAGAAGATCTCAGCGGGGGGAAAGGCCTTAGGAAGGAAAGGAGGGAAAGGATCTCAACAGGGAAAGGGGGGAAAGATCTCAGTGAGGAAAGGGAGAAGATCCCAGGCAGGGAAAAGGCCTTAGGGGGGAAAGGGGGAAAGGATCTCAACAGGGAAAGGGGGCAAAGGATCTTCGGGAGGAAAAGGGAGAAGATCTGAAAAGGCCTTAGGGGGAAAAGGGGGAAGGAGCTCAACAGGGAAAGGTGGGAGAGGATCCTAGGGAGGAAAAGGGAGAAGATCTTGGGGGGAAAGGGGGAAAGGATCTCAACCAAGGGAAAAGATCTTGGGGAGGACAAGGGAGAAGATCTCAGGGGGGGGAAGGCCTTAGGAGGGAAAGGCCGGGAAAGGATCTCAACAAGGAAAGGGGGGACAAGATCTTAGGAAGGAAAAGGGGGAAGATCGCGGAAGAAAAAAGGCCTTAGGGGGGAAAGGAGGGAAAGGATCTCACAGGGAGAGGGGGGAAAACATCGTAGGGAGGAAAAGGGAAAAACTCAGAGGGAGAAAGGGCCTGAGGGGGGAAAGGGGGGATGGATCTCAACAGGGAAAGGGGGCAAAAGATCTTAGGGAGGAAAAGGGAGAAGATCTCAGGGGGGGAAAGGCCTTAGGGGGAAAAGGGGGGAAAGGATCTGAGCAGGGAAAGGGGGGGAAAGATCTTAGGGAGGAAAGGGAGAAGATCTGGGGGCAAAGGCCTTAGGGGGGAAAGGGGAGAAATGATCTCAACACGGAAAGGGGTGGAAAAGATCTTAGGGAGGAAAGGGAGAAGATCTGGGGGAAAAAAAACAGGGAAAGGGGGGAAAGATCTAAGGAAGGAAAAGGGAGAAGCTCTCAGGGGGGAAAGGCCTGAGGGGGGAAAGGGTGGGAAGGATCTCAACAGGGAAAGGGGTGGAAAAGATCTTAGGAAGGAAAAGATCTGGAAAGGCCTTAAAGGGAAGGGGGGAAAGGATCTCAACAGGGAAAGGGGGCAAAGGATCTTAAGGAGGAATAGGGAGAAGATCTCAGCGGGGGGAAAGGCCGTAGGGGGGAAAGGGGGGAAAGGATCTCAACAGGGAAAGGGGGGGAAAGATCTCAGGGAGGAAAGGGAAAAGATCCCAGGGAGGAAAAGGCCGTAGGGGGGAAAGTGGGGGAAAGGGAGGAAAAGGGAGAAGATCTCAGGGGGGAAAAGGCCTTAGGGGGGAAAGGGGGGAAAGGATCTCAACAGGGAGAGGGGGGAAAACATCTTAGGGAGGAAAAGGGAAAAAATCAGAGGGAGAAAAGGCCTTAGGGCGGAAAGGGGGAATGGATCTCAACAAAGAAAGGGGGGCAAAAATCTCAGAGGGGAAGGGGGCAAGGGGACAATTCCAAAGGGACGCAAGTAAGAAAGCAGGCCTGTAATGTCGGCGGCCTGAGCCGGAGGCGTTAAAATATATATAGTGCACATACATATATATATATATATATATATATATATATAAGTTCCAGTCCCCAGGCCACCAACCCCCCCCCCAAGACTAGGGTCCCCCCCCCCCTCCCCGCCCAACCCCAAGCCCGCTGCTACGGTCCCCAGACCCCCTCCTCAAGCCCCTGAACCTGCACCCTTGATCAACAACTCAACCCACAACCAACCCCAAACCCTAACCCTTAACCCTAACCCTAAACCAACCCTAAATCACCCTTTGACCAACCCTAAGCCAACCCAAAACCCACCCAAAACCCACCCTAAACCCTCTGCAAACCAACCCTTAACCAAAAACTGACCCTATACCCACCCTAAACCCACCCTAAACCAACCCTAAACCAAACCTAAATCAGCCCTAAGGCGAAAGCTACCCGCCCCCAATTCCATTCAGGGGAGTGGGGATGTGAAGGAACTCAAAGCACTAACTTAGTGTTGGATCCCTGATCTTCTCTGTAGGGTACCTTCCCAAATTCTGTCCAATATTCCCGGGATCCTTCCTAGAAAGCCTCAAGGAACCCAGGGAATATTGCGATCGGTTGTCGCTTGAGAAGAAGCTGAAACGCAAATGGAAGGTTGATCTACTGTGGATGGACGAAATTCATTTCGCACCACCTAACAAACTTTGGCCCCCGATTCGACTTCCCAACGTAAATACCAACCAACGTTACGCTTTCAACCATGGACTCGATTCAAAGCGGCGCGAAATGATTCGATCCTCTGCAACTACCAGCCAATCGCCTCCACCATGGGTTCAAAGTGGTGCGAACAGACTCCTTGATCTTCCAGGGCCATGTTTCAAATGTTTGCAAGATGGAGATATTGCAAGGAGCCCTGTTGGAAGACCAAGGATTGCGTCCATCCAGAGGTCTAGATCTTCAGCCTTCTCCGTCTCTCGCCTCATCACCCACCGCGAGCCGACCCACCGGGTCGCAAGCGCTCGGCCCGGGGTACACACCTCCGGCCGGGAGGACTGGACGTTGCGATTGAAAGCGAAGCCACAGCGTGCGTAGAACAAGAAGAACATCCCCTGGTTCGGTAGAGTTGTTCCTTGCTAATGGGCTATAACCCAAATGGCAAACCACTTACAAACTTGGCTGAATATGAAAAGGTAAATTGTTAGGACGGGGTTGTGAGGTACATCAAACCACATTGAGTCATGATTATAAGAGAACAACTATGAGTAACTAATCTTAGGGAAATGGGGTTATGGGGTACTATTGAACTGAGTTGCCGCATGATCACGGGATAATAATCGCTGCAAGTTACATCAAAGCTGAATGGAGTCATGATAATGGGAGAAAGCAAATAGTATTATCCTAACGACTTGTTGGATAGCATTTCCTTCGAAACCGAAGGAAAGCAAACTCTTCTTTGCGGCGCGGGGGAGGCTTCCAAATCCCTTTTGAGCAGCACCCATGGAGGTGTAGAATTCCCTACATGGGAAAGTTAGGCTTAAAGGCCCTGGGTTGACACTCGCTGGCACCCTTTGAATGAAAGGTACTTGGATGTCCGTCCAAGTTGGAAAGTGGTCGGCCTGGGTTCTACACCGGGTAACTTGGGCTGCGAATCACTTCGAACAATTTGGCCGAACGCCCAAGTACCCGAACAAAGGCTCAGTTGTTCAGCGACCAAAGAAAAAAAGGGGACCCCTTTTTGGGGAAGGCCATTTTTAGTGGGGCAGCCACCCAAAAAAGAGGGCAACAAGGGTGCCACTGAACAACTGAGAAGGGGGTACCCCCACAAAAGGGGTGGGTGCCCTAAAGGCACAAAAGGCACAGCCAGGTTCCTATGCGGCCTATGCGTATGTGTGGAAAACGGGGCATCCACCAAAAATGGCGGGCAGGCTCATTCCCATCCAATTGAAACCAAACCCAACAAGGGTACCCTCAGGAAACGCACACCCAAGTGGCTCTTTGTTGTTGGTTGATAGAGGGAATTCCGGAAAACCCACCCAGCAAAACTGGACAATGGCAACAAGTATCAGCATCTGCGGCTGATATTGCAACAACCTGGCTCATGTACGCATTCGTGCACATTCTCATGTCAATGGATGTGCACATGTGCATCTAATTCGTATGAATATTGCAACAACCTGGCTCATGTACGCATTCGTGCACATTCTCATGTCAATGGATGTGCACATGTGCATCTAATTCGTATGAAGGTCTGAATTCAACCACACACCAAATGTAAAGCACCGGAGCCATTGAACCGCCCATGGCTAAGTTCTTCATTCCTCCAGCATTGTCGAGCGGTCCTGCTAAATTCTTCAGCAATTTGTAGGTGACGAGTTCCCTGTCAATGACAAGGTCAACTCCGCTTAGAAGGCTTATAACCGGGATATAACTTGGGTTGCTGCTCGAGCACCCAAGTCTGAGTCCAGCCAGCCCGACCAGACCGCGCACCTAGCGCAGTGTCCGCGTAGCCGAAGGGCGGCCTCGGAACGCGAACGGAGTAGATGGTCTGGGTGGATCTTCTGCCATGCAAGCCAGCCTGGCCAAGTTCCACTACTAGGTCCTCCAGTAGAGAGGTTAGAATAAGGGTACCTTTTGTTCGGTAGTCTAATTTAGTAGAAACACCCTCCCCCAAAAAAGGGTAAAAGGGCACTACTGGGGGACCTAGACTACCTGGTCCCAGTAACCAGGCAAATATCCCTTTTTGCTTTTCAGCCAAAAGCATCCTGAAAAAAAATACATGGGCCCTGTTTCGGGGAAGAAGCCCCTTTTGGGATCAACAAATTCTTCCCCAACCGCTGAAAGCTATGAGGCCGACAGGCCCACACCGGCTTTGGAGGTTTCCAGAAGGTTGCGGGGCTGTTGGGGATACCGCCGGCGCTTCTTATTTCCGAGGAAGCAAGCCACTATAGCAGAGTGTTTTTTACTTCAAGGTTTTGCATGGCATCGCCGGTCACCTACTTTTTGGCAACTGGAGGCACTTTGAGCCCTACAATCAATCAGGCAACCCTTGGTTGGTGATTTGAACCCCCGGCTCTTGGGGGGGCTTCCAAACCACAAATTTCGGGGGAAGCTGAGCAGAGATAAAAACAAATTGGAGGAGACTTGAGAAACGATGGTCTCAGTTCTTCTCCGGCCCGTTCTCCAAAGCACAAACAAAATGCACTTCCATGCCTCCCTCCTTCTCCGCACAATCGGGCTCTTAACGTTCTATTCGGCCGCCATGAAGCCTAGGTCCTCCAGTAGAGAGGTTAGAATAAGGGTACCAACTTTTTGCTTTCTATTTTAGTAGGGGAACCCTCCCCCCAAAAAGAAATGGGTGAGAAGGGCACCTAGCTGGGGAAAAGGGCACCTGGCTCGACGCCATGAAACGTCCACCGGGCTGCTCTGCTTCCACGGCTCTCCAAGAGCCACCCGAGGCGTTGTGAGGCCGCGGCTGAACTCTGAGCCGCGGTACCTCCTGCAGCACCTCGACGTTCGAATCGGCGCGGCGTGGGACGAAAAAGGCGTTCCCTTAAGGGTTTTCTATGGGATTTCGATTGGTTTTCATGGGATTCCTATGGGTTTGGTGTTTCCTGTCAGTTTCCATTGGAACACCTCTCCACAATAGCAGTGTGCCCAGTATTGTTTAAGGGTTCCACTCTCCAAGAAAAAGGCACTAAGGGAAGCACTGCTGCTGTTGAGGTGTGGGTGGTACAGGTATGGGTCCTGGCTTATGTACCATGCATGATACAAGCCTGCAAGGTAGTATATGTCAAGTTGTACAAGTGGTACCTCTTTCCAACAATGCTGGATAAAGAACAGGAGGGTTTGAAAGACGACCTTGCTCTTAAAAAGCCCCTTGTCCACTTCTACTAGTTGAGAAAAAGGGTAGCCTCAGTCCATGTCCCCAGAATGACAGTTAGGATTGATGTGTGGCAATTTTGCTGGATGTAGTGGAAAACAATCACAAGAAACCGCAAAAGCAGAGCTGCGTGAGCCCACTTTGGCTTTCGACTTTCAGTCCAAATCCTTGTTCTATCACACCATTCCGAGGTTTATTAGGCGGTGCAATAGTTTGTCCATCGGCAGAGTGTAGGCAAATGGACATGTGTGTTTCTTTGACCAAGTTGGCAAGCTGCTGGTAACCTAAGCTATAGCCAGTGTCTTTTGGTGTGGCGCAAAGAACTTAAAGAAACAAACAAATTATTTCACTTCCGATCAAGTGAATTGACCAAAACAAATAATTTGTCACAACTGAGGACTATGTTTCATATTTCAGCCATCAAATTGCATGCGGACCAAAATGGATCAACCGGGGCTTCATTCATGGCTTCCGATGGACATTGCTCGCCATCTGGGCCGCCCCCACGGACGCGGCTTCCAAATCCTGGCAAAGTCACTTAGGCGGAAATGAGAAAACAACAACGCCTCGGCCCTTTATGCCTCACATCGCAGCAAATCCCCCACCCCCCCCCCCCCCGCCATTCGAAAGACAAGATACTTTTTGTCTGCCAAAGATGCCAATGACTATAACATATTGCATGCAGACATCAATAGCTGAAACAACGTGTTTCCACTACTACGGAATGATCAAGAAGTTAGCTATCCTCGGATTGTGGCGCGGTCCTGAAACGGCTGTCAATCGATGCGACACCCTTCAACTGTTGGAGCTCAGGTCCCAAATCAACTGTAAAAGTTGCTGATAGAAAATCAGACATTTGAACAGACCCTAATTTCACATATGCTCATATTCCAAAGCATCAAGTCTTGGCTCATCATACATGACGCCAAAAGAAACTCAACTATAAGCTGAATATGAACAAGCAAACCAATGGTTCTATTCACTCGTACCTATTGCTTTAGTGGTGGTTCGAATCTCATGCATATGCATATACATACATACTATATATACATATATATGTTGATGTGGTGCCTGGTGGACACACCGCTGGTGCGCGCATCACATTTGCGACGAGAGACTATTGCAAACAAACATGGTGGGCGCACCCATAGGCAGCGCAAGCAGAACCACAAGCGACGCACAAGAAGAAGCCCCATGATTTTGCCAAAGTCACATGGTGAGTTGTAAATCAAATGGGCACAACCACAGAGTCTCACTTTAAAGACCAACGGGCCCAGTAGAAGAGCAACTAAGATGCCTTCAGTCATTGCAGCTACCCTCCCACCAGAGAAGGAACCTGAATGGGTCCTCGAAAAAGAATGTTGTAGCCAAAATGGGACGCTCTGGTGGGTGTCATGCTAGTTGGTAGGATGGGTACTTGCGACATCTTGATGCCCGCCTTAACTTGCGACATCTGAATGCCCACCTTGATGGTTGTGTTGGAAGCGGAATCAACTAGGCTTCCGTGTGGAGAAGTCCAGACATTGACCCCACCAAAAAGGTTTTGAGCTTTAAACATGTAAAGTCCAAAAGTGAAAGAGGATGGGTCAAGTGTTCAGCTTCCCAACTGCAAAGCTTGGAGCCGTTTTGTTGGTGTGAAGCTTGGTAGGCCCCATTTACCCTCAAGGACCAGAGGTTCGAGTCCAAATGCAAACCACCAATTCAGGTTTCCCTGAAGCATTGCTGAGCAGAGATCATTTGCCAACGAGGCTCAACCGCGCAGAGACTGCCGGAATGAGTGGTGTCCTATTTAGTGGCTTTAAAAAAAAAAACAGCCAAAAAGGGGTCTGAGCCGCCCTCGTTGCGCCACTGAGAATTTGAGCAGCTATAAAACTGGACCCCCCGCCCTATTACTCAACCAGGTCAATTCGGAGTTCCCATTAAGTCACCTTCCCCCAATCGGTGGTTCTCTTGGTTTGGTTTCGTGATTAGGGGTGGCTTCCCATTTACCCTCGACGAGAAGAAGGGGTTCAAATTCCAACAGCCACCAATACACACCACCAACAAAGCGCTGCGAGCAAATCGAGCAGCACTCACTTGACGCCGGCCTCGCCATAGGTCTGAACAAAGCTTTGCATGGAGGAGCTTGTATGGGCATGCACCTTGGATGGCTTGGAACAACCAACTCACAAATCCAACCTCAGCAGCTGTGGGCACGGCGAGGCTGAGGGAAAAGAGGCTTCGAAAGCATGGATCCGCCAAAAACACGCCATGCGCAAGGAAAACTTACCCAGTCACCCAGGCCCCTGCCAGAAAAGGAATTCCTGTTTGGCGTCGGCATGTTCTGCGTCGAAACACGCCAAACGAAAAATAGAGGGGTGGTTATATGAATAATTCCGAGTTGCCCTTTGATCACACCCAAAAGAAATCACATGTTTGGACCCGCATGGGTAGTTCTCTGTCGAGTAAGCTGGGTTCCGCCTCTAGCCTTGCTCCGAATTGGGGTACCGGGCACCGCTGGCATTTGGTTGCAGGGTGGAGCTTGCCTATCGGCTTGGTGGCCCACGTCTTCATATTTCGCCTACCCTACCCTACCCTTCCCGCCACTGAGATGAAACCTGATTCTAAGCTGGAATTAGGACCCCTGCAAAAAACTATATATATTCTTGCCTGGTTAGTGGAAAACAAAGGGACCCCAAAAAGCAAAACAGGAAAAAGGGGAGCTAATTCTGGGGAAGGAGTGAGGGCCCTGGAAGACGATGTTCGTTTCAAAAGGACTCTCGGGTGGGTTTCGTGTTGTGGACAGGTAAGCAGTGTTCGACCCCAAGCTTGGCTCGCCGCAGTTTAGCTGGAATTCAACTATGCAAGCTCCCCCCGCTTGTAGATGTCGCAAACAACTGAGCAAGTCTCACTTTCTGAGTCGATTGGCAACCAGAAGATGCTTTCAATCTGTTCAAAGTCCACTCACTGGGGAAGTAAGAAATTGCAAGCTTCTGTCTGCAAATAAACCTTTCGATGACAGAGTCATCACCTCTGAATATCTGCATGGACCCCCAGTGGACCCGTTTGTTTGCCTTTGACTCCATTTGCGGGTCCAGTGATCACTCCTCAATCTGAGTTAGGGACCTGTACAGAAATTCCGCTCCCTGGCCGAAGTTGTCGCAGCGTCGCACCCGGAAAAATGCGTCTTGAACCGCCTCTTTGGGAACAGACACTCAAAGGGGCGATCGGGCACGTCAGGTAAGTGAGTGGTAAGCCTGGTGATAACCCACTTAGGAGACTTATAACCACGGGAAGTGGGGCGATAACCAGGCTTTCTAAGTCTTCTAAGTGGGTTATAGCCAGGCTTACTCACACCTAAGTACAATGCCCCTTCATCCTTTAAGCAGGGACTCCAGGGTTGCTCCCGCCAAATGAGCCAAAGGTCGATCACCTATAGACGGAAAGATCCCTTCAGGAGTAACTCATCCGCAAAACTGGGTCGCCATGAGCCATGGATCTCTGCAGTTTTCGACCAAAAGCTGCACCCAAAGATTCTAACCGCTTTTCATTTGGGCGGTTCGTCAACTTGTGAGGCGCCTCTTTGCTTGGTGTTTTCAAAGGAACATTGAAGGGATGTTTTTTCTTTTTGAGGGGGTCCCCCGAAAAAAGACGCCACGTAGCGCACGTCAACGGAACCCGCAGCAACCGAAAACGGCGCAAACCGTTCGCGCAGATCCTGGTTTGAGCAAAGGATCCCTGCTAGCACGTTCCCGGTTGACAAGCTGGTCCTGTTTGGGCACCTGTGACTCACTTCCGGATTGGAGCCCCAAAAAGTGCAGCTGCCTTATGTTCACATGATCTTCCCCACAATCGCTTGCCCGAACCTTGTGAAGTCGCTAAGAAAAAAGCTTGGATATTGTGACTTTGTTCTATGGGTCTGTATCTATTTTAGGGTGCCTTTGTTGATTGGTGCCCAAAGGAAAGCAAAAGGACTCCAACCATTGTACACCCATGTGGGTTCATGTCCTTCAACCACTGTTGAGGTTCCCAAAACAACACTCGTGGCCATGACATGTCTTTTGCTTAATATTAATCTTTGTACTTGGATGTTCAACCAATGTCAGGCAAGTAGGCTATACCCACGGTGACAAGGGGGCCAACTCTAGTTCCCCCAATTGTAACCACGGGAAGAAACAAAAACTTGCTAAAGCTGGTTGAACCCTAAAGTTGACCCCATATTGTCAACACACTGTTTTAATAGGCACCCCCCCTCCAAAAGTGGTCTTCTGCCCCACTGAATCCAGGGAAAAATGCAAAACAACGATTGATAAACTGGTCGGTTGAGTCATATGGGCTCAACATTCATCTCACTTCCTGAGCTCCATTTCGGCCTTGCACTTTTGGGGATTGAATCATTTTCTTGGCAACAAAGCTTTTGGGGATTGAATCAGTCTCTTGGCAACAAAGCTTTTGGGGATTGAATCAGTCTCTTGGCAAGCACAGCGTGAAATTGGATGCCAGGCCCGCGCTCAAACTTTTTGTGAGCCGCTTTCGCCGGATCGCGCTCGCAAGGCGCTCGCAAGGCGCAGAGCGCACGCCCAGGGAACTGGCCGAACAGTCGCGAATCCCTGTGGGTCTGTCTGCTGTGGGTAGCTGGAATCTCCACTCAGAAAATGGGGTGACCCAAATGGGATCATGAATTGACCTTTTTTTACAGGGTCACGGAGAATTCAGGTACCAAATTTGAAGGAAACTAAAGCGACGACCAACAAGTTTGCCACCCCCCTGCTTTTAAGGGGTTGGCCAAGTAAGTGGCTTGCCAAGGGTATAGAATAACCCACCGATAACAAGGCTAACTCTATTGAACTTATACGTGGGTTATAGCTTAGGCTACTAACAACTTGCTAACTTGGTCGAACACCCAAGCCCAGATGGTTCTCTTTTTGGGCTGCTTTAAAAGGGAAGCCAAAGGGAAGACCTCCCCCATCTCATGATGCAACCAAAGGCCCTGGGATTCAAGCCATTACAACAATCGTTGGGTCAGGATAATCACCAGTGTTTACCATTTAGGAGTTTCATCATTCAATGGGTGTCAACCATTCTATTGGTGGGGGTTGAACCTGGGTATGGGTGTTTCTCAAAAAAGTAGCCCCCTAACATTTGTGTTTTCCTATAGGTTTCCCCCTTAAAATGCCAAGCAAAAGCGCGTCCACCATGTTGAGAAGCATTCGTAATTATAGCAAGCAAACGTGGGAATCCCTACCAATAGCAAACAAACCAGCCAGAAGACATCCAGCACCAGCATAATCATACCCCCAGAAAACAGCCACCAGAAATCCCTACAACCCCAAACAAGCCTCCAATATTTAGAATTACCCACGGTGTTCAAGGTTGAGTCTCTGTGGTTTAACTGCAGTGTTTCGGGCTTTCGCCGTACTAAGCAAAACGAGCGGAACACGCTGGACCCCAAAGGAAAAACATATTTTCCGCCTTGCCAGTTGTTTTGTGTATGAGACAAAGGCAAAAGCAAGGGTCAACAAGGCTTCTTCCAATCAGCGGCTGGCCGGCGGATGCGAACTCAATATTGCAGGTAAGAAACAAGAAACCAATATCCAATTTAACACAAGTTACCTTGCTATTGTGTGCGTGTGGTTCCTCTTTGTTGTCCTGTTTATCCGCATGATTGACTTAAAATTGGTGGATATAGGTGGTCCATCAAATCATCCCAAAGGCCCTCCAAAATCAGGTCTCATTGAACCTCAGCTTCCCAAACCCGCTCTGGAACAGTTCACACTGGTTGTGTGGTCTGGATTGGCAAAGCAAAAACAGCCCTGGAACTTTGTGTTCCTAAAATAGTCCAAAGCCAAAAAGTCTCCAAGGTCTAAAGTCCTTTTTGTTTACCACCAGCCCTAAAAAAATGGCTAAAGTCCATACACCAGGGAGTCAGCGATGTACCGCGGTTTGGCGGCTTCTTCTTTTCGTCGCACTCGCATTCAGCCAGCCAGAACCTCTTGGGGCCCCGCCTCGTCCGAGGACTTTTTTCGACTCAGCCGGGCAGAAAGGCGCCGGACTCCATGTCGCGCGCCACGGCGTCCCAGGGAAAAGCGCGCCCGTTCATGCAGACCTGGGGTTGGGGTCTTTCATCTTTATTTCTTTGGGTGTGTGGGTATGTGTGGGTATGTGTGGGTATGTGTGGGTATGTGTGGGTATGTGGGTATTTGTGGGTATGTGTGGGTATGTGTGGGTGTGTGTGGGTATGTGTGGCTATGCGTGGGTATGTGTGGGTATTTGTGGGTATGTGTGGGTATGTGTGGGTGTGTGTGGGTATGTGTGGGTATGTGTGGGTATGTGTGGGTGTGTGTGTGTGGGTATGTGTGGGTATGTGTGGGTATGTGTGGGCATGTTGTTTTACAGAAACCCGAAATCTGGGATGCCCGCAGACCCCCACTTGGGTGATCGACCAAGTTGGTGAGTCGTGATCATAACCTAAGTCACGAACCGCTCACAAGTCCCGCAAAGTGGAGTTAACCTTGATGCTGGCAGGTTGTAACCCAGGTGATCCAGATTTTGACTAGGTCCTGCAGTAGAGAGGTTAGAATAAAGGTACCTTTTTCTGTAGTCTATTTTAGTAGGGGAACCCTCCCCCAAAAAAGGGGTGAGAAAGGGCACCTAGCTGCGGGACCTAGTTGCAGGACTCTGCCAACAAAAAAAACGAGGTGCACCACTGGAGGTCTGGGATATTTAAGTGGGATTCCCTTGGCTTACGGAAAATGGCCGACCAACAATTTTCCGTGATGGGCCTTTTGCTTAAACAAAAACATATGGTTTGGGGGCCTTTTAGGTTTTCCTTTGAAAGGGACCCTCTGCTGGGTTTCATCTATGTGGACAGGAGGGTATCCATGCCCTTTGCCATGTTTCTGTCCAATGGCAACCCAAAACACCCAGAAGTCACTTCACAAACCAGTCGCCAGCAGTTGGGGGTCCTGGTGGGTGTCTTTTTGTGTAAGTAAAAAAGTTTTTCCGGCTCAACTTTTTTGCTATTTGTTTCGCACTGCCACTCACGTTGGTCACCTGGAGCATGGCTCGTGCCCTCTATAAAAAATTGGCCCTTACTTCTTGTCGTGGCAGGTTCTTAGTGTGACCAACACTGGGGGCCTCGTCCAAGACTCTTCTTTTCACTCGGTTGCTTTCTGCTCCTCTGCCCATAGTTTAACTTTTAGTGGTTTAATTTGGAAAACCCATTAGTTGGAAACAAGTTTAGTCCTAACATCCAAACTAAATGTGCCAAAGTTCAGGCAGACTAAATGCAAAAGGGAATCAGAATCAGGCAGCCCGCTTGGATTTCTGGGGATTCGAAGCCCCGGTTCTTTTAGACAGCTAATGGGAAGCTACTCCTGGAACACCTCCCAACCACTGGGCTCCAAACAACCAATCAGAAGGATGCTGACAGAACATCTTTTCGTGTGTACCTTCCCGGAATGAAGCCAGAAGTTGACATGAGTGTTTTTTGTCCATGGTGCCAAATGTACACCCACTTGCGTAGCTAATTTCAAGAGAAGCCTAACAAAGGAATGGACGCCGCGGGCTTGGTTATATTGCCTTGAGCCTACTTAAAGGGGCGATCGGGCACTTCGTGCAGTGGGTTTTATCCAGGCTAAGCACTTGCTACGTACCCTGCCCCTTTAAGCACATACAGAAACCACGCCCCAAACTATCATCTGTCAAGTATCGTACACGCCGGGAGCGCAAACGTTCAGCACGCCAAAGCACACTCCTGAGTGCAAGCTCAAACCAATTATGCCAACTGATGCGGCAGCTGTAAACCGGTGTGGTCAAACTGGCGACGCTTTGCGGGTGTTGCGGGTGGTGTTTGTTCGCAGGAAATCAACACAAAGCAATCAATCTGAACATGCAAATACAACCAAAACTTAATTCACCTTGCGCGCAATCCGCCCCGACATACTCTGGATGAACAAAATCCTGCAGCGGTTGGTGGCTAGGTGGTTGGTCATTAGGTGTTATCAATAGAGTTTCATCCCTCCCATCTGCTGCGGATTTCGTCCATCCACAGTATCAAAGGCATTCTTTCGGGCGCATCCACACCTCCAAGACCATACCTGAACATGCCCATCCACACAACTGTGGATGAACGACATCCTGCGCCGCCTAAGAAACCCTGGAATGATGCGATTCTGCAACGTAAATACACAACCATGGTTTCAAAGTGGTGCGAACGGATTCGCTCGAACGCGAGCGAAGCTTGACAATACGAAGGAGGTGCAAAGGCTTTCAGCTGGAAGCATGGGATGCCCACAGCTTTCCACAAGGGGATCGGAGCCAACTTGAACTCAGTTGAGTTGACGAAGCAAAGAACTACACCTGTTGTGGGCAATTCACGTGGATGGATGGATGGATGGATGGATGCATGGATGGATGGATGGCTGACTAACTAACTAACTAGGATGGATGGATGACTGGCTGGCTGGATGCATGTATGCATGGATACATGGATGCATGGATGGATGGATGGATGGCTGTCTGGACGGATGGCTGGATGGCTGGCTGGCTGCATGGATGCATGGATGCATGGCTGCACGGCTGCACGGCTGCATGGCTGCATGGCTGCATGGCTGCATGGCTGCATGGAGTCATGGATGCATGGATGCATGGATGCATGGATGCATGCATGCATGCATGGATGCATGGATGGATGGATGCATGGATGCCTGGATGGATGGATGGATGGATGGATGGATGGATGGATGGATGGATGGATGGATGGATGGATGGATGGATGGATGGATGGATGGATGGCTGGATGGCTGGATGGATGGATGGATGGATGGATGGATGGATGGATGCGACCTTAAACCACTAAAATCGTTCAGACCGCAAACGTTCAAAGTCCGAGAACTCAATAAGTGAGAAAGGCACCCAGACCATTTTAGCCGTACCCTCATTCGAGTCAGAATCGACACCTTGTGCAAACATGGCGAACCTGTTTACCACTCAAACGGTCCCAACCCAAAAAGTGACCAAAGTCCAAAACGGAACTCGCGGGGCTCATTTGAGGCATCAACAGTTTCGTCGTGGCATCGGCCTAGATTGAAGTGGGCATCGGTGTCCACGAAGCGCTCAGGTCTCATCGCGCCGGTGAGGCAAATCCGCTTGGCGCCCAGTCCTGAAAGCCCATGGCTCGATGGGTTCCACCCCTTGTGTAGGGGGATCACAAAAATCATTCCCTGAATACTGAAAGGGGCGATCGGGTACTTAGTAAGTGGTTAGTAACCCCTTATAATCTAAGGGTGTTTGTATTACACTCTGGGAATACACCCGCTGGGTGTTGAGCCCCTTTTAGGCACATTTCCGGATAAAACCGTGTTGGTTTGCACTGATAGACCATGGGTCACCCCAATTTCTCAACCCCTGTTAATGGGTCTGTACAAATTGATACTTTCCCCCTAAAACCAGGGACACCCCCCATTTCAATACCTGGGGGTGATTAATATGCGTTAACATTGTAGATGTTCAATCAACTTCGTCAGCAGCTTGTGTACAGCGGCTGTGTATCCCATTAAAGCCTATATAAGTATTGGTTTAGGGATGGAAGCATCGTAGAAAGCCCACACGCTCCGTGTAAGTAATATCCCTGTCAAACAAAACTGCGGCCTGCGCCATGCAACGGCAAACATAGGCCCTCGGAGCCAAACTATCTGCCACCTCTACTTGGGGCCGGGTGGGAAAGTTAAGTCAATACTCTCTGGGGGCCCCTTGTGGTAAGCTCCCGAAACGAGAACACGGTGGCCAACACTTCATGGTAAGTGCCGTTTTGCTTGAAAATATACCAGGTCAAGCAGGGCCATGTTTTCTTGCACCCAAACGACCAAACCGGACGCCTACATGACGCTTACACAAAGTGTCCCAATGCAATCCTGGGTGAGCTCGGTGTTGAGAGCCCAAATACTTGGCGGTCTCGATCAACGTATCCGTGCCGTGGGTGATGATGATGCACGTAGAGGAGCTTGTCTGACCGAAATCGAACACAGGAAGCCGGCCCAAGGGAGCCTTTGTACCTTCTGAGGTGCGTTGACCCCTTTGACATGCACGAGTCATCTTAAACAACAGATGCAACATTTGGAACCAGACAGAGGGCCCAGAGCTTTCATGCCATCGGCTGCACTGAACTGTCACACAACCCTTCACCATTCTTCAAGCAGGCGATCTGCTAGCCTCTCAAAGAACAGATCTTACAGAAACCTCTGCAACTGGTCTGGAAGGCGCTATCAGCGGATGCTGCAGGGCAGGAATATGAAGTAGACCGCTGGAAATCAGCGAACTGGACCCCTACAAATGGGACATTGCCCCCAAGTCATGGTGTGATTTCAACAACAACAAAAAAACTGTATATTTGCCACCAAAATGGGCCAAACCCAAAAAGCGACTAAAGTCCGAAACGGAGCTCAGGGAGTGAGTTACTTGGGTGTGCGTCCAAGTAAGTGGTTAACCCAAGTCATAGCCCGCGTAAAGAAGTCTCCCGTGTCGAGTTAAGCTTCTTGGTGGGTTGCCTGGGTGGCCAGCTACTTGGCTGGCCGAACATCGTAGGAAGCCACAAGTTCGATGGCTTATTCCATTTGCTTTGTTGTCCCCTGGAAAGAGACAAAAACAGCTTCCAGCGGTGATAGGTCCCTCTTTCAAACCAAAGCAGAACACAACATTTTCAGCAAACGGATGGATTGCATTACAAAGAACCGCCGGGGGGGGGGGGGGAGGTTGTGGGTCCAAAGGTCAGAAGTATCCTTGGGCACCTGTTGGCTTTCCTTCGAGACAACACCATGAAAATGGGCTACCTGTCAAAAACAGGGATCCTTACATTCTACACCCGATTGCCTTGTAAATGGTGGTGTCCCTTTATTTTGGTGGAAAAAACCATGTTTCAAATGGGCAAAATGTATCTTTTAAGGAGCCCTGAAAAATCTACGCAAAAACGGGCGGTGGAAACTTCACCGAGTGTCTCCAGTGGGGTGACTCATGTGCATCTGTGCTTTTGTCAGGCTTATTTCTCCTTTTGGGTCAGATTCCAAAGGAACCAAGATCAAATCACGCAACTTCCGGGGTTGCCTTGTTTTGCCACATACCCAAGCTTCCGTGTGAAACCAAGGCTGAAAGACTCGAACTCGCCCTTCTGAACGCCGCGGCGAGATTCCAAAGCCCCGCCTCACACGCAGAAAGCAACGCCGCCCGGTCGTCATCTGTGATCTCCTGAGCAAATGCGGCCTGTCTGGCCCATGAAGCGTCACAATGTTTACCTCTGATTAATAACTTCCATTTGCGTTTTCGTCCCCGGAAAACATGAGAACATATTTCCAGTAGTGAAATCGAAAAAACCAAGAGGGAAGTATACAAGATATTCTTAATCACATGGAAGATACCCCCCAGTTATTAATCGTGGAGTCCTTCCGGAACAAAAGATTCCCTACTGAAAGGACCCCCTCGTAATAATAAGTGGGGTGGTCATTAATCAGAGGGGTTAGCATTCCCTCTGCACTCACGACATGCACTTCTTCCAAACTGAGTTGTTTCCCCCAAAGGAAAATTGACAAATTGGGGCGCCCCGAGATTTGTTGGTGGCCCACCATGTCCTCCCCAGCCAACACTCCTATTGGGCCAAAAGTCAAGGGAGTCAGAAAAAGTTGATTGACCCCTTCTGGCCAACCGACAACAACTTGTCGAAGCTTGCCTAGGTTCTCCAGTAGAGAGGAGAGAGTTAGTAAGAGTGCCCCTTTTTCTGTAGTGTATTCTAGTAGGGGAACCCTCCCCCAAAAAAGGGTAAAAGGGCACTACTGCAGGACCTAGTTGCAGCTCAACTGGTAAGTTGACTGATCGAGTGGATTGGCCGGAACAAGTCTCAAGCTTTTACCACTAAAATGGTTTTACCACTAAAGTCCAGGAACTCAGGGAGTGAGGTTACGAACCCAGGCAGCTGACCAGTCCTGTGAATCTTTGGCGCAAACGCTCGTCAGCTCCCAAGTAAAGCCTCAGGGGTGGGGGCCGTCAGAGTTCGTCTCAAACACGGAATCGAATTCCCAAAGGCTTCACGTACCTTATAATGTTAGCCCCGGAAGCAGAACCCCTGGTTGATTTTGATCGGGGGGTCTCCAATTCCTTTTAGTGATTGGATTCAGACCACTTTTGGGGGGAACACCCCCCTAATAGTGGGACGGGTTCATTCATCCTGGGTCAACATTGTGCAAATATTAGGAATCTGTATTCGACGAATTCCCTTGAACCCATCCGGATACCGCAAATACGGGATACCAAGGGACCCTCTGGGTTAGATTTCTCTTTAAACCAACTTGAGGGAACAAAAACAACAAAACAAAAAACAACTTGATGCGCCGTTTCTGCGCAGCCCTGACAAACTTCGGCCATTGGAACCAAGGGGACCAGCTCATTCCGCACCAATTCACAACCGGAGACCTGACACCTGCATCAAGGTTGACCCCCACAGCCTGGTAGAGGATGCAGACCCATGTCGAGCCCCCCCCTTACCTGAGGTACCAAAAAGCCCTCTGGACAATGGTTTGCTTAAACCGCCTCCTTGGGCTTTCTTTACACATCTCGCACATGTAGCCGCCAATTCTGCTGCGTAAACGTCAAGGGGCTTTCCTGTTGGTTCCCTGGACTCTTCTGCCTCCGATTCTGCTGCGTAAGTATCAAGCGGGGGGGTGCTTTCTGGTTGGTGGCCCCTATCCAATGCTAGGGCCTCCAGTGTCTAGTGGAGAGGTTAGAATAAGGGGGCCCCCTTTTCTGTGGTGTATTTTAGTGGGGGAACCCTCCCCCAAAAAAGGGTAAATAGGCACTACTGGGAGACCTAGAATGGCTGTCAAGGACCCAATTGACAGATATGGGTGTGTTTCTGTTTGAGGGTTGCCCTTTGGACTGGTTTTAAAGGGCAAACAAAAGATTACCAACTCATTTCGGAGGGTCCCCCAAAAAAAAGACAGACCAATCGCGTCATGCCCAACACGACGTCCGGTCAAGCACAAGGAGTCCTTGTGGCGTTACTCGCTCCAAGATCCTCAGAACAGCACGTCCAGTGACACAGTCCCCCCCGAACTTATGAACATACCCCACCACACCTGTCTTCTTTTCAGGCGAAGGGTACCTTTCCAAAAGGAGTGCCGAGCCAGGGAGAGCCCAAGCTTCAGCGTCCTGGAGATAGTTTTCAGATGTTTTGAGAACCCCTCACGGGGTGGCCAATCCACTCAGGAAGTGAGATGTGGAAGCTTGAAGATGTCGAGGGCAGACCTGAACGCTTTCTTATAGTTGGGGGTGTCTATATCGGGGGGGATAAGCCCAGCAGCAGCCGAGGATAAGCCACGAAGGCCTTACAGTGTTAAAAGGGTTAACCAGCACAAGTCCGAACTGTTTACCGGTTAAAAGGCTCAGGTAAGGAATTAAGCAATGGTCCATCTATATTTATCCTAACGACACTTACCCAAAAAGCATTTCGCTGAATTAAGTTGGTTCCAAAGGGAACATTGAGCGGGTGACAAACTGCATGTGCCCAATAAGGTACCTTGCGCTGGGTGTGACCCCCAATGTGATGCTTCCTGACCCCTGGGGATTTTCTTGGCTCTCAGTGAAAATTTCGAAAATTTCACAGGTTTTGGGATCGCAGGAAACCACCAGTTGGATTGTTTCTGGGATGTTTTCAGATCGCCTTCTAGGAAAAAAACAGCACGAAACTAACCAGAAACGCAACAAACCTAAGGAACCCGGCGCCTGAAAACCTTCAAGGTTTATGGGGGGTCATTCCAACGCTTTCCCCAACCACTGAGAACCTGCAAATGGTGGGGCGGCTGCCTTTTGGTGCCCCTTTCAACCAACTTCAATATATAAGGACACACTCAAAAACCCACGGCTGTCTATCTTGCAAGTTACTGGCTGATAGAGAGAGAGAGAGAGAACAAAAAGACACACATGTGTGTTCAGCAAAACAGAACAAGGGCAAGGTGGGAAGCCGCAAGAACATGCTGCAGTCTCCATGACCCGTAACACAACTTGGGGTCCTGAGTCTCGAATTTGAGCTTCTTTTGGTCCCATGCTTGATTTGGGTCAGAAGGCGCACTCCAGGAACCCCCACACCAACTCAATCAACTCAAATTGTCAAAGGCACGGGATCGATCAAATTTTCGGGCATGGGGCCCGCCGCAGCCAAGTTCTTAACATCTATAATGATTGCCACTGCCCGCAAAGAAGCTGTGAGTTGATGGGATATACCACCACTCTGTAGCCACTATGTGGGTCTCAAACCCAGTTTCCCTTGGTAGTGGCCTGGGGGTGGTGGATGGACACATTCCCAGTTGGGATGGACAAAACTCCATGACCAATCCTACCAACTGGTGCAGGATTTTGTCCATCTGCAGGTGCCGGTGCCCTCGTTCCCATAAAGGAAACCCAAGGTCCTTGCACAGTAACCGTCCACTGTTCGATGTTCAACCAACGTCAGCTAAGAGCCGCAGTTACGACTAGGTTGATACGGGTGCGCCCGTTATAACTATGGTTGTAACCTGCTTACCTGACGTTGGTTGAGCATCCAAGTAGGGTTGGTTTGAATGGAAGCCACAAGTTGAAACGTTCCCTTCCCATTTTTTGGGGATTCAGATTCGAAACGACTATGAGACGCACCCGGACATGGCTGTGGGAAATGATCACTAGGATGCAACATAAAAGGCTTCCCAAAGACTAACCCCCCTCCATTTTTTCAGGGGGAAGATTCCCATAGCCAAACCTCGAGCAATCCCGCAACCCTGCACTTGAACCAACCCCAAAGCCATACACGTGGGGTACCTGAGGCTCCCTCAAATGGGCGCTTGGATGTTCGATTCGCCAAGTTAAGTGGTCGGCCAGGTCGGCACCTAGGATCCCACAAACCTGCACCCGGAAAATCCAAGCGGAAGAAACTTCTGCCAAAGCTCCTTCCGACCGCTGGCTCCCCGATCTCAAAGGCCCAGCCGCCGGTACTTCGCGGGTAGGCCTCTAAATCCCATCGAACACCCGAACTCGGGGAGCCGGAAACTCACCTCCTAATTTGGTTGCTGTTGACGGAAAACCGCTTGATTTCCCAAAAAGTTAAAGTCTAAAGATCCAACCTAATAGCAGTCAAGCTAAGTGGCTTGGTCCAAAACCACACATGTCTGGGTGGCTTGGTTTCCAAAAAAGGAGGCAAGCTTTTTGGTTGCCGCTCAAATGGTCCAAGCCCAAGGAACAAGTCCGTAAGCTCAAGGAGTGAGGAAGCGGGGCGTATCCCGGGCTTTTATCAGCGGCCTCGGAACTTTGATATCCATGTCATCCCCAACGGTCAGTTAAAAGAAAAAAGAGACACGAGCTGTTTGGAGTGAGGAACGCCCGTTTGCCGGGTTGCTTAAAAAAACTCAGGTTCATCCTGGGCTTCCATGGCTGACCTTCTATGTTGCCGTCAATGTCATCCCCAACGGCCAGTTAAAAGAAAAAAGAGACACGAGCTGTTTGGAGTGAGGAACGCCCGTTTGCCGGGTTGCTTAAAAAAACTCAGGTTCATCCTGGACTTCCATGGCTGACCTTCTATGTTGCCGTCAATGTCATCCCCAACGGCCAGTTAAAAGAACAAATGGACACGAGCTGTTTGGAGTGTTGAACGCCCGTTTGCCGGGTTGCTTTAAAAAACTCAGGTTCATCCTGGGCTTCCATGGCTGACCTTCTATGTTGCCGTCAATGTAATCCCCAACGGCCAGTTAAAAGAAAAAAGAGACACGAGCTGTTTGGAGTGTTGAACGCCCGTTTGCCGGGTTGCTTAAAAAAACTCAGGTTCATCCTGGGCTTCCATGGCTGACCTTCTATGTTGCCGTCAATGTCATCCCCAACGGCCAGTTAAAAGAAAAAAGAGACACGAGCTGTTTGGAGTGAGGAACGCCCGTTTGCCGGGTTGCTTAAAAAAACTCAGGATGGCCAAACTTCTTGTGTAGGAGCCCAACGGTTTGTTCACCATTGTTCCCTACGGGAAACCAACGAAGCAACCATTTGAGGGTCAACGACTTTGGGGGGTTCTGCTTATCAACCTGGGCGTGTTGCCCTTTAACTGGCCGTTGGGGATGACATTGACGGCAACATAGAAGGTCAGCCATGGAAGCCCAGGATGAACCTGTTTTTTTAAGCAACCCGGCAAACGGGCGTTCCTCACTCCAAACAGCTCGTGTCTCTTTTTTCTTTTAACTGGCCGTTGGGGATGACATTGACGGCAACATAGAAGGTCAGCCATGGAAGCCCAGGATGAACCTGAGTCTTTTTAAGCAACCCGGCAAACGGGCGTTCCTCACTCCAAACAGCTCGTGTCTAATTTTTTTTAAAAGGGCCGTTGGGGATGACATTGACGGCAACATAGAAGGTCAGCCATGGAAGCCCAGGATGAAGATCCTTCAGGTTTCTATGACAAGCAGAGGTGGTGTTTTTCTTTGAGGGTGCTTGTGTTTGCGGTTTCAAAGGGAAAACCAAAGGTAAACCACCATTTTGAGGGGCGGGTCAACTTAAAAAACAAGCCAATGTCAGGTGGCGCGAAAGAATGTAAAACAAAAAAACAAATGCCTCCCGGAGCTTCCACGACCAAAAGAGAAATCGGGGTCATATACTCAAACAGAGGGGTCCTGGTCTGGATTGCTCCAAGCTCTCCTGAGCTTTCAAAAGTTCTGTCACAACTCAGATGCCCAGTGGTCATGGGAAAAACAGGGCATCCTTTTTTGGTTGCTTGACATTTTAAGAGAAACCCTTCCCCAAAAAAAACATAATTTCACAAAAAGAGGGGGCGGAATCCACTGGGCAACTGGGACAAGCGCCAGGTCTCTCCCCGCCGCCTTTTTGTCGCTTGATGTGTCCTAATTCTCTGACTCACTCGCCAAGCGATCTCTCCGATCCGCGAGTAGTCGCGGTCGTTGCTCAGCACGTCTTCCCGCCCGGCGGCGAGATGCATCACATCCTGGCTCGCGTGACGCTTGCGTGGACCGACAGGCTTCCATTTGTTCAAGTCCCCTGAAAAAAACAAATATGTGCAGTTGTGATAGATTCCCTTTAAAACCAACAAGGGAAAATACCAAAAAACCAAAAACGTCTAAAGCCAATGGAAGTGGAGGGGGGGGGGCGGCTATGGGCAGGGGGATATCCTTATTAACCCCTCAATAAAGCCCTTATTCAGGGGCTTATGCAGGCATAGCCCTCCCCCCCATAGGTTTCCGTGGGGTCCATCATCCGACAATACCTACCGACCCCTGGTTTGGAATTAGAAACGAAGCGGATCCAAAAAAAAGCCCCTGAGGAGAGAAGCATTGTCGAAGGCGATCGGCATTGCAAACAGGGCATTCGACAATATATAATTTGTGTTTATTAGATATATGTATATATATATATACATATATATATATATACATACACAAGCTTCCCCGCATGATCCACGTTTGCAGCTGCCACGTCTAATTTTAAAGGTAAGGTCTCACACCATGTCTGTTTAATTATGCCGTGTATCTCTTTGTATTCACTTCACGTCCCTTCATTTCGCACTTTACTTTCTTTCATTGGTCTTTGCATTTCCATGTATTCCCTTCATTTCTCATGTCATTTCTCTTCCATCCTGCATCGAATTATGATGGAACATAAATAAACATGTCCTATTCATCGAATACGAAATCAGGAAGCAGCAGTGCTTGTCATTGATGAAGGATACTCACTTTCCGAGTGGATTAGCAGAACAAGTACGAATCAGTACGAATGTTTTATTTACCACTAGAATCGTCAAGTTTAAAGTCCGGAACGGAAATCAGGGGAGTGAAAACATATATCTTGCGTAAAAACATTAATATCCATTCAAATTGTCCATCTGGACCAAGGGCACTTGTTTTGCCAATGTCCGCAAACGCTGTCGCCTTCTGCTGCTTGTTCAAGGGAACCAAGGAAAACAACCCTAATTTTGCTCACGTCCGATCAAGCGGATTGGCAAAACAACTTCGTATCATAACTGTTTAATTGAAACTAGAATGGTGGTCCCAAGAAGCAAGTCCAGGAACTCAGAAGGTATCCAAACCCATTTGCAGCCAAGATCAATTGACCCCATTCTAGGACACGACCAATTCAAGCTGGGAGCCCACTATCTGCTGTGTTGAAATTCCAAACCATAGAAACGGCAGTCCGTAGAACTCTCCATAAGGCAACATCCTCGCACCAGGTGGAAGGATGTAAAAGGATGCGACCACACAAAGATACCGCTTGGATGCTTGGCCAAGTTAGTGAGTGCTTAGCCACCCGTGAAAACCCCTATCATAACAGGGTTAGCTCCAGTCGGGGACTTTTCAGCGGGTTGTAACCTAGGTGACCAACAACTTACTCCCTTGGCGAATCGAACACCCAAGTAGGGCTCATGCAATTTTGTCTGGCTACCATGGGGCTGAAGACAACCCAGCAAGTCCTGATACACGAGGCAAGCTCGGGTGCACGAATTCGAGCATAAACCTGCGGCTACGCCGTCCAAAGATGTAAACCTAGGTAATATCTAGTAGTCAAACCTTCAGATATTACCAACAAAAATGGATAACACCAGTTCCTTGCGCCTCTTAAAGCCTTGAAGCCCTGTACAGAAAAAACATCGAAGCCCCGCCGGGTCCTTGATGATGTCATGGTTTCCCAGCATCTCCACGTGCTTGGCTGACTTTGGGCCGCCCCGCGCATCGGAGAACAAGGAGCTGGACATGTCGATGTACTCCCGAACCTGATCCGAACTTGACGGCTCCCCGGCCCAGCCAAAATTGCCCGACAGGGTTTGCCCCTCAAGCGGAACCTGACATATCCAAACCCTCCATTTGCTTAAGTTTTCTGTGAAAAAACATATGTCCAGCAGTGACACGTCCCCTTTAAAACCGTCCCCTGGAGAAAGAAACAAACATATGTCCAGCAGTGACGCATCCCGTGTAAAACCGTCCCCCGGAGAAAAACACATATTTCCAGCAGTGACACGTCCCCTTTAAAACCGTCCCCTGGAGAAAGAAACAAACATATGTTCAGCAGTGACGCATCCCGTGTAAAACTGTCCCCCGGAGAAAAACACATATTTCCAGCAGTGACACGTCCCCTTTAAAACCGTCCCCTGGAGAAAGAAACAAACATATGTCCAGCAGTGACGCATCCCGTGTAAAACCGTCCCCCGGAGAAAAACACATATTTCCAGCAGTGACACGTCCCCTTTAAAACCGTCCCCTGGAGAAAGAAACAAACATATGTCCAGCAGTGACGCATCCCGTGTAAAACCGTCCCCCGGAGAAAAACACATATTTCCAGCAGTGACACGTCCCCTTTAAAACCGTCCCCTGGAGAAAGAAACAAACATATGTCCAGCAGTGACGCATCCCGTGTAAAACCGTCCCCCGGAGAAAAACACACACACACACATTCAGTGACGCATCCCCTTTAAATCCGTCCCCTGGAAAAAAAAAAAGAGAAAAGAACATATATTTCCAGCAGTGACACATCCCCTTTAAAACCGTTCCCTGGAAAAACAGAACACACACATATTTCCAGCAGTGACACATCCCCTTTAAAACCGTCCCCTGGAAAAAACAGAAAACACATATTTCTAGCAGTGACACATCCCCTTTAGTGACACATTTCCCCTTGGAAAACAAAACAAAACAAAAAAACATATTTCCCGCAGTGACACAAGGTGCCTTTTTTAGGGATCCCCTCACGGGTTGGTGAAAAACATGACGCAACTTCGCCCAGAAGTCTTGCCAGTTCTCCTGGGCGCTAATTGTTGTTTGTTTTAATTATCCCTGTTGGTTTTGCGGGGTGTTACTGCTGGAAATATGTTTTCCTTCTCCAGGGGACGGCTTGAAAGGGATTCTTTTCTGTGAAAGGCAAAGGGTGCTTTGGTTCCTTGCGAACGTTGAATCTGTTGCTTGGTTGCTCAACGACAGGTGAGGTTCCTTTTTCGATGGTTGCAAGGCCCCAGTTCCCCTAGTTATAACCATGGTTATAATGTTGACCCCGGATTGATAAACCCTTGTTTATTCATATGGGGGTGCTTCCCTCCAATCCCCACTAAAACCAGCGACACGGGACACCCCCCCATTGACAAACTGGGATCATTAATCCAGGGTTGCCATTTATCTCCTTACCTAACGTTGGCCAAACAGCCCACAATCACCCAAGCTATAACCATGCCCTAGGCTGTAACCCCAATGAAAATAATGGATGACCCAATTTAGATGATGACAGGTTGTAGTAACCCTTATTGATTTAATGCTGGGAAATGATTCCCGTTGTAGGTACAAGGGGGGTTCAGCGTCTCAAAAAGTCGGAAATCACCAACCATAATTTTGTGGCAATATCCCACTGTAAGGTTGTTTGAGGGTTCAGGTGGTTATAATCTGCTTACCTGATGTTGAACATCCGAAGCCTTGGACCACATCGTGTCTAGAAACCCAGAAAGCCGAATCGCACCACCCATCGGCTCGGTTTTAACTTCACCATGCCGACAAAACGAAACGGGTCCGCTCCCTTACTCCAATAGTTAAGGCATCCACCCTTTGGCTCTGACTCAATATGCTAGAAATCTTAGACTCACTGCAACAATAATGATTCTTGGAAAGCAAACAAGGGACTCAAACAAATGGACAAAACCTTCGACCCACTTCCAAACAAGTGCTTTGTTTTAGCTGCTCAGAGACAGTGGCTGGAAAACAAGGCCAACAGTCGCTCAGAGGCCGGATGTTTTTTTTTCTCCTGGCCATCGATGGGCTGCCAGCTGGGGCGCCACCGGCTTGATGTTGGCCGGGTTCAGCTCCGGGAAGTCCCGCCAGGCGCCTTTGCACATGTAGCCCAAGGACAGCAAAGGCACCGTGCCGTCCCCGTCCACGGTGGAGAGCCCGTAGTCCATTCTGAGAAAGAAAAAAAAACGCGAAGCGAGTGCGAACGCCGCCCCCGGAATTTGTTTTTGCCCTACCAGCTAACATGGGTTTGTGCATTCGGACCCCTGTAGAAAGACTACTTTCCTCTTGGAAAGGGCCTTTTTGCACTTCCATGTTAGTTGGTGGGAGGGTATCCCGACCTTTTGCGGAAATCGACGGGTTTCCCTACTAAATGGTCCCTTACCTCTCCTCAACTAGTGGAACCTGTCTCAGCTATGCTGGCAAATTCGCAGGGAACCACAAAAGGAGGGGCCAAAAGGAGATTCCACTAAACATTGTGGTTCTTGTTAGGTTCCATGAAGCTGGTGAGAAAGGCTGGTAGTTGGGAACCGCGCCTTTCTGCCGCTTCCCCTTATTGTTCCCACAAGACAACATCGAACAGAAGGGGGTGCTCACCCTTTCTGGAAACACCCCAAACGGTTGTGGAACATCGCATTCCAATGCCTCTGACTGTCGCTGCGATTCAACCGTTTGTAATGACATCTTGGCAAGCTAGAACAGTAGCGGAGTCCTATTCGATTCAATACTTAGTCTTCCAGGACCCCTCAGGCAGGTTCCACCTTAGTGAACGGCAAGGTATGTTCACACACTGGCAATAATGACCCCCGCAAACACAGGAGCCTTCATGTGTGAGGTGGCAATCATGATATTGGATCGGCCAGGAACAGCAACCGAACTTTCATTTACCACCAAAATCTTGGGGTCATTGACCCATTGTTAAAGGGTCATGGAGACTCCAGGCAAAAATGGTCCAGGCCCAAAAAGTGACTAAAGTCCAGATGTCAGGGAGTGAGAGATAGGCGATATTCCCTTGGAAAAACTCAAGGAACTCAGAAGCTGTGGTATAGTTCCACCAAAACCAATTTGACATGGCAAAACGGCGGCTTGCATCCTTCAAGTCCCGTTGAATATAATCATCGCCAGTGTTTGTTTTTTTGGTGCCTTTGACGAATTGCTAGGTCCTCCAGTAGAAAGGTCAGAATAAGCTGGTACCAACTTTTTTCAGGACGTCTATTTTAGTAGGGGAACCCTCCCCCACAAAAGGGTAAAAGGGCACTACTGCGGGACCTAGTATCAATCATCGCTCAAAGAAGCCTGAACTTGCAGTGATTTTTGGTGTTGTGCCTTTGATGAATTGGGGGAAAGCACGATGATCGAAATGGTCCGAAAACGGAAGGTGGCCGAAAAAACGTCAGATGTTTTAAGGGGACTCGGGTCACTTGATGGTTCACATTCTGCGTAACCCTGGCCACCTTTGTCTCAGAACAAGCATGAAGGACCACTTGGTATTTCATAAGATTGTGGGCGCCGACAATGAAGCTAACCAGCTCCAGAGTTCCAACTGGTTTAGATGTTATCTATTGTATGCATGTTCTGTGAACATATTGGAGCATACCCTTGGATGCACACGTTTATATATATATATATGTATATGTCCATGAAACTATCTATCCATACAGCAAAACTCCTGGGACACCTATGGCGCAAACGTACATTCAGCTTCCCTCGAGTAGGTGGTTTGGACTGGTGGTTGGGAGGTTAGAAGCTGGTTTTCTTCTCATCCTCTGCAGGAACCGGGCTAACCCCACAAACCACCAATCCAAACCACCAATTGAGGAATGTCTGATTCAAGGTAGTGTGCAACTAAACTGGCAGCGGCTCAAAATTAAAGAGCCAGGGTTACGCAGGTTTTGGTCCATTTTTCCACTTACCAGGGTTCCATTGTGGTGCCGGTTTTTTGAGCCATACCCAACTCACTTGCTAGAAAAGGCCCCAAAAGTGACAGGTGAACCTTTTGGGACCTTGACTGAATACGTACCAAAAGGGCTAAAAAACTAGCTTCTTCCATTTGCTTACCTAAGCCTGGAGAAAAACACGTATTTCCAGCAGTGATCGATTCCCTTTAAAAACAAACGGAGAAAATAACACATTTTCTTAAGCAAATGGAAGATCAAAACCAAAGTAAAACCAGTGCCATCCATGCGTTAGTCTATTCTTAAGCAAATGAGCCACAATCAAAACCTCTTCCGAAAATGGTGACCCAAAACCATGTAAAGAATCAAGAAGGCGGATCTCCGCAGCTAGTTATGGTCTGGGATTGTCGCTTACTCACCTTCAACTACCCGAATCGGTTTTGATTCTGTACAGCTGTTTGTCCTTCAGCATGATCCCAAGCGCGCGTGCCAAATTAGGGAAGCCCATTGAGGGAAAATCCATCCGGCCCACGGAAACCAACCAAAGGCATCTTTGAAGTTCCAGGCAAGGGGCAACTGGATGACACTTGCTGGTGATAGGGAATGAGAGAGTGAATTTGGGGATTTGGGGGATGGTTTACAGGGTTCATTCCATTTGGCCATGGGTCAAAATCCAACTCGTGCCTTCAGCGAACATCCCAATCCCCACTAAAATAGGTTTTCTGACATGGGTGGTAAATTCACCGAATCCCAACCAAATGGGATCCCAAAGCGGTTTCGACAACCACGGCCATTTCTCCAATGGCAGGCATCTTTGATCCCGACCGCCCAAGGCCCAGCGGGCGGCCTGGCGCTTTCGATGGCCCCCAGGGCGTAGGATGCGTCGTCGCTCACCTGGCATGGACGGGCGGCCTTCAAGGAGCAATCCTCGAGCTGGTCGAATTCAAGCGAAACCAAAGGGAAGACGAGAGGAAAACAAAGAGGGACCAAAAAAAACACACTTCCTTGCAAGTTGCCCCCCGAATTTGGAGAGTGACTTGGTTTCTCTTTTGGGGATTTTTGTTCTTTTGGTTCGGTTTGGAAACATGCCATCCATTTTGGAGTTGGACGGGTCGGCTAGGGCCTCAGGGCCCTGGTGCAAGGCAATTTCTGGGCTTTGGGTTTGGACGGGTGAGCAACGGACGACCATCCCCGGCTTTGCGGTCTCCATGTCAACGTGCGTAAGGTACCTGGAGTCTCCATGACCAGAAAAAGGGGTCATGACCTCATATTTTTTGAAAAATGATCCCAGTTTTGAAGGGTCAGAAGGAGACATGGAGACTCTAGGTACTTCAACCTCATGTATCCCAGCACAAACATCATGTGTGCCCCCACGGACTATCAAGTCGCTCGACTCAAAGGGTATCAAGGGACCCTGGCAAAGCTGTTGGAATCTGAAACAACAATTCACCCAAAAAACCATTCCCTATGAAGAGACTCACTTGATGGTACATGGCAGCTTGGGGCTTCCCACCATTTGCAAATTGTTGTTGACTTTAAGCGGATTGGCCAGACAAAGTAACGATACTTGTTGTTTTCCACTAAAATAGTCCAGACCCTAAAAAGTGACCATCAAGTCCAAAGTTAATTCCTCAGGTAGTGCTCAGACCGCCAAAGTGACTGGCGTCCATACTTCCTCAGGGAGTAGACCGCAAAAGCGAGGATCAAGTCCACGATTGTTTCAGGGAGTGAGAGGCAAGGGGGAAATCAACCCTTAGAGACTAGGTCCTCCAGTAGAGAGGTTAGAATAAGTTGGTACCAACTTTGTTCTGTAGTCTATTTTAGTAGAGGAACCCTCCCCCAAAAAAGAAACGGTAAAAGGGCACTACTGGGGGACCTCGGAGTAGAGGACTCCGAGCCGAGCCACGGAGTGGGAGGTGTAGTCGATCCGCCCGAAGGTCTCCCCCGGAGCAGGGTTTGTGTAGCTGTACGCCCGCTCCGTGCGCACCTCAAGAAACGCAGGCCTGCCGAAATCCGTTTGTTTGTTTTTGTTTGTGTGCGTTTTTTTTGGGTTTCCGCTGGCAGATGTGTTTTTTGTTTTTGGTAAAAAATAGTTTGTGTTGTTTTCTTCCGCTGGCAGATGTTGTTGTTTTTGTTTAGCAACAAGAAACTCAATAGGGTAGACAAAGTATAGGGGGGGGGTTGTGAGGATGTGTGTAACATTGGTTCTACCCTATCTAACTGGCAGACATGCTTTTTCTTGTAAACAAATCGGGCGGACGAGGTATGGGGGGTGTGGGTCCACGTCTGAGGATGTATGAAACATTGGTTCTAGCCTATCTAACTATACATACCGCAGTGTACCCCCCCCAAACAAAAAACAAATAAATGAATAATGTTTGATTGCTGAAGCAACTAGCCAAATCGAACTAAGCTTTCAACAGCAAGCTGAATTTGTGATGTGTCAACGGGTGTTGGGTCCCTATGGCTTCGGTTGTCCTTTTGGTTTCCCTGGCAAACAGCCCCAAAAAAAAGGGGCGCCCTTAACAAAAAAACTAAAACACCATATCCTCGATGGTTGGTTTGTTCTTCACGGGAAGTAAGAGGAGTTTGAACCGATGTGCTCCAACAAAAGTCACCGGGCCTCATGTGGTGCTCAACGTGCAACCTTTGGAGGTTCCAAAAAAGACATGGAGGAGACACTGTCCATGCGTTTCGATTCCCAAGCTGATGAACCGTTAGTTCAACTCACTTCCGATCTAGCGTGGACTGGCCAAAGGAAGTAAACAGGAACTTGCGCAGACCACTAACATGGCCTTCCCCCCATTAAACTCAAAGAACTCGGGGAGTGAGTGAAAAGAACTGGCTTCATTGTACCCATCAGTATTAGGCTCCGAGCAACAAACATGCTTCATGCGAGCCCAGGGAACGGCCCTGAAGATCTGATGCCTCCCATCGGCAACCCTTAAAAAGGTGGGGGGGTGTTTTCTTATATCTTATGGGGAACCTCTCCAAAATATGGGGTCTTCCATTTTTCGTGTCCCTGTAAAACCGCTAAACATGGAGATCCCTATAAAAAAAAACAGGCTGGTGTGAGGAGTTGATGCCGCGATGGCCGCCGTGGGGAACCCTTTTGACTTTTGGAGCCCTTCAAGTTGGGGGAGACCCTGAAACCATCACTGTGTCTGAGCGGCCGACCGTACAACGCGGCTTGCGGCTTGCGGATGCGACCCTTTGTGCCTATGCCAAGCCACCTACTACTGGAAAGCTGATAGCTCTTCACTCGCAAAAGACCAGGGACTGTGTTTTCTGGTGGAACACCATTTCCTGGGGCTTGGCTCCTAGCCTAGATGCACTCACTGACCCATTTTGACCCCCTAAATACATCCTCAAGAGCTACTTAAAACCCTCTGGGTGGGTTGCCATCCTTCCAACAATCAGGGTGAGATGGAATCTTCAAAAGCCGGTTCCACTGGGGTCATTACTTTGAGGGTTTCGGGGGGTTATCAAAGTCAGAAAATTGGGGGTTGGTTCCCTTAATCCACCACTGAACGGCCGATTGCGGTGTGAGGACTTCTCACTTGCTGTGGGGATTGGCCGCAAAGAGTCCAAACTTCTCATGCACTACTCAACTCAGCGCAGGCGCCCCCACGCCGTACATGCAGAAGACCTTGAGGTTAGGAGCTTTCGGCAGTGCAGAGCTGAAGGGGTCCCAGGAGATCCGCTGCGGAAAGCACTGCCTTAGGCCGTCGGTGCTCGGCCGAGTTGATGAGTTGGCCCGGCCGGAGCATTTTTGGTCCACAAAACTTGGGTGCTGTAGATCCCGCAAAAAGTGAACAACTGTTTGCTGGTTAAAAGGAAATATGAGGGGAACCAAAAAGTTAAAGTAAACAAATGCAATTCGCAGTAGATAAAAATGGTCTTCTCACAAAGTATAAGGGCCAGGAACTCAGGGAAGTAAGTGAGTCATGCTAAGTAGAGCCAACCTTGTTAGTGGGTTATACCCCAGGCGGTCAAGTCCCTTTACTAACTTGGCGGATCGAAGATCCAAGTGGGCCACGCGCGGAGCCTTGCTTCCCTAAGGGTCCGATCGGGGCTTGGTATGCAAAACCCGGCGGCTCCCATACCACATTTGGGGGTGTGAAAAGGACTTATATGTTCAGGGATTTCCCAAATTCCACCAGGACCCTTATACAGTTTGGGACACGTTGGGTCCTCTGGACAAGGGACAAACAAATGACAAGTCATTCCCTTTTGGTTGCCCTTTGAATAAAACTTAGCGGCCGTATCATCCAGAGGGGATAACGCAACTGATCAAGGGTGTGGCTGTAATGGTTAGACCCTGCTATTAACACTTACCCTGTTTTATCAGAACGGTTCACAGGCCGCTTTCAAGCGGCAACCTGCCCTGTTTGAACATTCCTGAGATGGGTGGGGGCCTTTTCCGTGCTTTGAAAGCGAAACCGACCATTTTGGTGGGCCCAAAAGGTGATGTTCGAACCGGCCGGGGAGCGTCGCAACCGAAGGATTCACGTCATCGTTTGCACATGCGTTGTGGCTGTTCAAGGCAACCACACGTGTACCAACCTACCAAAACTCGTCCACAAGTGAGTTATGATTAGCTCGGTTTGGCTTGCGTTGTTTGTGCTTTGAAGCGATCGTTTACTCAACGACCCCTGCGCCTCACAAGCCATCCAAGGGTACCAAGCCCGTTTTCAGGCCGTTTGTGAATTCCTTGTTGACTGATGGGGGAGCAACAAATCCAATGTAACTCAGCTGGGGTCTAGAAATGACAGGTGATCACCTTGGGCCACAACACATGACCAAGGGGAAACTAAAAGGTGATTGCAGGTTGATTCGCTTTGGGCAAGTGAAACACTTAGAGGGGCGATCGGGTACGTCCGGTAAGTAGGTAATAACCATGGCCATCACCCACTTACCATGGCTGTAAATCTCCCAAGTGGGTTTTTCCCAGGCTTACTATCCTCTTACGAAGTACCCTGCCCCAGTAAGTAAGGGACCCTCTCAAAAAGGACACATGTGCCAGATTTCTGCTGGGTTGCGCCTCTTTGGCGCCAAATCCAACCGCGCACTCTCCCACCTGACACAAGGCCAAGACAAAAAGGGGGGAGTGCGGACAAGAAAAGGGGGGGTGCTTTTCTCCGGGATTGAAACCATGGTTGGGTTCATAGAACCATCATTACCAAAGGATTGTCATCATCTAAACTGGGTCAACCATTTCATTTTAATCGGGGCTGACACGGCATTCTTCCACACTGAATGCCGACTGCCGACACCTTGGTGAATCTAACCAGACTTCTTTGCTCCCTTGAGTACTCTAGGACACACATGCAAGGGATCAATTGCGCGGCACAGTTTTTGCCCCGCATGTCAGGATTCACGTGTCGCATGTGACACAACCCTCTCGTTCGCCGGCGTTTGCGCTGGACGTTGAAAGATGTCAACGCCTTCTCACTTGCCATGTGATGCCCCATGGAAGAAGGACAGCCCGTCTGCTGAATTGAAAGGGAACCCCATCAAAGCCATGTAAGGGGGCCCCGAGAGCCAAAGGCCGGTGATGTGCCTATTCAGTTGACCCATGACAGGGTCTGACTCAAATGTCGAGATGTTTCCCTCCTCTCGTCCCGACCTGGGCCTTTTTGGGTTTCTCTCAAGGAACTGAAGAAACACTTTGCACACTATAATTTAGTTGCACAGGTAACCCACCCGCAGGGTGCCCGGCACGTTTGTTTTCTTTACCACGATGGTCGTCTTCCCAAGCGACCAAACTCAGGGAACTCAAGCTTTTCAGATCTTCTTTGGATGGTACTGATTCTGGTGGACAGTCGGACGGCAAACACAACAACACATATGTTGTGGGGCGAACACGCGAGAGGACGGGCCCGAGCAATTGTGGGCATTTTGTGGCGCATCAACCGGGAGTTCTTCCAAAAATGGGCGGGACCTTCTTGTGATTGGTATGCAAAGGGAAACACAGAAGGAAGCCAACCACTTTTTCGCGTCCAGTCCTAACCCCGAAGGCTGATGATCTGAATCCATGGCCATTTGGGACCCGTTTCTAAGGGCGGATTTTCCATCAAGCCATAACTAACTGTGAATTCACCCATCAACTAGGGGTTACCTGGGGCCCATAGATCGGAAACTTTGCAATAATTCCAAAAGCTGAATTAAGATTCGGATCCCCAAGTAAAGGACCTCTGTCATGGCTTTCGCTCGATATGGCCCCAATCGCTGAGCTCGCTACACGATAGGCAGAAATATACGGACATATACCTGGACCATTGGCTGGAAAACCACAAAAAAGATGACATGTCCCATTAAGCTGGAAAAAGTTACCCATGGTCATTTGGGGGCCAAAGGGAATGTGGGTGTGGATTAAAATTCAAGGGCTATGGCAAACCGCCAGGTTTTAGTCTTTGGTTCCATTTACCCTTTGGTGTCAATTGGGTCACCATGACTTTTTTTGCCATACGGATTCACGCCCCATATACACCCCAGGTATGAACCCCCGTAAGCTTATGGGTTAATTCAGTTAGCTGTGGCGTAATTATGGATAATCCGCCCCCCAAAAAAAACCAAATGGCCATGCATATATGGCCATGGGTCAAAATCCAAATCGTGCCCCCAGTGAACATCCCAATCCCCACTAGAATCGGTTCTAACTAAGGGCAAAACAGATGTGGTCACCAGTTGGGGGGGGGCAGGCAAAAATCTTAGCGAACCTACGCGAACCCAAAGTACCTAAGCGAACGTTTGCGAACCCGCTTCTCATCTGCGAACATGGCGGGGATTGCGAACTGTCAAAGTCACGCGCGAACGCAGGGGGGCTTAGCTAGGCTGCCAGGGCTGCGCCGAGCCGGCGCCGCCTCTGGCAGGACCTGGCCAGGGCTGCGCCGGGCCGGCGCCTCCTCTGGCAGGACCTGGCCAGGGCTGCGCCGGGCCGGCGCCGCCCTCGCACGAACCCTGGATTGGGTTTGCGAACCTTTGGATTTCCCAATTCAGTTTGCGAAGGTTTGCGAATTCCATTTCGGGTTTGCGAACCCGGCCAGGCATTGCGAACTTTGAGTCGAACCCCCAACAGATTTGCGAACCTGTGCGAATGGTCATGGCCTGCCCCCCCCTCAGTGGTGACCACATCCGTTTTGCCCTGACTAACATGGGTGGTGAATTCACCAAACAAACCAAAATGGGATCCCAAAAACGGTTTTGACAACACCAGCCATATAGGGACCTGCACCTGGAGTCTCCATGACCCTTGAAAAATGGTTGGTCATTACCCAAAACAATGGTTGGTCATTGACCCATTTCTGATTCGGGTCATGCAGACTCCAGGTACATTCAGCCTGCGACCATCCCCGCGCGCACCCCTTCCGTTTGGTTCATGAGCAGCTCCATGGACGCAGTCACCGGCAAGGACCTCAGCCGCAGCCGCGCGCCCGCGCGCCGGGGGGTTTCCTCGTGGTCTTCTCTGTAGACTCCTTGGCCCAGGACCTGGACTGTGGATGGTTGCGAAATCCGTCCGCTCCAGCTTGAAGCCATGGTTTAAAAAAAACTGTTGTTGGTATTTACAGGGGAAGCATCATTCCATGGTTTCTTGCGCGGTGCAGGATTTCGTACATCCACAGTAGGTTGAGGTGTTCTTTGTTTCCGTGTTGTTTATTTTGGTTTTAGACTTCTTTGTCCAAAAGGATTTGGAAATAAGTTCGTTATCCTGGAACCTTGAGTCAATATGGAACAAATCAGGGAAACAGGAGGGTTAAAAGCTCGACTCGCTTTGGGCAAGTGAGTAGAGGTCAGAAGCACACCTCCGATAGGGGAAACCCAAACAGACGTGATTTTGAGGACCCCCACCTTCGGAAAAAAATGAAAACACAAAAAGTGACCACTTATTACTTGTGTGCGCTGGTCGAGTTTCTTAAGGGAAACCCTTTGAAGCCAAAGTGCTGGGCATTTGGGCTTCATGGGAAATCAAAGGAACCACCTGTTCCCTCAGACTTCCGAAGTAGGCCTCTCCGCAAGAACAAGGCCTCACTACTAAGAGAGGCCTAGGACGTTCAGGGTGATTGAATGTATAACGTTTTAAGGGAAACCGTTTGCCGAAAATTCAGCAAACGATTCGAATTTCGAAGGACCCGACCACCTTAGAAAAAAGAAAGAAAGAAGAGAACACGCAAGGAAGCCACGCCGGTTTTGGTTGGTCGCGTTTTTCCAAGGGGTTCACCATCAAAACACGGAAACAACCTTTTAAATGGACACAGGGCGCAGGGCCTGCAGGAAACCACAGGAGTTCACCCCAGGCGAACCACGGGGGATAACCACTTTTGGTGCTCTCCAAAATTCCCGAGACAAGTACCTTGTCATAAACCCAGCTCTTGGCCCCCAGTGCACTTCAGAAGGTAGCAGGCACATGCTGGGGGCCCCTTCTTGTTGATGCTTAAAAGGCAACCGTCTTTCGAAAGCAAGATGGTTTCTTAGAAGCGCATATCCAATTGCTATCGAAAAAGCGACACAGGGTCCCTTAAAGGATACAGGTAGACAGTACACCAAATGGACATGTAGAAACCCCGGAACACCTGAGTGGCTTTGAACGTGGCAAACATGCATCTTTTTAGGAAGGGCGGTTGCCAGCCATTCGGGGGTGCTGGTACTATGTCTGCTCGATTTTCAAGGGACACACTTCCCCGAAACGTGCCGAACATCGGACACCGGGGTTTAAGGAACTTGCGGCAAACCAAGACAACTACAGAGAGAAATTATGAGAGCAGTTCTTCAGAAGCCCTTAAAATTATGAGAGCAATTATTTCGGGGTTGGTTCATTTCTCTATGAGAAACTCGGAAGCCCCCAAAAATCAAATTGAAAAACCGGGTGCAACTCGGCCAAGGCACTGCTTCCCCTTGCGAGTTATGAGGTCGCAGCGGCAGTCTGTGGGTTCTTGTCGGGAGCCCCAGACCAAGTCACCGCCCTTCGGCAGAATCTCGTACCTGGAGTCTAAGCCTTGAAATACTCGCTGTAGTGCATCCCAGGCAACCCTTATTGTAGGTAACAAGCTAGTTTCCTTTTGGTTCTTCAAGGTGGTTCTCTTGGTTCTCTTGGTTACCTGCTCTACAGGTAAATGGATGCGCTGCGTGCATCTTGTTTGTGGCTTTAGGACATACCTGGAGTCTCCATGATCCTTTCAAAATTGGGGTGATTCTCAATGTGGAGTAGATGACGCCATGTTTGAAGGGTCATGGAGACTCCAGGTATTCTGGAACAACGGTGTTCCTTAGTAAGTACCTCAATGAGAGTTCCCCCACGAGCGCTGCTTCCTGGCAGGATTGGCGTCCGGTAGGGAACTTCAAGAATTTCGGGATACCGTTTGAGATCCGGCGGTCCTCTAAGAAAGCACCTGCGTTGGATGGCTTATGGGAGGTGTTCACGATTGCCGAGATGTTGGAGCTATGGAGGTTATATACTGTTGTTTGTTTTGTATATAAGGGTATACATACATATAGCTGCATTACACGCTGATATTGGTGTCCATCCCTCAGAAATGCGCACAACGCGTTTAACTGTTTGCTGGATTAGTGGGGAAGCACGCATTTCAACCAACAAATTCACAGAGAACAATCAATTTCAATAGCTAAGGAGCTTCTGTTTTTGCTCACTTGTGAGTCAACCACGGATTCAGTGGGGTCCCTTTAACCTGCCAAACTCAAGGATATACCCTGAAAGGGTTGGTGCCCAACCTCATAACAGGGGGATTATGCCATCTACTTTCACCCAGTGAGACAAGGCCACAGGCTAGCCTCAAAAGAAAGAAAGCCAACACCAAACGAGCCACGATCAATATTTGAGCCCCAACTCACATTGGATTGGGGTAGCTCCCCATTTTCTATTGCCAGTTTGGTGAGTGTGTCCCTTTTCTTTCTCGTTCGCTTTAAAGAAGATGACGGTGTTCATGTTGAACGTTTGATCATCTACCCTCATGTCTTCTTTGTTTCCGCCAATCGCCTGGTACATACCCCCGAAAGCACACACCGCAAAAAGGGTACGTCCGGAGAAGAACAACAATATGTCCTTACAAATTAACCTGGAACCCAACACGAGCTCCCAACAAAAACATGTCCTCTACACATGATGGCTTTGTGGGTTCCATGTTGGTCTGTAAGGTGAGTAAATAAATACGTACATAGATAAATACATATATATAACACATATAAAGCAATATGGTTACAGTGTCTTAAACATAGCTTGTGGCTAACCACACATATATATATATATATATATACACACTATACAGCATCTCAGAAAAAAAGAAAACAAACACACTATACACTATACAGTATCTTATATATGTATATATATATTAAAACAAAAAATGACACATCCAAGAACCCGAGCCGTTCAGGGCGCAAGGAGCCCCAGGTGCGCGCCACATCCCGCATCTCCAGGCGCCCATCCTCGCGGAAAAAAAGGAAAACAACCAACGCGTCTCTCGCTTGAGTGAAGCAAGTCCATGTGTTGCTATTTATTTATGTATTCTTGTAGTTCCTTAATTTGTTGATTTACTTATTGATTTATTTTTGTTTATATGTTTATTTATTTGTTTATTGTGTTTTTTTGTTTTTAATCTATTCATGTGTTTGCATCCAAAGTGGTCTTCTCAGTTTGATTGAAACAAATGCAAACTGATGCTCAAAGTCCCGGTGCGCTAGTGTCCTTGTAACCATGGCTTTTGTGGGTTACAACCAGGCTTCCTAACCACTTACTTGGATGTTCGATTTGCCAAGTTGGTGAGTGCTTGGCCAACCGTGTCATAATCCTATAATAACATGGTTAACTCCACTGAACGGGGGAACTTATAAGCGGGTTGTAACCTAGGTGACCAGCAACTTACTACCTTGCCGAATCGAACACCCAAGTACTAACCCCTTAAGTAGGGCTCTTGGCTATGTGCTATGTCTCCTTCGTGTATTTTCTCCCACAGCTTCACCATTTGTAGGTGCTCTTGTTCTCCTCTCCTCAAAACTGGGCGCTTCTCAAAGTTGGGGGCCTTTGATTTTCTCCAGGTGGCGCCCTTTTGGTGTCCCCCTGCTGTAGATGGTAACTAAATCCATTTCGCACCACCTAAGAAACCCTGGAATGAGAGTTCCCCTGCAAATACCAACAAAAGCCATGGCTTCAACCATGGTTTCATTTTGTGGTGCAAAACGGATTGCGCAACCATCCACAGCAGCACGCCCAAAAATCCGCGCGCGTTGCGCCATCGATCCCTCCCCGCACGTCCTCGCCCAGGAGGTTCCGCAGCAGCGGCGCAAGGAGCACTGCCATGGCGCCCATGTGGAACTCCCCGGAGAGGAGGCTGGTCAGCGGTCCCATAGCGCCTGCAGACTGCAGACGGTACCGTGAGGTAGGTGGTTGTAATGAGGGTTCCGGTAGAGAAAAAAGAATCGGCATCCCTTCATGGTTGAGTTTAAAGGGGAACCATGGGGGAAGAAAGGGCATCCTTATCTAGGTCCTTCAGTGCAGGTTGGTCAGAATAAGGGTACGTGATGTATCTAAATCCGGTCCGTGTCTCTTTAAGTGGGAGGTTGAACTTCCCACAGTTTGCCAAACAACCACTGAAATGAACAGCCTCCCTGGAGAAGGGTTTCTACACTACCAGGTGCGCTGCTTCTTTTAGGTCCTCCAGTGGAGAGGTCAGAATAAGGGTACCCACTTTTTTCAGGACGTCTGTTTTAGTAGGGGAACCCTCCCACCCAAAAAAAAGGAGAGAAAAGGCACTACTGGGGGACCTAGTTGTAATAACCATGGTTGTAACCCGGTTACAAGTCTCCGTTCAACGGGCTAAGCAAATCTTGGGAGGCCTAAGAAGCCCTACTTTAAGGGGCAGGGTCCCGCGGGTGGAAGTTGCAACCCAATTACCATGGTTACAAGTCTCCGTTCAGTGAGTTACAACCTGACCAAGTACCCGATCGCCCACAACCTCACTAACCGCTGACCAAGTACCCGATCGCCCCTTTAAGCTTGTGCGGATTTACCCAAACGATTTTTCTTGCTTCCAATCGAGTGGATTCGCTAACAAACAATTGCCAAGTCATTGATTTACCACTGAAGTGGTCCAATGCCAAAACAATTGAAGTCCAGGCACCCGTGTTCCGTGAGTGATGGAACCGGACAAGGGGCTCCTGCAAAAGAGCTTTTGGCTCCCTGATAGTAGTGAACTGATCATGTTTGTGGGGATTTTCCTGACTAGTATCCTCCAAATGAATCCGAAGTCAAGGTAGCACTGGAAAAAGAAACATCCCCAAACAGACCCTCGTCAGACAGCCCCTCCCCCGCCTAGTAAGGGCCCACCCAGATTGGCCAAAGTGTGCACGTGTCGGTCCACCCAGGAGGAATCCGCCTTCGCGATCCAGTCCTTGGTGTCAGCACCCGGAAATAAACTCAGTCGCCCAAAGGACCTGGAAAAAAAAAGTCGACTTGTTTTTTTTGGGGGGGGCAATGACTAAAGATGGAAAATGAGCGAACATGGACCAAAAAACCGCCAATGACGAAACATGGTTGCCAACATGGGGAAACCACAAATCAACAGGTCGGCTTTGGACCAGTGAGTAAAAGGTGATCACCCTTTGAGACCTAAAGAACAGGTATCGAGACCCCACAGCCCAAAAAAAAACCCTCGCAAGGAGCCGAATCTTCGGAACCCACCCCACATACCCAACACACCCCACATACCAACCACATATAAAAAGCATACCCCACACCCCACACACCCAGACGCTGCCCCATTTCAGGTTCAGACCCACCTTGAAAGCTGCCCCAAACTTCCCCCGAGGCTTTCTGGGCCCATCGGCCCCACAGCCAGCTGTTGGGGAGAAATGGCCCAAGAGTGGGACAAAACAACATGTCGAAGCGGCCGGCCTTGTGCAACTGAAAAGTTCAGAAGTCCTGGGGCCGCTGTTTTTGGTCCGGAACCTCTGTGGCGCAAGGCCAGGGCAGAACGCGGACAGCTTTGGCTGGGAAAAAGACGTACCCTTGTTACCTCTTCAAGACTTACGGAAGGGGCTTGGGGGGGGGGGGGGTCAAAATGGGTCGGTTTGTAGATCCTTAGGTAAGATCCTGAAGGGGAGCAACCCCTGTTACTCTGGGTATAGCCACGGTTGTGACTTACTTGCCTGACGTCCTCCAGTAGAGAGGTGAGAATAAGGGTACATGTTTTTCTGTAGTCTATTTTAGTAGGAGAACCCTCCCAACCAAAAAAGGGTGAGAAAGGGCACTACTGGGAGACGTGCTTGCCTAATGTGCAAGCAGCAAATTGCAGTCAAAAGGCCATAAAGGCGAACCACACGTTCACGCCCATGGAGTGCGCGATAACCACCACCTCACCAGGGGATCTAAGCCACAAGGGATGGCCGTGCGCTGGAATTACCTGGGCCTTGAAACTACCCTTCAAAATGAAACAACAACCCACAGGTGACGCACCGCTGCTTTGAGGGCTGCCTTGGCGACATGCAAGCAGGTTGAGGATCAATATTCCTATTTGCTTTGGGGTAGATTGATAGGGTCCAAGTACAAACAGTCCCAAGGGTGCATATGGGCGTGTCTTTTGGACGGCATCCCCCTTTGCTTTTACACACCCATATTGGGCAGGGCCAACCTCACAGGGTCAAACCTCACAATTCCAATGGGCGGAGCATCTCCGTGTTCGATGAAGTTGTCAGCTGTTCTTCTGCATATATTCAGCCCAATAGCACTAACATTTTTTTGTGTTGAGGGTGCACCTGTTTTGGTGGTTCATTTGGTGGTTGAAGGGAAACCAAAAGGACAACCACATTTTTTTTTCGGGGGCCAAAACACACCCTACCCAAATGCAAGTCGAACTTTGGCACCTTCTCCCCCATCTCCTCATGAAGCTCCTCCACTTCCTTCCGGAGCCGGCTGAAGTAGTAGTCCCTTTCCTGCCGCGGGCGGGCGGGAAGTTGGTGAAGTCAGCCCTGATCTAGAGGTTTCCTTGGTCTTACTGTGTCCTTGGTACAGTCCTTAAATTTCCAAGAGTTCGCAAAGTCCGATTTGGATGTGGTTGCCCTTTGAACCACCATTTAGCTCGGAAAAATAGAGGATGTCACGTTAGTGGGCCAAACTTCGGGGTGTCAAAATGGGTCACTTAGCACATCCGAATGTACTCTCGGAGATTCTGAATTGAGCGCCCGTTTACCCAAATACTTTGGGTTGTTGTAAGGATAATATAGGTTTTACTATAGCCCCTGTGAAGCCAGGATAGAGCCCCCTACTCAATTGGCCACCGGGAAGTTTTTTGGGCGCTGCGCCCCTTTTTGGGCAAGTTTGAAACCAGGCCTTTTAGTACGGAATTTCGCCCTCTGATTCCCTCCGCATTCAAATTCAGAGTAACTAAGCGCTTTTAAAGGGCATACCAGGGGTTACCAAAAGGGCCCTTTTCCAAATATCCCTAAAGGTTCCTTAAACTCCTACGGAGGAAACAAACGCATGCCTTTCACCACAGAAATGACTTTCCGCCAAGTGTGTAGTCATGAAACTGGGGAAGTGACCCTTCAATCCGATGTCCGCCCACAAGCTTTGTATGACTGGCCCGGTTTCCTGCAGCCGGGAATAGCTGAGGCGCCAGTCATAGGGCATGAGCCGCATGGAGTTCACGTCGTACCCTATCCTAACGAAAGCGACAAAACCAAGGAGCTTTTTGGGCACTCTTTGGGGTTCGGTGAAAAGGGAACCAGAAGGAAACTATGGTGAAATTATGTTTTGACATCAACACAACTCTTTTCCCACCAAACCACCCCTTGAAGACACCTTCCAGTTGATGGGGTTCAGCCAACGTCAGGTAAGTAGGTTCCAAGAATGGTTATACCCCGGGTAATTTGGGTTGGTCCCCTTATAGCTTATAACCATTGTTCCAACCTACTTTCCTGACGTTGGTTGAACGTCCAAGGAGGGGGTGGCACCCCTTTGTCATGAAAAAGTGAGCTGTTTTGCAAAGGTCCTTTGGGCGATTTGGGCCTTAACCCAAACGGTCCAAGGGTCACAGAAGCCATGTTTCTTTTTGCGGGGTAATCTGGGCTAAAGGGATCTGACAAGCAAAAGGCTGTCACTGTTTTCTGGTTGAAAGTGATGATGATGGAAAACCGATAGGCAAGAGGTTGAAAGGTAGGCTACCCTCTTTCCAACAATACTGGGAGTGGGTAGAGGGGTTCCCGACAAGGAACATAGTCTTCCAAAAGGCATCTATCAGCTCTCATGATTGGAGGGAGGGTTAGATTGGCAACGAGTTGGGCTCTTTCTCGCTTCCCGAGTGGTTTGTATGGCCTGAAAAGATTTGTCCAATGCTGTTTGTTTACCACTAAAACGGTTCGGACCCAAAAGGCGACAAAAGTCCGAAAGCGGAACTCAGGGAGGGAAATTTAGCCTCCCATATTAAACATTGTGATCCACGGGCTCGAGACTCTGCCAGCGAAACGCGGGCTCTTTGAAGGTCTCTGGAGTCGCCATCCGGGTGGCCCTCTAAATTTTCGAGGGGTTGAGTCCGTTTCCATTCTTTTCGACCACCGTTCTTTTTCCAAAAACCGGCCGATTTCTAGAAAGAAGGATCCCTGGAAAGAATGGGGAAGGTACCCCTACGGCCCTCTAAACTTGGACAAACATGACCCCAGCTTTCAGGAACCATGGAGAGTCCAGGTGATTGATGGGAAAATTAATGGGAAACCAGATCCTCCCCTCGAAAAAGAGAGAAACAAAAAACCAAGTGGCGGGCCGTCAAGCAAGAAATGGGAAAGAAAAGGCAACCTGAAATGGACACATGATGCATCAATTGCTCCCTTAAGATGCCCCGGGTAGCCCCGAGAATTGTCTAAATTCCCATCTGCTCCATGCCCGTCCCCAAGACCCACCTCAACCCGAGTAAGTACGTTCTCTGGAGGTATCGTCAACATGGACCCAAGGCAGACTATGGGCAGGGGAGAGGCTGTTCCGCATTGACTCGCATTATAAAGAGCTTATCCTGGGTTTGTCCAGGTTGAACCCCTCGAATTTCTCGTACTGAGCCGATATCGGGACTATCGATTTGGTACGTCAGGCCAGTGGTTACTAACCATGGCTACGCCACACACAATCCATGGGAGACTAACCAGGCTTGTAACCATTTACATGCAGTCTCCCTCTGACCCATCAAACATAGGCTCATGACTCTTCATGTGCGCTATGCCCCAATGTCAGAAATTTGGGCCATAACCGGAAACTCCAATTCCCTCACAGGTACCCCGCATCCGATCGCCCCCCCCAAAAAACAAAACAAAGCCGGCTCGATTCGCCGCATCGACGAGTCGAAACTGAAATCTGCGAGAGCTCATGGCCAGGTTCTCCAAGAGCTTGGCCCAGACCCAATAGTTCGCCAGCAAGTAGTCCTCAGCGAAATCAGCTCCCTCCCAGCCGTTTGAGCTGTATGACGTCGGGGCCCGGGGCAAGCCAGTGACCCAGTGGACCTCCATGTTTCTATGGTGCTTTCTGGGGTTCTGTTCATTTCAAGGCTGCGATAAAGACCAAAACATGGCGTGCTGCCATGCCAAGACTTAACGCAACCTTCTGGTATCCCAAACCTCGGAACTCCTACCTGGGAATCTCAACCGATTCGAAAGCTGGGAACTCACCAGATTCATTTTCTGCCGCCCAAAACACCCCCAAGCCTTGACATGGCACCTTGGATACTCGACAGGTCTCAGCATCGTTCTTTCCAAAAACCGGATCCGTTTTCAACCTGGGTTTCAAAGGTGGCTTTCTAGAAAGATTCGGATCCCTGGAAAAAAATGAGGAAGACATCCCTAGACTTTTGGTCTGTTCAGTATTCCCTGGAGCACCCATTGTTACCGAAAAATAATCGCCCTTAGCCCACTTTTCTTCACAACCAGGGTTCGTCACCAAAATATGGTCAACGTACACTTTGGGTGCTTCTGTCTTTTTTGCTTTTTTTGTGGGGAAGCAACTCACCCGTAAAAGACCATGCAAACAACAAGAAGCAACCAGAACAGGTGCATAAAGAACACTTCTTTGTTTTTTCGCATCCACTGGAAACCCAAGCCATCGAGCGACAAACTGGTTGATGTCTGAAAGGGACAAGTCCTCCAAAGGCAACCCAACAACTAGAAGGGTCCCGGTAGAAGGAGCTGACGGACCATAGCTCAGGGGCCGAAACCACAGCAGCGGTCTCCAGTGTCTCAGCCCTCGCGTTTTGGGGAAGCCCAACTCGTGTCCCAAAATGAAAAGGTGCCCAACTTGACACCCGAAAAACCAAAATGCGATACCAACATCTTTGCATTCTCTTCCATGCCCGGAATCTGGCCCAACTTGACATGTGGCCGAAAGCATCATTTCTGGCATGATACAGGGCTCCCTGGATTTCCCCTTAAAACATCACCCCCCACCCTTGGTCACACTCAGCTTTCACGGCTGCCAAAAAAGCTGATGTTTAAAACCACCAAAAGGGTCCTGTGACTCTAATTCCACGGACCGGAGTGCGCGCCCGTCGAACCCGGGCTTCAACCTCCATGATTAGAGTTCGGCAACCAGTTCTAGAATATCGATTTTATGGTTTGCTTCACTTTGAGCCACTGGCAAAATGTAAAATGTGTCCTAAGCCTACCCCAGAATCAGGGATCCTTACATGATACACCTGAACATTGCAACTTGTAAATGGTGGTTTCCAACTTTATTCTGTTGAAAAAAGCCGGCCACATGTTTCCAATGGTGACGCAAAATGGAGATCCCAAGTCTACCCCGGAAACCTACTGCCTCACCCCACGCTCCGAAGCAGGTTGCCCGGCCGAGAGACGGCGCCATCGAAACCGGTGGCCGCCCGGAGCTTCACCCTGGGGGGGTCCTGGGAGCTCGACGTCGACGTGCCCTACGCCTAGGAGGGTCACCGGTCTTATACGATACCGGGCTTATGACCCATGGATCTAAGGAGGCTTTCTGACCACTGGTGGGGGTATGGACTCATGGACTGCATGTTGTTTGTTTCCTGGAGTTTCCTTCTGACCCTTAACAAATGGTTGGTCATTACCCAACATACTGGGGTCATTGACCCATGTATTGGAGGGTCATGGTGCCTAGGTCCTCCAGTAGAGAGGCTAGAATAAGTTGGTGCCCACCTTTTTTCAGGACCTCTATTTTAGTAGGAGAACCTTCCCAACCCAAAAAGTTGGTAAAAGGGCACTAGAAACCCCAGTGCTTCCAGAACCACTAGTAGGTCATCCAGGGGAAAAAACAACAAATGTAACACCAAGAGGGACGAATTCCTGGTTACCTACTTTTGTGGTATCTGGAGCACTGGGATATAGCTATAAATATGGGTGTATGGGTGTCTTTTAAAGGGGACCCCCACAAATGGTGGTCCTTATGTGTTCCTTTACAACCCACCAAAAAGAGGCTCCCCCCCACAAAATCACACACACCACACACACAAACACGCTATACGCACCGATGTACATACCGACTATATTTTGTTCTACCGCCATACCACATGTTGACCCATGGGCTTCTCTCAAAATCGGTGACACCGAAAGGGCCGGCGCTTGCGCCCGAACATTTCCCCTATATGAATCTTAGTCATAGAACTTACGTAGAACCAAGCGAAGCACATGGATTCTTTTCTAGGTCCTCCAGTAGAGAGGTTAGAATAAGGGTACCCTTTTTTTCTGCAGTCTATTCTAGTAGGGGAACCCTCCCAACCAAAAAAGGGTGAGAAAGGGCACAACTGGGGGACCCAGTCTTAAGATTAAGGTTGACCTTCACAGCGAATCCATTTGCCTAGTAAAGGTAAGTAAAGGGCTTACCACCTTCTAAGAACCAAGCATAAGGTAGCGAAGGGTCACCTGCTAGGTTTGCCAGAATTCCACTTGGCTTAATTTGAAGCAGCCAACATAGGCTACATATTTCTGGGGGTTGCTTCCCATTCTTTTCAATCATCGTTCTTTTCAAGAACCGGCCATTTCCCTGGGTGTCCAGAGGTTTTTTTTGAAAGATTCGGATCCCTGGAAAGAATGGAAATGAAAGGTACCCCTCGAATATGTGTGGGTCATTTATCGAAGTTAATTTGGGTTGAGCCTGCGGACCAGTAGTCCATCAGGTCCATTGAGCACACGCACAGAATGTATGTATGTATATATATATATATATACATGTTCCAAGTTCTAGGCCCCAACCCCTCATATGTATATATATATATATATGTATGGTACCCCCCACCAAAAAAAACATGTTCTGTGAGAAAACACTGGTGTACATATTAATAATATATATATATACATATCTATATAGGATCTATATAGGTAGGTACTCCATTCGCGGATTTGTCTTGGCTGCTGTGCAACATTCCAGGCTGGAAATGTCGGATCTTCAGACTCGCCGGTTGGCCGCTTGGGCTGTCCTGCTGCCCCGGCGCCAACTTCAAGTGGTGCAGCCAGCAGGTGATGTTCCTCAGCTTGTGCAGCGGTCACCTTCACAAGTGACTTGTTTTCTGTTTGTCTTTTTTGGTCACGCTTCTGTTGGTCACGTTCCATGTTTTTTTTTCGGTCACGCTCAAACGTTGCAAGTGGCGGGCGGTTTCTATTCACCAACCAAAAAACGTTGCTTCCTGGCATGTTCCATGCGTTTAGGAGGTTCCAACCAGGGAAATGCCGGAAAGCCGACTCGGAGGTGTTTCAGAGGGGTTCCCAAAAGCTGCGCGAGGAACCCGAAGGCCCCCGTTACCTCAACATCAAAGCAGTGCCGAGAAAGTTCTAGCGGTCAATCAGGAAAGAGACGAGCAGTGCCCCGGTTTCACGGAACGGGTTGAGTGAGTCTTCTGAATTGGGCCGGTTGCCATGCTGCTTTTTCCACTGCCGGAAAAGAACTCATCTAGATTGGGTTTGTCTTGGTGGCCATTCTGGGAATGGAACCGAGGTGTGAAGCGGTTGATGTCCATTCACAGTGACGCTTCGAATTGGCGGTGTTTGCCCGTAGTGGTGTTCCGGTGTGGTTTCCCATTTACCCTCCACAAGAACCAAGGACCCACCAATCCAAACCATAACACCGGAAAAATACACCCCTCCTCTTATTGGGGGTGTGTCACCCAAATCACCCCCATCTCTCAAAATTTAGATCCAGGGTCAACATTACCCTCATTTCCCCAAATAAGTAGAAAGACGACTTTCCTCTTGGAAAGCATGCAGCGTTCTGGCCATGAACTGGCTTTTGGGAACCCCGATTAAAGGAAACCACCAGTTGGATTTGGTGTTGTGGGGGGATTTGAAAGGAAACCACCACTTGGATTTTGCTTCTTCTTTTTCCTGGGGATTCCATCAAAGGGAACCACCAATCGGATGGTTTATTTCTTCAGTGTCCATAGGGGTCAAAGTGACTTGTGATAGGTTTTGGGAATGAACTGGCTTTGGGAAACCCCTCAAAGGAAACCACCAATTGGAATTGGTTTTCTCGCGGTTAGACTCTACTTGACTATGGGTCAAAACCCCGTACCCCCAGTGAACATCCCAATCCCGACTAAAATAAACAAAAGTGGGTGGTGCACCTACCCCACTCGAGCACGCCGAGCGCGGGTTCGCGTGGCGCTAAGACGCTGCAGCGCAATGCGGAGCATGGAGGTCTGTCCCCAGAGACGCTTCCGGAAGTGGGAGTTGGGGGCCCCCAGGCAGCTGTCTGCCTGCCACACCTGCGGCGCGCCCCAAGCGAAAGGGTTGGGCTGGTGGGGGTTACGGGGTTGGGGAAGGGTGTTGTGTTGCAAACCGGGCGAAAGGGTTTTGGCCGGCTTTCGCTGGGAGGGCTTGGGGAGGGTTTGGGAGGGTTTTTGGGGGTTTACGGGGTGTTTGACGGGTTGGAGGGTTTTCTCAGCAGAGTGCTTGCTATAGTGGTTACAGCCCCCAGGTCAAACACTTATCACTCCCAAAATACCTGATTCGGTACTGAGAGCTAGCAAGCAAGAGGTGCCAACCGAAGCCAGAAGCTCGATCCCTCGCAATTGTTGCTGGGTGGATTCTTGCAAAGCTCGAAGATGGCCACACGGAAAACAAGAACAACACGTGGCCCCTGGTCTGGTCGGGTAGGTCAATTCGTGTTCAAAGGAACCCCTTAAAGATAAAGGACAACAGGGCACCACTCACTAAACACCCCTTGTACCCCCAAGGCGTGCCTTCCCCCCAACAGAAGAAAGGCGCCACTGGGAAATTGTGCATGGTGACTATGTTTCACAACTTGGGTTATAACCACTTCCCAACTTAGCGCAAAGGCCCAACAACCCACCATTTCAGGTAGTTTGACCAAACAAAACAGGTTTTGGTCGAGGGTGGCCGATTTTTGTTCCAGCTGTTACTTCAGACCAACTTCCCTTGGCGAAAACCGAAGACCCGGAAAAAAAAGAAGCATCGGAGGCCTCGCCTCCAGGCCGCTGCTGACGATGCCCGGAATCATCAGCAGCGGGTGCTTCAGGCCTCGAGCGAAGCGGCCTACCGCAGGACGTCAAGGGCTCCAAGCGGTCTCAGATGCCCAATGCATTTCCATGGGGAACAAGGGCATCCTTATTTGGTTGCTTGGTAGCGTTTAAAGGGGAACCGTGGGGAAAAACGGGTTGGTTGAGTGTAAGGGGAACTCTTCCCTAAAAAAATGAACAAAGGGCGCCACTGGGCAACTGGGGGTAGTGCTTGGTACGCCGGAGGGTTCAGAAACAAAATGACACGAAAATGGGGCGCCAACGAACCAGGGTTCCAAATGTTGGGTGGCCCCAGGAAGAACATGGCCTTCCCAAAAAGTTTGAGGTTCAATCAGGAAGTGTGCTCAGCCCCTTCTCCTCGTGCTGGGAAAGAATGGCCGATTACCCTCGTCCCGTTCCGCAAAGGATCCCCTTGAAGATACTAGGGGTTCCAACGAACCATGGCCCTTGCAATACCCTCCCGGACCAATTTACATGGAACCTCCCGTTTCGGGGGTCCTGGTTTGGACCATTTTCCTTTTAAAGGGATGTCCCGAACGTTTGGTTCCATGTGAAACAGTGGCAGGGTGCCACACTCAAACTACCCAGGGGTTGTTGCCTCAAACACATGGTTGGCGAATTCCCCCCTTTTTTTCTATGGATAGTGGAGAGTCCAGGTACCCAAAGTTTGGAACCGCCAGGACACCGATTCTGTAACTGTTATCGTGGCCCTGCGGGGTTGGATTTGCCGAAAATTGGAATGAACCCAAGAAAACCATCCGTTTCCCCATGGTTTCCATACGGGAATGTTCGAAAAACCGGTTCATTCAAAGAACGCCCGGAGGCGGTGTCATTCCCTACTTGGGTGTTCGGCCAAGTTAGTAAGTGGTTCGCCACCTGGGTGGCTTAACCCACAAATGACTGGGTGAACCCCAGTCGAGAAGTGGGTTAAGCCACCCAGGTGGCGAAACAGTTCAACTACCTCGGCCGAACATCCAGGTACCTATCGCCACGTACCTATCGCAGCGATCCCAAGTTTTGGGAAAACCGAGATGCGCAAAGACTTGGCCAAGGCGAGCCCAGGGATATCCAGGTCCCCCTCGTCCTCCTGGCAAGGCATGCCGTTCCGCAAAGGCGTACCGGAGATCCACGTATAAAACCGGCGGCGGCTGAGTTGGGCTGCGGGCTTTACTTTCTTCTTTTCTTTTTACGGGTCTGGATAAAAAACTCGTCACATCCCTTTGGATTCAAAACAGACTGCAGACAACTTGGCAGGCAAAGGGAAGTCGTGATAGAAATCGATCCCCTGATTGTTGCCTGGTGGGAACTACGCAGAATGTGTTTACCAACCAGCCAAAGGCAACCAGCAAACAGTTTGTCAAACAAGTAGAAAAGGGGCGCAACTCAGGCCAACGTACTACCAACGTTAGGATTGTGACATCTTTGAATCAAGCGGTGTGATCCTGACGTTCAACACGCAAGAACATCCGCTAAAACTTGGCCCTCCGTAGTTGCAGGCCAACAACTCCTGTTTTCCCTACTCCAAATATCCAAGAGATCTTATGGGTATGATAGGGTCACCCTTGGCTAAAGAAGAACCTCTCAAGGAATCAGGGACTAACGGAATGAACCTTTGTTCGTTGCCAAGTGAGTGAATGGAAAAAAACAACGCCGGGGGTGTAACCCAGCAATGACAAGGTCAACTCCACTGAACGTGGAACTAGTAACAAGGTCTTAACTCAGCTTACGAACAACTTACGAGTAACTCAGCCACCCACTGTCTGGTATTGCCAGCGCGTCTCAATTGGATTCTTAGGAGCTGGAGGATTCACGGGACTTGGTGGCACGAAAGGGGGATTGGAACCCGCATTGCGCTTGCTGTCTTCGACATGAGTCCGCTTATTCTCGCACACCAAACCACTTGAAGCATGGTGAAAACTCCCACAAATTGAGCCATTGTCCTTCACCAAATGTCCTCGTTATCTTTATCCCGCAATCCATGACCATCCCTCACCTCAAGTCAAAGGTTGAACTTTGGCAGACGTTTGGGGGGTGTTTCAAAACTAGGGCGCCCCCCTGTCAACGCCAAGGGCGGGGGTTCCCAGAAATGAGGCGACCATAGATGTCCAAGTCTTTCTGGGCCTGGGAAATGGGGGATCCCCGGATCGATTTGTAGAACCCCTGGCTGATTTTGAGAGAAGGGGGCCCCTTTTAGTGGTTGAATCCGGATATTGCATTTTCGGGTGAACCCCCTTAACGAAATGGATTCTACATATCTCCGGGGTCGACATTACCTATTTGGGTGTCCTTTTAGGATGACCCTCAAGGAAAACCACCAATAAAGCGGAGTTCCGACATACAAAAAAAAAGTCGACCCCTTTCGAGACAAACGCGATGGCGATTCGACTGCCACCGTCCTGGGTGTTGAAGGTGGCGTTCAGAAAGGCTGCCAAGCGCACTGTGAGCGCCTCCGTCTGCGTGTTCTCCTCCCTGACGTCAAGTTGCAATCGTAACCCAAAAGGCTACCGACGAATCTGAAGTCCCCCCGCTCAGCAATTCGTGTTCACCTGGTTACAACCCAGGTGGCGCACCACTTACTAGCGCCTCTAACACGGACCCTGACTCGTCTGGCGGCCAACTGGCCCACCCGAAGCCGACTGCTTGGACCCCATCCACCCCAGCCCGATCCACGTTCCTGGTGGCAAAAAGCGCCGCAGCGGTGACCACCGCACCCACCATGCCTCAGTGGTTGCTTTGTCTAGGTCCTCCAGTAGGGAGGTTAGAATAAGTCGGTACCCGATTTTTTCAGGACGTCTATTTTAGTAGGCCCCAAAAAAGAGTAAAAGGGCACTACTGGGGGACCTAGTTGTTTGCTTCCGCTGGGGCGGCCGGGTCCAAGATGAATGTTTTGCGGTTGGGCGGAAAATGAAAAGTGGTTTCCTCCAGACCCTACATCCCTTCGAAAATGCAAATCATGGTCATAAAGGGGACGAACCCCAGTTCCCCTAGCTATAACCATGGCTCTCACCTACAAAGTCGAACTTACAAGTGGAAATAATCCCAAACAAGGTTGAACCCCCCTATAAAAGGAACCTCCACATCTGCATTCATTTTCCCCCAAGATCCAACCAAAAAGCCAAGAGGAATTTGCGCCAACAAAACAGGCCCAGGTTCTTTCCCTCCTGGCCGCCCTCAGCATCTTCTGCCTTTCAAGAGGCGCAAGCCTCACCAGGCCGCTTCAGCTTCTCAGGATCCATTTACCTGGTTTTGTAGCCCAGGGCTTGCCACCCTTTCCAAACCTAAGGGAAAGTAGCTGGTGACCTACAAGTTTCTCTTGCCTGGGATCTGAGGTTCATAAATTTCTTCCGCCCGTGAGTCAAAAAACCGGGAAGTTGAGGTTTAGGGGTACCCATTTTGCCACGGTCTCCATTTGCGAGTACGCCAACAAGGGGAAAATCCAACCTTTCCAGTGCTAGATTTTAGAACCAACCAGGGGGGGAAAACAACAACACAGAACCTGGTCCCTCAAACTACCCATACAAATCTAGGCTGGAAAAAAGGGACCCCAGCAATATATATATATATATATATCTCTTTTTTGCCTGGCTAGTGGAAACAAAGGGACCCCCAAAAAGCAAAAACAACAAAAGGGGAGCTAATTCTGGGGAAGAAATGGGATGCTGCTGTACAATTGCTGGGCTAAACGTCCTTTCTGAGGGTAATTCGAGGTTTGCATTTCCTTGCTGCTCGGCTGCTCAGCAGGGAATCAGGCAACGACCGGAAACCCCAAAAACCGGTTCATTCCATGACTGTGATTTGTCGTTTGTAGGGTCTGGAGGAAACCACTTTTCATCTTCTGAGAACCATGGTTATCGAAGAGAGTCACTGGGGTTAGTCCCCTTCTCACTTCCACCTATCGCAGCAGCAAGTCTCGGCCAACTTCCATGTGCAAATACGCCCCTGGAAGAAAACGTATGTTTTCAGTAGCGATAGATTTCCTTGAAACTACCCATACACAGGGGATATTGCTTCCAACTTTGGGCAGTTGTCACTTCAAAGCAATATGCCCAGCAGCGAATTTGATTCCCTTGAACACCGATTCTTGTGTGTTTTCCTCAAACCATACTCTTAAGCTGGAAAATACATATATATATATACAGTATGAAATTGATTCCCGGTAAAACCAAAAAACTTTTCTTCAGCACATGGAAGCCAACGGAAGAATATTTGCAGTAGTGAAATTGATTCCCTGCAAAACTGGGAAAAAAACAACTTCAGCAAATGGAAGCCAAAGTAGACAGTAGTTTCCCTGTAAAGCTGGAAGAAAAAACTTCAGCAAATGGAAGCCAATGGAAGAATATTTTCCAGTAGTGAAATTGCTGATTCCCTTCAAAACCGGAAAAACAACTGAAGCAAAACAGTTCCAGTAGTGAAATTGATTCCCTGCAAAACTGGGGAAACATGAAGAAACAAAAACACGACTTCAGCACATGGAAGCCCACGAAAGGTAAGACGAGGCGCCGCCCATGAAGACGTACTTCCTGCGCCGGAACTTGGGCCGCTCCGAGCTCGTCGTCTCGGTCGCGTGGCGGGCCTTTTGCCAGAGCCGCCAGACCGCGTTCTCCATGCGCGGGCCGAAGGAGGCTAAGGAGGAGGAGCCTGGAGGGCTGCAGCGCCCAAATCCATGGGTGGTGTTCCTTTTTCTCAAAACCAACCCCAAAAAAAGGGTACCCTCAAAACTGGGAGACTTTCAGCCAAGCCCACATCCCAAATGGGTGGTTTGCTTTTGCCGTCAAAACCAGGCAAATCCCAGATGGGTGGTGTCCGTCCCTTTTGCTGTCAAAACCAACCCAAAAAAGAGGGAACTCCGTCCAAAACCAACCCCCAAAAAAGGTACCCTCAAACCTGTTGATGGGTTTGGAGCCCTTTTGGCAGATTGGTTGCCAGAGTTTTGCAGATCTCAGCTCTCAAGCCCAAAGCAGATTGGATTGGCGCTTTGGTGGTGGCTAGTTTCCCGTTCACCCCTTTTCATGGCTTGGTGAGTTCACTGGGTCAGTGTTTCTTGGTCAGTGGGCCAGCATGGGGGCAGCCACCTGTATGATCTATGACCGTGAGTGGGGTGGGGTGGGGTTAGGGACGCTGTGCCATGTACATGTACTGCATCTATGGAATACACAAGACCGGCAATCTGACATAAATGTGTTGTTTTTTGTACTTAGCGGCCGGAACGCTTGCTGGATCCTGTACACAGCTAGTCGATAAACTCAGACACAACATGTTCACGATGTTGGAATTCCTCAGATGCCCAGTGGCCATGAGAAAAAACTGGTACCTTTTCTTGCTGGTTGAGTTCAGGGGGGAACCCTTTCCCAAAAATAGTTGGAAAATGGGCACCACTATGCGCAACAGAGATTCCGTGTTTTTGTTTTTGTTTGTTTTTCGTTTCATGATTGACTTCCAACAAGGGACACTGCCATATTTCCGAACAGAATGCGAGCTGCGTGTTTGTCTGCTTGCAATCTAGTCAAGTTCACAAATTCTCAACCGGAACTCCCAAGAAACTGCGATGTGGGTTTGCAATCTAACTGCCGTGGCGTTGCTAGCATTCGCCAGTTGCAGTTGAGATAATCCAACATTACACACCAGAGTCCAAGAACCCTCTGACGCGCATCAGTGACCGCCCCAGTGGATCCACTTACCTGTGCACTAGGTAACCAAGGGCTTGCCACCCTTTAAAAGCGAAAAGGAAAATACCTAGTTTCCCCTAATACAATATGCAGGACAGCATCCACTGTGCATGCTCGGAAAAGCGCCCAAGCGCCTCCTGTCTGGAAGGTCTTCCACCTCAATGCCAACATCATCTAACCAGCATCCAAATCCCATTGACTCTTGGTTCCACTACCATTCTATAAGGATTTACTTGCGCCTTACTACAGCCTCGCACCAGGTAGAACAACCTACTAGCCTGGCCTGAAATGGCCTTGTGGTTGCTCTCTCATCTGAGCCGTCCGGTGAAGAAAAGCACGGGTCAGTCTGGTAGAAACCCTGTGAGTGCTTCTTGGGCGTTCGCTTCGCCGAGCTGATAAGCCGTGAATAACAGGTTCCATGTTTCCTGATAGCCCCCCTGCCCACAGCCTCCATAGCCCCAGTTAGGCGTCCATAACACTGTCTGGCTTGGCCCGGCGAAACACATCTGCTATGCTCCGACTGGCCGAACGGCAAGCGCGGCAAACAAAAATGCCCAGAGGGTCCCCTGGTATCGCATGTTTACCCCAAAACGACTTCCGTGGGGTACCTGGGTTAAGCACTAGAGACGTGAAAATCTCACCGCCAAGCAGGTCGGCCAATCAGCCAGCCTCCAAGCGGCATGAGCTTTCATCGGGCTCAGAAAAACCACTCTGAGTGTTCAAGGCAGTATAGCCTTGCGTAAAAAAATACTTAACGGGATGTCCAAGTCAAAAAGAAGGGGGGTTGGACAGCTTGAATAAATGTACCTCCTGGGGATAATTTCCCACATGTGGGACATGTTGCATTCAGTATAAAACAAAGTTGGGTAACAATGATCAAGATTGCTTCCCTCTCACTGTTGGTTTGTCCAAACCCTATCCCACGGCAATATTTGGGACTCAACTCAACCGTGTTTCTCAGTAAGCTCTTGGGACCCTGTGTTTCCCTTTTTGTCCGACCCCAAACCAGCTTTCTGACCTCTTCTCTGGCACATCATTTTAACGGGAAACCCTCCAAAAAAAGCAAACCGGCACCGCTGCAGGCTTGAAGGTGCACCCACAAAAGCAAGTGAGTATCCCCAACAACTGATGGTTGTCCTTGTGGTTTCCTTGCAAACCAATCTGAAACGCATTGTTAAGGACCTAAAGTAAGAGAATTGGGCTGTGAGGCACTTTCAAGGCATATGTCGTCGTCATTATACTGAAACACGCCCTTTCAATCAAGTTTACCCGCACAAAATACTGCAAGAACCTACCCTCCCACCCTTTGCACATGGAACCTCACGATTCGGGGGGGGGGGGGTTCGGGTTCGCACCGTGTTCCTGTTAAAGGACGTGTATTGCTCAGTGAAAACAGGCAGGCCTCAACCTCCCCCCCCTCTCCGTCGGCCAAAGAGCTCCTCCTCCAGTATCTCGGTGCCCTGCAGAAGGAAGCCTGAAAAGGACGGACGGGTGCAAGCCGCGCCCGGGCAAATGGTGGGACGTTCCTTGCCATTGAAACTCATACTTAAAGGGGCGATCGGGTACCTACGGAAGGGATACTTATAACCATGATTAGTGGGTTATAACTATGCATGGTTATTACCCACTTACTAAGTGCCCTCCCCCCTTAAGTAGCCACCAGGAAAGCTATGACGAACACGGGAATGCCTATTATGTTCGTTGCCAACGTCAGGTAGGTGATCTCAGCATGGTTACAACTAGGGGAACTGGGGTTAGTCCAATTCTCACCAAAGGTTGTAACTTATGACCTACTTACTAAGTATGGACATTAAATCAGTCCAGCTAACCCTGAGGAGCGGTTGCTCAGTAAACCCTCTAAGTGGTTTCTTATTGAAATTCATAGCCAAGAGGGAAGCTAACAAGACATGGGAGGGCCCATTCGGATGTTCGATTCGGCAGAAACCCTTTGGGATGGTTGAAGCGGGCAACAAACGGGGGAGGGAGGAAACGGGGGAGGGAGGAAATTCGGGATCCGGAAGAAAACCAAAAGTTGCCTGTCCCCGTTGGGTTTATTTTTCAGACACTTATCTGGAAAACAGGATCAAGCACACCAAAACTGCGATCCCTTCTTTTTGGGAAACCAAGCCCGTGCATTTCCATGCAAAACCCACATGCCAAAAGTCCCAACTGTGTGTTTGCCACTTGTAAGTGAATTGAATCTGACTTTACTCGAACAGAACTCAGTCCAATTCCGAACATGGCGAGACGGCTTCCCTTCGGCTGTCCGCAAAAAAAGAAGAAAAAGGGCTCCACCATTTCATTGGCCCACGTCCAGAGCTACATAATCGTAATTAGACTATAATGTAAAAGTCATCTCGAATGCAGGCTTCTCCCTGTGCCGCTTGTGCCGGAGCTCCCAGTTCGGCCGATTTCACCGAGCCCGAGCTCGCCAAGCCGCTCTCCAGCTGCGACATCTTCTGCCGCGGGCTGTCCTCCCCGGGAAGCAGCGCCGCCGCCCGCTCCATGGGCGTGCGGTGCCGCTCCTCGAGACATTTCGGGAGAGACGGGGCCGTCCGTTTTCAGATCCCCGGCAAAAAAGAGAGACTTGAGTAGGCTAAAAGGAAACCCCTTTAGCCTGTAGTAGGCTAAAGGCAAACCACCAAAAAGTGCCTAACTCCCAAAAAGTACCTAAACGAAACCCCAAAAAAACAAGTGGGCCAAGGGAAACCAAGCAAAAATTGCCGAAAAAGCTGAACACATCTAACCTTTGGTATATAGATGAAAGGGAAAGAGAATCCCCCCCCCAAAAAAAAGCCTAAAGAGCCAACAAGCTAAGGGGATGGCTGGGAACCACCAAGGAAGAAACACCTTAGGGGGGTCCAACACCAGCTGATTTACAAGAGATCCTCATAACCAACTGAGCCCAGAGCTGATTTCAAGTGGCCCAAAGGCATTCTGCAATTCACTTCGAGGGGATATCGACGACAGGTACTGACCATAACCCACAAAAGCCGTGGCTACAAGTCTCAGTTCAGTGGGTAAGTCTAGGCTAACCACTTGCCTGGGGTACCGAATCGATCGCTTTTTTAAGCAGAGGGTCCTTTGGCCTTTTTTTTTGTTTTTAAAGACTTGGCTGGAAAAAAGGGACCCCAGCAAAGAAATATATTTTTTGCCTGGTTAGTGGAAAACAAAGCGAACCCCGAAAAAGCAAAAAATCAAAAGGGGAGCAAATTCTGGGGAAGAAGATACACCGGGTCCAAATGGGTGAAAGTTCCGTAGGTACCAAGGGACCTAAAAATGGAGCAAGCGAGATCCAAAAGTCTAACAAGTCGGACGTGGACAACCAAGAAGAACTGCGGGAGACAATGGGCTTGTCTCAAAAAAGGGGAAACCCCAAAAATGGCTGGTTTCTTTTGATTTCCCTGCAAAACCAACTAAAGAGGGACCCGCCCAAAAAAAAGGTACAGCCTAAGGCTAATGAAAACCTGGTATTGAACAGGTCGACCCAAATCCATGGGCATATCTACCCGGGTTTTGTTTGTGTCTCTTGTATTGATACCCTTCCTGAGTGGATTGGCCCAAAAAAGTCTAAACTTTTTTCTGCCACTAAACTTGTCTGCCCAAAAAGTAAAAAGTGGAGGAACTTGGGAAGTGAGTCTAAGAGAACAAGGAAGCCCTAAAATTTACCGCAATTTATCGTGGTTTTGTGGGTGCATCGCCCAGTGAGTCCGTTGCCAAGTTAGTAAACCTAAGCCATAGCGCGCTTAGAAGTGCAGTGGAGCTCACCTTGTTCTTGGGCGTGCTATAACCATTCACCCAGGTGGCCAAGCACTTACTAACTTGGCAACGAACGTTCAAGCAGTTCTCCAGCCATGTCCTTTTTGTGGTAAGGGGTGGTTCCCTTTGGTTACCTCCTATACATTAAACTGGAATCACGGGTCCGTTTGTCTCAAGACAGGGGAGCTGACATTCTCTTGGTTCCCCTAAAAAAACTGCCCCTAAAAGGGGGTGGGTTCCCCTATTGTGAGACACACCAATATTGCTGTATGGGGCCTGTGGTTTGCTATAGTAGGTAACCAGGTGTTGTCACCTCTTTACATGCCAGTTTCCCCTGATGATCTTCTGTGTTCACGGGATTTGTTTGCGTCCACCATTGGAACATATTTGACATGGTTCACCGCTTTTGTTTGGGGTCAACCTCATTCAATCTAGTCATGTTCGCTGTGGATCAAATGAAGCAACCGCTGGCCCTGCTCTTGGGGAAGATGAACCGTACTCATCATTTTACTAACCCAATAATTCCTCTCTTTTTTTCTTTAAATGCATGCCGCACACTTCACGGGGCACACCTGCTGGAGAGCGAGCTTCTGATTTGCGAAGATGACATTCGCCATGTTCTTGGCCCAACTGACTGTTTGAGAACCTGAAAGCCATCCCAAGAAGGGTACGGGTAACTTCCTCTCGATTTCCCTGAAAAACCATCCCACACAGAGTAGCCTCGAAAAAAGAAAGACCCAGAGGGACTGCTTTCTTTCGCTCCTTCAAGAAGTTCAGGTGGTCATCGGAGACCGAGCGCTCCAGTCTTCGCTCGCTTGGCTCCAGTCGCGGCTTGCCGAGAGGCTCGTCGGCCGCTTTGAGGCTCCGGACCTGCCCAAACTCAGCGTCAACCTCTCTCGGTTGCTTTCTGCTCCCCTGCTAAAATGTTTAAGTTTTCGTGGTTTAATGGAAAACCCATTAGTTGCACAACAAGTTAAAGTCCTAACATCCAAGCAAACTGCGCCAAAAGAAAGTGAGCGTCAACCTCTTTCGGCTTCCCTTTGAAAACCGAATCCAAGACTCAGTTCCGACCCAGTGGGTCGGCCTGAAAAAAAAAAGAAGTGATTTACCACTTGGAATGGTCGACCCAAGTGACTAAAGTTCATGAACCCCGGGAGTGAGAAGAAGGTCCGACTCCATATTTGTTGTTTTGGGTTTGGTTCGAGGGAGCTTGCCAAATACACATTCCTCACTTGGGGGTTGTCCTATATTTCTTGCGCGCAGCTTTTGACAACTTTTACTTCTCCCCGTTCGGCGATGATTAAAACCAAAGACTGGAGTTTTGGGACGGCCCTCACTTGGATTCGCAGGGAACAGCTTGGACCCTCAAGCTACCCTGGATGATTTCTCACTCATGGGTGGTCATTGGTGTGACGGAATCTTTGGCATCCAAGCCTACAAAAGCCCTGGGAGTTTAGCCACCGGGTTCATATAAACACTATTGTTTACCTAGCGGCTGTCATCATCTAAATTCGGTCGTTGCCATTGTTTTGATGGGAATCGTTCGAACTCTTCTTGGATGTTCGGCCAGTTGGGGAGTTGTTGGTAACCTAGGTTGTAGCCCAGTTATAAGCCCCCTAAGCGGAGTTCACCCTGGTATTAGTGAGATAGAAACCTGGCGGCCGGCCACTTACTAACTTGGCAACGAACATCCAGGTACTTAAAGGGGCGATCGGGTACCTAGTACGTGGTTAGTAAGCCTATATAGTTATAATCCACTGAACGGAGACTCATACCCCCCGGCTTTTGTGGGTTGAAATGGCTATTACCGACTTGCCTGACGTACCCTGCGTCGATCACCCCCCCTATATACAGAAAAACTCATGGACCTTCTGCTCCTTTAAAGCCATTGGGTTCATAGTTCATAGTTAAGACCACCATTGCTTACCTAGCAGTTGTCATCGAAATTGGGGCTACTCATTCCCGTGAGGGTCGGGATTTTTTGCGCGAGGAGAACGGGCATTGCCCCTACAAAAAATACCCCGTTAAGGAAAACAACAGGTGGACACAAATCACACACGACCCAATTTGGGGCCCAAGGCCAGTCTTCTGGAAATCAGTTGAACCTTACCCAGCGACTCCTAGTAACCTGTATAGCTAGTAGCTGGCCGTTGGCGACTGTTTCTTTGGGAACCAGGCTTGGTTCCCAAAAAAGTGGGAACCAGATTCCTGTCTAACGGTTTTAACGGTTCCGGGCCTCTTTTTCACGGTTCCGGGCCTTTTGTTCACGGTTCCGGGCCCCAATTTCACGGTTCCGGGCCCTTTTTTTGTGGGCCCTTTTTTTGTGGTTCCTGGAACCAGCAGTCAGTTACCAATATTGCAGGTAACCAAGCTGGTTCCGCACATGGAGGTAACTGGAAGCACTGGGTTAGGCGTGCCCACTGCCACAAAGGGGCACAAGGGCTACCCTTCGGTCAATTGAAAAAGGAAACCCATGCACCCGTGAAAAGGCGACCCAAAGAGTGAGGCATGCATGGATTCGGGAGCCCAAGAACCTGCGCTAGGTCCTCCAGTAAAGAGGTTGGAACAAGGGTGCCAACTTATTTATGTAGTCTACTTTAGTAGGGGAACCCTCCCAACCAAAAAAGAAACGGTGAGAAAGGGCATCAATTGCTGGGGGACCTAGTTGTGACTTCCATGGATTCGGGAGCCCAAAAGCCTGGGGTATCGACCCAGCGCCTGATCGCACAGCTCCTGTAGCTTGGCGTCGATGTGCGGCAGCCGCCGACAGGCCGACAGCCATCGGATCACAAACCGCGCCGCATCCACCAGCCACCTTAAAGGGGCGGTCGACGCAGGGTACGTCACGGAGGTGGGAAAGGACCGTTGTAAGTCTCCGAAATGGGTGACAACCAGAGTGTCTGCCGCCTTACTAACTACCCTGCTCCTTTAAGAAGTGGCGCGTTGATTGCTGGTGGGAAACAATCCTGTAATGCCAAAGTGGGCTATCTCAGCTTCCCTCTAGTTGCTAAACTGGATTGGTGGTGTGAAGGATAGGTGGTTTCACACTTACCCTCTGCAAAGGGTACAAACCAACGTGACGGGTTACCTATGCCTTGTTCCTTGATGGGAAACACACGTTAGAAGGCATGTGCCCCTTTCTAGCCTGGCTTCCAAAAAACAACAGGAACACCACAGGTCGTTTTGGGGGAAGCTCCATACGGGTGTGGGTCAAAATTAGGTACCCAAAAATGGGTTGCCGTGGTAAATGGAGCCAAGAACTAAACCGTGCGGTCCCCTGATAGCTTCATGTTGATCCATACCCATATTTCGACGCCAACACCTTCTGGAGCCATGATCCTTTTCTCCCCAGTTGCCACTATGAGCACCACCTGTGAAACTGAAATGGAAGACGTTTGGTTGCCTACTATGGCAATACCATGGCATTCACTGGGTATATTTGCTAAACGTAGCCAACATGTGCTCAAGCCTAAATAATCAATACGGGGTAGTGGGGTACTTTAAAAACCAAACTTAAGCAAAAAACATAGGCGAATACCTTTGGTATTGTTGTTTGGTCCCTTGTACCCAAGCAAAGGACCGACCTGCCTCATGAGCTCGTGTTATCCCCCAGCTGAGCTCGCCCATAAGGATTATACCTGTCTCCTTCTGACCCTGCAAACACCGCCGAGCCACATCGACTTTGCGGCGGAAGGCTGCAGAATGGAATCGCGCCACCAAACGCACAGCGCCGCTTGTATTGTCTATGCCAATGTTGTTCAGTCTGCTGGACAAATGAGCCTTCGCTCAGGGTACCCTAGCTGGGGTTGGATTCAAGGGAAACCATCAGAATATCCAACTAGGGGTTCTGTCTCGAATTTCAAGGGAAACCATAAGAAACCATAAGAGAACCATAAGAATATCCAACTTTGGAGGGGTTCTCGAGTTTCGAGACAAACCCAAATGCCTGCCAATGTTGGGCGGCCTGCTCCATGGGTTCTGTCTCCAAAGGTTCCGAACTCGGATGATTGTGCCAGCGATTGGAACCTGTTCGTGAGCCGAATGCTCTCAGTTGCCCCTTAGGGACCCAGAAATCAAAGGTGACCTTTTTGGGGTGACATGATGAAAAAATGGTTGCCAAGTCGGAAAACCAAAAGCTGAAAAGGTCCGATTCGCTTGCACTTCATCCTGCTTCACCAGCTTTTCCGCGAAGGACCCCCTATTTTGACACACATACCCCCTGTGCTACTGTTAGAAAACTGGTTTTCAATGGTAAGTAAATACTCATTTGTTCAGTCAAGGGTTGACAGCATACCTGAAAAGGCGTGGGCATCTGGAGCAGGTGGAATGGCCTTTTGTGTTCATGGGCCGCTAAGCTTGTCGATTCTGATGCCTTTGCCTCAGCTTGAGCACGCAACGATTGTCATTCGAAACATCTGGCGCGGTCGATTGCTTTTGTTTTGGGGTAATGTTGACCCCATATTGATCAACCCCTGTATATTAATGGGGGGGTGGGGCCCCCGCCAAAAGTGGTCTGATTCCTCACTAAACCCCGAGACACCCTCCTATTGAGGAACTTGGGTTGATGAATATGGGGTCAACATTACCCTCCTTCCAGTGCTTCCAGGTGCTTCAACACTATAGTAGGTGACCAGGCTTGCTTACCTCTGTTGTAGTGGTAACCGAAAGCCCTTGGGGTGCTTTTGAAGAGAAACCCAAAAGGAAACCACCCCAAATGTGGGGCCTATTATGAGACAAACCCACGGGTTTGCCGAAAATGGGAACTCTCAAAGGGTTTGCCTTTGCCCTGAACTGAACCGCCTCCCTTGCAAAAAGGGCTCCTGCACTTGGGAGGCTGCTTATTTACAAGCGGAACAGGCAAACCATGCCAAGTGAGCGGTGTCCCAAAGGAGTTTCCCTTTGAAACAAGACCAAGGATACCCTTAACTCACTTGCTGAGTGAATGGCCCAAAAAAAGTCAAAGCTTTATATTTACCACTAGAATGGTCTTCCCAAAAAGTTTAAAGTTCATGAACTCAGGAAGTGAGTTAAATCTTACAACTGCCCAGGTCCCCTTGAACAAATAATTAACCACATATCCAAATATATCACTAATGCAAATGGAAGACACGTTGACATCGATTTGTTTCCTCTCAACGTGGAGACCCGGCTCACAAAGAAAAACAACAGCACAGCTTGTGCCCTAGATCTTGCGAATTGTGGTAGACCCAGTGGTTTGATGTTCACTTCAGCCCCTTTTGGGGGGCTGTTGCAAAGATAAACCAGAGGATACCACCTATCCCAGAGGGTCCCTTGGTACCTCATATTTGCAGATTGGAGAAATCTGTAATTGACGAATCCCCTTGAACCAAAGCCAAACACGTGACTTGGGTATGTTTAGGGTTAGCCTGTTTTGACACAAACCCATTTTGCTGTATAGAAGGCTGAGAGAACCAGCGGCCCTTGGAATGGTCGCAACAGAACTTTGTTGTTTGCAGCCCGCTACCAAAAAAACGAAATGACTAAAACACTTGCCAACGACAGTTGAGCTGTACAGAAGGTTATGAGAACCAGCTTCAAACATAAGTCATCAAGTCCAATGTGCTGCTTCTGTACAGTGAGCGCTTGGTTTGGTTGCACCACCCACCAGGCGGTGTCGAATTCTTTGCTGCCACCGGCTCCTTGTCGATGGTGCCACCCGTTGAGATGACCAAAATGCACCTGAGATGCGGTCTAGCGATTCGGTGCAGTCTTAATGAACGATGGATGTGTATTTAGTTCCGTCTTGTCATGGGGGTTGGGGGGGAGGGAGGGAAGGGGGAGGGAGCCAAAAAACCCCTTATTAAGCCCTGAATAAGACCTTACTTAGGGCTTATTTGGGCTCCCTCCCCCTCCCCTTCCCTCCCCCCCAGCCCCCATCATCTTGGACAAACTAGCGAAAATGTGGAGGAAGCGGGGACGCTGGATTTCCTGGGCGCCCTTTGCCTTTACAAACTCAGCCTGGCCCTCCCTTTCTGCAGCCCTCCCTCATTGAATCCCTGACCTTAGATCGCCCAGACTCGAAACATCTGGTCAACTCCCAAGTACTCAGCCCGGAAAATGGGTCTTCCTACTTTCCTTTTGTCGAGTTGGTGCACTTTTGGGGCTGCTCTCGGGCAAGACAAGCGGAAAACTACCCATTTCCCGGTCCGCTTGTAACAGGACATGGGAATTGGTGGGCTTAGGTTCCTACTAGATCCCGGGGGTTCAGATCTGAGTGAAAACCAATCATGCACAAAAGACCCCCCCCCCTCATTTACCAAAATCTCGCATGCCCAGCTTGGACGCAAGAGGCGATTGCTTCGTGTGGCCCCTCTTTTGGCTGGGTTTAAAAGCTCTGGGGGTCCCCAAAAGAGAGAAGCCGATTTTAACCAGGTATACTTCGATACAATAACTCCCAAGAAAGGACTGAGAATCGGCGAGCTCGTATTCTCGAAGCGAGCTCGAAGCCCGTAAAGGCAGAAAGATCACGGGCCCAAAGCGGCCCAAAGAAACTTTAGCGGCCGCTTGGCTCAGGCAACCCAACCCAATGGATCTGTCTCAAAAACCCTCTAAAAAACACACACCCACACACAAACACACACCCAAACAGGCATTCGGCTGATCTACATGTCAATTCACCCCTCCCCTAATGGATGACCCCCATGCGTCCAGATCTAGTCAAGGGCCCAGGTTGGAAAGGTTCGATGCATTTGGGCGTTTCGTGGGAGGACACTACTCACTTCTTGAGTGGATTGCCCTGAGAATATTGCCGAACTTTGTGTTTGCCACTAAAATGACCCGGGCCCTTTTAACCCCCACAAGAGAAAGCCATGACACACCCATATGTTAACCCTGAATTAAAAACGACCCTGGTTGATAATCTGAACCCCCCTGTTGACCCCGTTTTTGGCCTTTGACCCGTAGAAACAAAATACTGCAGAAAGAAAGGTGCCCCTTTGGGGGTTTCATTTCTTGAGGGGAACGCCCTATGGGTTCTACTTAGATCCGCTCTGGTCGACGTTAAACTCTTTGTGGTTGTGCTGATTTGAGTTGGAATTGTCTCTGTTGGAGGGGAACACCTGAGCGATAGGGTCCCGAGTTCTAATTAGATCCGGGGTCGACATTTCCCCTCTCAGTTTCCCAAAGAACCCAGAAATACAAGGTTAACCTTTTGGGATCATGACTAAAACTGGGTGCCACCATGGGAAAACCATCAGACTAAAAGCTCAGTTTTGAACACAGGAGCCTTTGTGATGATTTTCGTTGGTCTACCCAGAACCATGTAAGGAATTAAGAAGGCGGCCGCAGCTATTTATGGTTGGTATTGTCCCTTACTAAGGTTTCGATTGTGGCTCATCAGACTAAAAGCTCAGATTTGAACAAAGGAACCTTTGTGATGATTTTGGTTGAAAAAACCGAACGTCACCATTTTTTTTCTGAACACAGGAGCTCTTTTGTGATGATTCTGGTTACAGAACGCCACCATTTGTTTTTCTGAACACAGGAGCCTTTGTGATGAGTTTGGTTGGAAAAACCGAACGCCGCCATTTTTTTCCGCTCTCCGTTTTGCCCCGGCCCCGACCGAATCTCTCAGGCTGCGGCGGTTTGGCCTCGCCTGCAGATTCGCGGATCGGCCGACTCTCCGATCGAGGGGCGGTCGAAACTCTCATGGGGTTGGACGGTTTGACGCTCTTTCGGGAATTGGTCTGCGTAGATTCCTCAAATACTACCTGGAAACCCATATGCGACGTTTTTTTCTGTCCATACGGCTTGGGCCATAAAAAACGACCATACGGTTATTTACGGTTTTTTGTCAACAATTTGTTGAAAAAATACGGGTTGCATACGGCCAAATACGGCCACCAGCCAGCAAAAAATGACCATACGGGAAAAATGATCCAAATACGGGTGCCGTCCCAAAAAAACGGCCATGCGGCTTTCCAGGTAGTTAGTTAAATATATGACTCACTTCCTGAGTGCACGGGCCGACAAATTAAACAAACAAACAAACGTTTGATTCAACATTATATTTGATTACCACGAACTATGGTCCTAAAGATCGTGACTTTACAACATGACCTTACAGTATAGACCTGAAGTTCAGCGGGCATGACTTGATTTTGATGGCCTTGAGGGCTCCAGTTACTCGCCGCTCCTTCATGCTCTTGGCTCCATGTCGCCTTCCTGAAACTCCCGGAACTGTGTCCCTCACGTTGTTTGGATTGGTGGCTTGGATATCCTTGGTTCTTGTTGAGGGAAGGAAAACCAAACCACCCCCGGAACACCTAGCAACCACCAATCCAAACCACACAATAGAGGGAGGCTGTTTCAAGGAAACCCTTCTGACACCTGGAGTACCGGATTGATTGCGACTGTGGTGAAAGCAACAATCAGGAAGGTCAAGCACCAAGAGGAATCGATCCGGTCCAGCAACTAACTTCCTGCTTGAAGTGGCTTAAAGGGTACTTAGTGGTAGGTAAGCATGGTTTATACCCCCTTACCATGGTTATAAGTCTCCGTTCAGTGGCTTATAACCAGGCTTCCCAACCACTTACCTGCCGCACCGAATCGATCGCCCCTTCAAGTGGGGATTGGCCCTTGTTAAACTCCCTCGTCACTTTAAACAAAAATGCAGGGTCCCACCCGGTGCGGAAAAAAAAAGCACCGCGCCTGCCATGAGGAAGCCGAGGCTTGAGCGAGGGAAATCAGAGGTCCAGGCCCAGCGATGAGCCCCGATGACCAAAACGGTGATCCAGACCAACGCCCGGATCGCGGAACGATTCATACCCCGACTCGTTCAGCCATAGATCCTAATGGGTTGAAATGGAATAGGAGCAAGGTCGGGCACTTGTTTTCCATAGTGATTTATTAAGGGGACGGTTCTGGCTCAACATGGCATTGCTTGGCTTTTGCGAGCACGACTGCGGACCCTCCAGTTGATTTTTGTGTTCCGGGTCTGAAATCGAGAGTCTGGCACATTTCAAGCATTACCCTTCTCCTCTTTGGCTTCTCAGGAAACTTAGCGAACTAAGTATGAGCTATGAGGCACCCAGCTTGAGGATTCCAAGACGATTCGTTCAGACCCTAAATTTGACAGTCCCATTGCTTCATGTACCAGAACGCCGCCCAACACGCCGATCTCTCAACAGCTGACATGCCTTTAGGCGCATGTGAGCTTTGACTTGAGCAGAGTTCCCTAGAAGCTCCATCCCAATAGCTGACGCAGGCGCCTCTCACAGACACCAAGTGACGGGCGCCGATGTGTTTTCATGTCTCTCAGATGTGCATGTCAGCTTGAGCCAAAGGCTACGAGGCATTTCCGGACAGCTTCGAACCAAATGGCCCCCTTTTCAGCCCAAGAAAATTTTCACAAGGTACCAAAGGAGCCTCTGGGCAAGGTGGGATGAGAAATCAAAGAGGTCCAAGTTCCTTGGGATGTGTGTTTCTGGGTGTTGAAGGGGGTCGAAGTATCGCAAAAGGCACTCAGACCCTCAGAATAATAATTGAGCCCCTTGTCACATTCTGCTGCCTTGCATGGAACACCCCAAACAAAGGGTCGCCATTTTGTGAAACCAACCAACGCGGGCGAGAACACCAACGAAAACATAACCAAGAGCTCCTGTCCGAAAACAACTACTGCATGCCTCCCCTGCTTAAGCCTGCGCCTCCCTCGCCAGAATAGATTGACATCAAGCACATTAAATAAGAACCACTCCCTGGCCAACTAGCCAACTATGCTTCGGATAATCATTGAGCTCTTTAGCTCAGCATAACAATATTAATCATCCCTTGCCCCTTGGCTCCCCGAGAACCTACAGCCAAACACGCCAAACAATGTTTTGTGGGGGTTCATGTCAATCTGCAAGAGGATAAACAAACCCTCCGGATCGACTCCTGCGGAGGTGTACCGTGCACCCAATCAAAGCGCACCAAGCCCCGTTTCAGTCCCCGTTGATTCTTTCTGGGGATTGCCCAAACAATATTTTCCTGACTTGCCCAAAGGACCCGGAAAAAAGAAGGAAAACAAAAACGGTTAGCCTTTTGGGACCCTTACCCTTGCCAATTAATTGTGGACCAAATCAGCGAAAGGTCCAAGGCTCGGCTTTGGGCAAGTGAGTCTTTCGGTGGAATTGAGCTTGTTCGCTTCCCTTTACGGATTTCGATCCGGTTCTTTGGCCTGCCAAATGCAACATCGGGACGGGCCCTTGACGCTAAACAGACATGTGCGAGTTCTCAGGCAGCACAAAGGGAAAACCAAAAGCACAAACCAACAGGAATCCAAAAGGATACCAAAAGCTGGCCCCAGTTCCCCGATCAAAGTCACCCCTGTTCAGTGGTAGACTCAGGGGAGACAACCCCAATTGCCGACTTGGATACCCCCCAAAAAACCGCAGAGATGGCCACAAATGAGTATTGTCAAAGGGGCGATGCCAAAATTTGGTGTGCTTTGCTCTGGTTTCCCGAAAAAAGCCACCCCCACAAGCGGTAGCCCCAGTACCCCGAGGCCCCAAAACTCGGAACATCGCAGCTATGGCCTCCAGCCAGGTATGTGGCGCTGAACTCCTGTCCAATGGCCATGTTCGCCCCCTGGAAAAACCGGGAATAAAGAGATATATGTCCAGTAGTGAAATCGATTCCCTGTACACCCCACTCCTGTTTGCTCCCTCAGAAAAAAAAACAAACGTATGTCCAGTAGCGACGTCGATTCCCTGTAAGAGACATAGGGGGGATTGATCAATTTTCCGTTCGGCCCCGAAACGACCATGGCTTTCGACTTTTCGTGTTTTGGGATCATCTTCTTCCGTTGACCGTTGGGCAACTGTTCCCATTCAGTGGGGAAAGATCATCTTTTTGGATCGCCGTCCACAATTCATCCCAGCGGGACCTTTTGATCAACCCCCACATGTTCAGACGTTTTCAACCATGCCCATGAACGGGTGTGGCTCTTCGGAGCCCGGTGGTTCGGAGGTGTCAAGTCAGCGATCCAAGCGAAGAAGAGGTTGCCTGAATAGGCCGGAGTTAGAACCCCGGCAAAACAACATATATATATATATATGACTTCACGAAGGCGCCACACCGATTTTGGCCAGCGATGCCACAAGTTGTGACAGCTTGTTAGAAAAGTGGTGACTTGCGTCACGTGAGATCATCCTGTGGCGTGTAGCCACAAATCGAAACCACATGGCTTGAAAGGCCTCGCCAAGTATCAAGCACCACACACCCCCTGGGCGGTGGCGGGGTGGTGGATGGAAACAGCTAAGGGGACTTGAGAACAAGACGGCCAAATCCAAGGCTCCAAATTGCGTCACAAACCTATACAATAGGAAAATGACTTCACGAAGGCGCCACACCGATTTTGGCCAGCGATGCCACAAGTTGTGACAGCTTGTTAGAAAAGTGGTGACTTGCGTCACGTGAGATCATCCTGTGGCGTGTAGCCACAAATCGAAACCACATGGCTTGAAAGGCCTCGCCAAGTATCAAGCACCACACACCCCTCAACCACGAAGTGTCGTGGCAATTTCAGCACTGAGGGCATCAACCAAACTCCAGGGATATGGTTGCGCCAGCATTGTCATGAACTTGCCGGTGTTGCCAGTCTTATCCAGACCTGTCAGGGGAACGTGTGGGCGACCCGTCCGGGAACAAATGTGATTTGATGAAGCACATCGGTTTTCCAGAGAATCCAGACGAAGGAACTTGTAGATCAGCTTGGTGGGCTTCTTCCACTTTTCTCCATACATGCAGAAATCCAAATTACATTCCAAGCAGCCAGCATCATGAATAAAACGACGCATCGCAGGGACATCCCATGCCATAGAACTGAAAGGGTTCTCGACAACAAATGGCACCCGCTGCTTGTCGCAAAGTTTCATCAGCCGAAGTGTAAAAAGGAACATCCGGTTACCCTGGCGAAGCTTATATTGATCTGACGGTGTTAGCCCTGGCAGCCCCCAAATATGCTCATTCGTGCGCAAGGGCCCAGGCCCAATACCATCGCTTCTTCTTGCGCGAGAAAAGTCGTACATGGCATGCCAAACCAGATGAACTTAATGCGGTCCTGCTGAATGAAATGCACAATGGAACGCTCCACATCTTGAGAGAGGACATTGTGGGAGGGGAAAAGACATATGTCGATAGGAAAACAACGCTCACCAGCTTTTTCCAGTGCACTTGATAGGCGAGCAGTACCTGCAAATATATCCAAGGAAAATTGTCGTGGCCTGTGCTTTATGGTGAACACATCTGAAAACTCAGGACTTGGCGGTACACGGCTCAAAGGAAACGAGCTGGCACCGCTCCTGCAAACACCTTCTCCAAGTTGCGCTCCGACCAGAGGCAGAACTGGAGACTGTGCTGAGTGAGCTTTGTGAGAAGCTGTTGAACACGTCCGATTTTGGCATAGCGGCGGACGCTCTGGTCTGTTTTCCATCGGCCCCTTGACTTCACAGCATTGTGGTCCCGAAGGCCACTGCTCAAGTCGTCTGACGCACCCCCGTGACGAAGCTGGTATGGGTGTAATTGTTCGACACCCAGGGCCTTTCCTGCTGCCACGAACTCCTTCCTGAACTGCTCCGCTGAGAAGGTGAACATCAGCGAGTCCGCACTGTTCAGGCTTTTGGCTTTCCTCACCAAAAGATTCCCGATCCACTTGGTCCTCTCGTTGTCGATCCGCAGCGAGTTGTCGAACACGCCCACCTTGTCTGGCACTCCTCCGTCGAAATCTCGAATCACAACTGTCACCCACCTGTACTGGCCGCCAGCTGCGCCGACGGGCGCAACAACGTTTCTGCCTGTGACCCGGGTCTCTGGTTTGAGCGCACGGGTCGGGACTGGCGGCGCTCGGCCACTCCGAGTGCTCCCAGTTGCCTGAACGCTCCTGGCAGTCGAACTCTTCAAAAACTTCAGCACTCCCGCCGGAGGGCGCAGCACCCGGCTTGACGAAGCCGCGGGAGGGACCATCCGCAGCGTTAACTTCCGACCGGATCCAACGTGTGCGAATTGTCATGCTGCATGCTAGAGAAATAGCTGAGACCCTTTGAAGAACTCGAAGCATGTCGTATGAATGCGATCTGCCTTTTGCAACTGAAAAGCAAAGGGAGATATTATCGACAAGAAACAGATGCCGCTTCCGACGGTGTCGACTACATCTTGAGAGACGCCTAACGGCCAGCAGCAAGGAACGACCCTCCTTCAAAGTGATATGCTCACCCGTATGCTCCCACTTGCCCATCTTCACAGTTCGCCAGAGATCAGGTTGAAGGAGTTGATCGGGGATCTCGGGGAAAACTGGGTTGGGGATGAATTCATCTCCAAGCTCATCTTCGTTCACCAGGTTACCGACCACAGTGCGATGGTCCCCGAGCACATCCCAGCCTTGTGATCTCTGCCGTGGCTTCCACTCCGAAGGCGGCAATCTCTTAAATCTCCACCTTTCCAGCCACTTGCCGTGCTGCCTTGCCAGGATCGTAGAGCTTCCTGAAAATCGACATGCCGCACCTGTTGAGGACGCAAACCACCATCGAGTGACCTAGCAATCGTTGTATGGTCTTCGTGCTCATCACCGACACAGCAGCTATTTCAAAAGCATGGATGAGCAGCCACATTCTCTTCAAGGACGACCGAACCACACCCTTCTCACCCTCGATGACACCCCCCAAAGTTTCAAACACCGATGTGGCCTCGACATGCTCGTGCAGCTCGAAGCCGATGTCCTCCAGCGCGGATACCATACCATCCTTTGCATCCTGGCAGCGGGACGAATCGGTGCTGATACTGTGTATGTTGTCACAGTAAGGCATAATCGTGAGGTTATCATTCTCCAGGGAAGGGGCCGGCTGGCCATCCAGGAATAAGTGACGCTCATCCAAGCCCAGGGCTCGTAGCGCAATGTCCGTGCGCAGTTGCTGAACCAAGTAGAAACTCCAACTGAACCCCATAGGAAGGACAGAAATAACAGGGACTCCCCTACCAGAACCTGCTTCAACAGCACCCCCAGTAACCGCAGTGACTTCGGCGTCCGACAGATCAGATGCCAACGCGAAATATTGCTGCAGTTCTGGCTCCAGGTTCACGGCGTAGAAACAATCCCTAATATCAGCCCCAGCAACTTTAAGGGTGGCCCCATCAACGAGCTCAGATTCCGAAATGGCAGCAAGTGACCCCAAACGAGTGTGAGGAGGAGGCCTGAAAAGTAAATTGGTCTGCCTACAGTCAAGGACCAGTCTCTGCTTAACCACGGTGACCCCGTCAATCAACTTGGGCTTCTTTGCCACGCAGAAAGCTCCCACCCGTCCTTTGCAGCCGGCCGCAAAATTGAGAACTCCGCAGCCATAGAGCTTCTTCAGGAAATCAAGATAGGAGGACCTGCAAGAGAGCATTGGGTCATTGTATGGCTTCATTGCGCCAACCGTGTCAGTCAACTCGCTCCATTCACCAGCATCCCGCAACATGTAATTCTCGAAATCCACCACCATATTGCGAATTGGTTCCGAAAGGCTCCCCACCAAATCAACCCCCTGGCCGCCCCTCGAGGGCAAAGAAAGGAGGTCGAGTTTCATAGGGACTGTAGATCCAGAGGTACCATCCGGCACGTCATAGCCAGATGTTCTCCAAGATACCAAGAATGGCATCTCTCTGTATCAGAGGGAGTGACTTCAAATCTGTCACTGGCTCAGGCATGTTGAAATTATCCCCACCGTAGAAAAGCAAATTCAAAGAACGAATGGCCTTATTCACCCTGCGGGCAATCTGATACTTCAAATGAATTCGTTGCTGAACAGCCCTACACACGTTGCCAGCATGAGGTTCCTCAACATGAAGTAGAGGTAATGGGAACACATCTCGTTGCCGCCCATCGTCTATGCCAGGTTTGTGAAAAATAGCACTGTCCCAAGGCCTCCCCATTGCAGAAAAGCCGATGCAATCCAGCCAAAAACTAGCCAGAACAGCTGCTATAGGCCTGCCTGTGGAACGCAGCAATGCCACAGGCTCGCCCAAGTTCAACCTTGTCCCGCCCCACTTCCACGGCCTTGACCCTTCGGGTCGCCGTTTTTGTGGGGCCCACCACCTTTGCCCTGCCCTCGGGCTTCTGCCAACTTTCTGCGCTCCTTCAAGATCTGACTCTCGGCCTGAAGACCCTTCGACACGTGCTCCTTCAATGCGTGGACCACTATGCCGCCACCAGCACGGTACTGGTTGCCAAGGAACAGGTCGGCCCCCTCGTAGGAAGGTGATGATGGATTCAAGGCATGCGCTTGGGCAATAAGCTGCCTCCGCCGCACGACCAATTCCATACATGCCAAATTCACAGGATTGAGACAGTCATATGTGACACATGTGTCCAAGATTCGTGCAAGGACCTCGTCTTCATGAATTGCGCGGTTGTTGTCGGGGATCTTGGCTTGTTGAATCCATGCAAGGTGTTGAGAGTAACATCCTTCAGATACACTGGTCACAGCCCGAAGATACTCTAAACACGTGCGCGGCTGCAGCGGAAAATCCTCGAATTCAACCTGGGCAAAATCCCCCACTGATTCACGGAAACTTCTCATTCTTTCCCCATTGGCATTGAAAGTGATCGACATTGTACGGACATCCTCGGCCGCTGACCCTCCACGCTCTCACTGGAGCGCGCCAAAGCGATTCGCTCATCGCAGAAGGTGCCCAGGTGATTGTCAGCAACCTTTTTCACTAGGACCACCCGCTGGACGCCACCACCATCGACCATAGCGTGGAGACCATGATCATTGAGTGAGGGCATGTTGGGGGCCACCTGCACTTGTTCACCAATCTTATGTGCTAGCACCCAGCGATCCACCGCTGCCGCTACAGGAGCCACCGGGACACCACCAGCTCCACCCGCAGGGGGTGCAAGACCCAACCCCCTGGCAATCCGCTCAGCATCACGCTCAGCACGACCATCCGCCAAGGCTTGGGCGTATTCCCTAGCAGTCATGCCACCGAAAGCATAAATCTGGTCTGGGGGTAACGATCCATCGGGAATATGAAAAAAGAGGGTGAAATTCGGATTGTCAGGCACCAACGTCTCAGCATAGATGTCTCGGTCAGGTGTCATGATGATCCAATCTGAATGCTCAACCTGGCTGAGCAATAGTCTGGCATGCACCACCCCAGGATAACCAGCATATTCGACATAGGCTAATTCTCCAGGCTGCATGGCTTATTCAACGATCCACAATCTGCAGCCCTTTTGGAGCCCCGTAGACGCCCTTTCCAGCCCTCCCCTTGATGGAAACACTGTACTCTTTCTCTCCACCTTCCAGGTTTTTGACCGTGACCCGAAAAGCTAAAAACAGATTGGTCCCCACCAGTATCACTGCCAGGCACACTCCGACGATGAACAAGAGGCTGTCACCTCCACCTCGAGGCTCCGGCTTGACCGAGCACACGCAGTGGCAAGCCGATGGCTCGGACCGCGGCTGCTCCCGGGGCCCCAGGACCAACCACGAGAGGGCAGCACCACAAATGGCCACAACGATATGGGAAGCGTCCATAACCCGAAAACAGCTAAGGGGACTTGAGAACAAGACGGCCAAATCCAAGGCTCCAAATTGCGTCACAAACCTATACAATAGGAAAATATACATTGTTTGCCTGGAGAGTGGAAAGCAGAGGGAACCCCAAAAAAGCAAAAATGCAAAAAAGGGGAGCTATTTCTGGGCAAGCTGAGTAGTACATGCTGTCAAGATGGCCATGGGTATGTGTTAAACTGGAAAATGGGTTTGTTTTCGGTTGGTTTCCCTTTCAACCAACCCCACAAGTGCTACTTATGTTCTGTTCGCTTCCCCCAAATCTGGGGTGGTTGTGATACCAAGAATCTGGGCTGCCCTCAGATCCCCCACTAAAGGTTTAACTTTTAGTGGGCTAAATGCAAACTACCACTAAACACTAAAAAGCTAAAAGGCTAAGGGGATGGCTTGGAGCCACCAAGACAAAATCCCTTCAAGTGGCCAGGAATTCTATCTGGTGACCTCTAATGGACATCACAAATCGTGGTCAGACTGGTCATCTTGTACACTGAAACTTGAACAGGGGGTGCTGCCCCCACCCAAGTCACTGCCTATTCCCTTGGCTGGAATAAAAACTATTTTGTTGCCTGGTTAGCGGAAAGCACAGTAGGCTCCAAAAAAGAAAAAGATGAAAAGGGGAGCTAATTCTGGGCAAGTTCCCATTGGTTTCTTTCGGGGGGGGGGGAATTGGTTGAACGAAAATGGCCGCTCCAGCAACCGCAAAAATGGTTGTCTTCCAACACTCTTTGCAGTCACTCCCATGATGCCCGAGCACATGATCTGTGACAACCAACTACACTGATTGGGGTTCACCTATTCCTCCCATTACAGGCAAACCACCCAAACTTAAAGGGGGATACAAACACAGGAAATGTGGTTTTTGTGTTGCCTTTTGACAAACCCGCTCTTCCACACCCTGAGGTATACCCACCTATCCAATCAATATGGGCACCACCCTTGCCAAGGTTTCAGATACCCAATTGTTTTCGGGGATGGGGCAGCCCCTCTATGTTCTCATTGACCAACACAAGCATGCACCAAGGCAATCAAGCCAATTCTATCCAACAGAAGACTGCGTCTGTGTTTTTGGGTACCCTTCGAGGGTGGCTTACAGGAGCACCAAAAGGCAAGCGATCCATTTTGGAGGTTCCAGATCCCGATGCTACTACGAACCCAAAGGAAATCTTGTGACGCCACGGCAAAACCAGCGGGGGCGGCCACCCCCCCGGTGTTGGGAACAAACCGAGGGACTCCCTGAAAGGAAACCAGGGATGGCTTCTGGGGGTCATTCCATTTCTCATTCCCTCGAACAGGTCGCAAGTTTCTGATACCGGCTTGAAGGGGACACCGATTTGAGGACCCGGAAACCCCACCTTTGACCCTTAAAATCTGTTTTTCTCCCAGTGCACTTACCTCGCGGGGTGGAGTGTCTTCTGCTTGCTACGGCTAAAATGGTCCGTCGACCCAAAAAGGATTTCGTCCGGAACAGAACTCGGGTTCCTCTTCGCTTCCCTTTGATTTGACCCCAAAGGTTTGAACAGCTTTTGTCGGTCGGCTTCCCTTTGATTCGACCCCACCAAAGGTTCCTAACCCTCAAACAGCTTTAGACACCCACTAGGTCCTCCAGAGAGCTTAGGATAAGGGTACCCGATTTCTTTTTCTGTAGTCTATTTTAGCAGGGAACCCTCCCCCAAAAAAGACACGGTACAAGGGCACCTAGCTGGGGGACCTAGCAACCAAAAAGCTGTCGCATCGATTCGATCCGCTCCAACTGGTCTCCCACACCGTCTTGGCATAGGAACAAGGCCTTGCGGTTGCGGGGAACCGGGGCCCTGGCTCTACGGCTCCACGCATGGGTCTGGGTGAAAAAGAGTCACCAGGAAATGGACCGCAAGAAAAAATCATCCATGTTTGCACTGGCCAGGCCAAGCCATTTTGGGGTTACCCAATTTTGACCAGCCACATCATGTTAGCCCCGAACTTTCATAAACAGAAGGGCCCCTCATGGAGGGTGGGTATTGAAACATAGGAAGCTACATTTCACGGCTTTCAACAACCCACCCCACATGAGGGGACACTCTCTGAATACACCCCTCCTTGTAATAGGCGGTTTCCCCTCCAAAGGTCATGAGTCCCCACTCAAACCAGGGACACCCCCGATAAAAATAAACCGGGGGGTTGTTAATCCAAGGGTCAACATTAAACCACTGTGCTTCAGTCTCGACATAAGACGGAGCAGTCCTTAATTGGTGGTTTGGACTGGTTTGGGGAGTGGAACCCCTGGTTCTTGTAGAGTGTAAATTCCAAACCGCTCGCCTCCAAACCAACTGACCGTTCACAGCACAGTTTCTCCCTTGGACAAGTCCACCAAAACGGTAACTCACCCTTAACTTGGCGTTTTCGAGTGTTCACAAGCCACCTTTAAACCACCCTTGCGCAACTATGGAAAATATGGACATATGGGACATATGTCTCCTCCACACACTGCTGCATGGACCAACCCCCCTCCAAATACCAACTTTCGAGGGTGTAAATCGGGTTTACATGGTCACTACCTCCTGAGAAACAACAACAATGATAGATTCCCCTTTAAACCAACAGGGGGAAATGAAACACATTCTCAAGCAAATTGAAGTAACGCTGAGATCGGGTTTCTGAGGCTTTCAAAGTCAGCCTCTGTGGTTGCGCTTTCCTTTGTCAACGGATTTGACCCACCACTTAGGGGGTGAATTCGATGATGGAGAGATATTGTGACAAAGTTACCGTCTTTCCTTTGGAAGGCCTAATGAAGGAGGCTCGGGGGTGCGGTCGGGGGAGTGGATCCTGTGATGGGGTAGCTCAGCGGTGTCCTGCAGTCTCCGGGGGAGAATCCAAATCAACAAGTGCCGGGGGCTCACATCCCACCAATGCAATCCAAACCACCAACTAAGGAGTACCTGCAATGCGTTGGTTTGATCCGTTTGAACACAACATGTAACAGCGACCATCCTCACCTACCCCCCCCCCTCCCGCAAAGAGCTCCTGACCCGGTCTAGCCCAAATGCATGCCAGTTGGGTTTGCTCAGGATACGAAGACATGGCTTAGTCTCATCCTGTCGCCAACCACGGGACAGATCGGGGGGCCTGCAAGCCGTGCAAACTCCGAAGCGGAGTGTGCATGGCTGTGAAAACCCACCAAAAAAGTCTACTGATACCGAAATCGGATTCCCATACCAAGGTCCTCGAAAACCCAAACCACCACATCACTGAACATCCTTGTCCACTCACGCATGACATCCCAAGGTCCAAGTTTACACAAGGGACATGTAGGTCGAAGCGGGCTCCGTGATGGGGGCTGTGAAAGCGAAGCGGAAGCCACAGGAAACAAGCCCTGATGGAACATTAGCTTGGACTCCAATGAAGGGTTAACTCACTTCCAATCGAGCGGGTTGGCCAACAACAAATCCCAACTGTTCGCTTAGCTCTATCATGGCCCAAATCCAAAAATACCAAATCCAGGAACTCAGGGAGTGAATTCTTTTTTGGGACCGTGAATTAAAACTAAGCCCAGGTGGAATCGCAACAGCCCCGAAACCCCTGCAGATGAATCTGCTCCAACTCACCCCCATTTGGGGCAAAGACCCCATGGCTTCCAATTATTGGTGAATTCACCAAAAACAAAACCAACAGAAGGGTGAGCCTCTGAAAACACGTCCCTGGCAAACCTAAAAAAGTGCCCACGCCCTGACCTGTTGAGTTGACTCCCCCGTGTAAATTGTCTGACCAGAATGAGGTTGACCGGCCCGAAAAGGTGTAAACTTCTTGGGCCTTGGTAAATCATGGAAAAACCCGGTCAAGAAACAGACTGAAGCTTGCCCAAGTCGTCAGGTTGTCTTAATTTCGGATTGATCCGGACCAGGGGTGGTTCCCGTTTTAAAACGGCAATCATCTCCTCAGCAAGGTCCGGATTTGTTGGTGTGTGTCAAAACAGCGGCAGGGGCTTCTGTTGTCCTCTTGGTATGCCTTGAATGCACCTTCAAAAGGGTAGCCTCATAACCTGCCCAGGGCTGAGTCTTAACCAAACCTGCAGCAGCCATCAGAAGCAAGGCCAGCAGCAGTCACTGACCGTGTCATTCCTTCCGGCCGTGTCCAGGCATCCATCTCTTTATCCAGGCCATCTGCGGGCATCTTGGTTCACCCGGCTCAGTTTGTCAAGGCAACCTCCGAAGTACTGGAAGTGCCCCATCTTGTCCACGACTGCCGGTGGCTTTCCGGTAATGACTTCGGCTGCACTTCTCCTCCGGCGCCTGACATCGGCACGTCCCCTGCTTGGTGTTCGGCGTCCACCGCCTGCGACGCAGAAGCTGCTGCGTTTGTCGTTTCAGCCTGCATCTGAAACGACACAACACACACTTTGGTCATGTTTGATGCGTGTTGCTGTGCAAACTTACTGTAGGGTGGAGGGTTTAGATTAGAATTCAGGATTAATTTCCGGTAATGACCTCCAGCAAAGCGCCCATGGAGTCCAAATCAGAGGGAACTAAAGTGCTCAATCCAAAGGCACGTACAGAATTCAGAGGGCCACCGCACCTGTTTCTGGCCTGTGACCGTCCCTTACTGGACTTCACTCTACGAATCCAACCACCGTAGAAACAATGGGGGTTAATACAACAACCATTCTGTACCGAAGAAGCGTCATCAGCTAAATTGGGTCCTTTCCATTCGTGTCATGGGGGTTGAACCCTACTTGGATGTTCGGCCAGGATAGTACGTGGTTAGCCACCTTGGTTATATCCCAATAAAAACAAGGTTAACTCCTCTTAGTGAGATATAAGCGGACTGTGATCTGGGTTACTAGCAACTTACTATCTTGGCCGAACACCCAAGGGTCCGAGTACCCCATAAGGAAGTGTGTCGACCCATTTTGTCCATCCTGGGATCTATGTTTGACGAATTCTCGAAACCAAGCCCCAAAAACCGCGAAAACATCTAGCCGTGCTTGATTGCTCACATCTATTTCAAGGCAATGGAAACACGAAATGAAGGGCCTGGATTGTCGGCGCATGGGCCAGCTCTGGCTGTGCTGCCAGCCTCGAGTCAAGAGAGGGGGTCCTGAAGCCAACTGTCTAGCCGCTTTTTTACATCCGCTTGAGTTAATGGGTTAATGGGAAACCCCTCTGGAACACAAGCAACCAGTTAGAGGGAAGCTGATCTGGGTGTCTCTAGTTTCAGGCATGGTTGGCTGGCCTTGAAGGGAAATCAAAAGGAACACCAGTTTGGGGTTTCCCTTTTGTTCCTAGTAGGCCACCCCCCTTCTTAAATGCTCAAACAACGCCAGGTAAGGTTTTGACCATAGCTATGAGGGGACCAACTCACAATCAAAGACTGGTATTGACATGCTCTACCCAATTCCATACAAGGATTTATGATTGCGGCAGCATCGGGATTATCCCTTACTATCCTTCATCTACCCGGGTTTTGATTGTGGCTCAGTTGCCCCATTTTTAACCTTGGTTGTAACCAACGTACGAACTGCGTGAACGTGTAGTGAGCCCCATAAGAAGAAGTGTCCGCCAAACCTACCTGTCCAGTGAACAAGAAAAAACCTAGGGACACCCTCTTGTGGTTAGTTGTTTCTGAAAGCCTAAACACAGGTTCCGACTGTGCTCAGAATCTGCAACATTGCAAACATCAGGCCCCCTATATACGTCGGAGGGTACTTCGACCCATTTGTGCCCGTCAAGCATACGCTTAGGCCTCTTGGGACCCCAAAAAGGCTCGTACGCCAATCACATCTACTCGAGTTTCCTGCTTCCAGTTGACCATCTAACCAGGATTCCCCGACCTGGGTCTTACGGCCAAATCAGGTAAGTTGTTGACCTAAGCAATCACCCGAGCAAAGCAAAAAAACAAGTCACCTTGTTAACAAACTCTGCCCCAGGCCAACCATTTTGGTCTGCGAAACCGGTGTTGGCTGGTTTCAAGAGGAAAATTGGAGACCACAAATTTGGTGGACACACAATGAACAACCCAATTACTTGGCAACGAACATCCAAGTACCCCACCTCAAAAGCAGAAGCAAAGAAACGTGCGGGTAAGGCGGGTAGGTTGGGAAAGTGGTAAAGCCTTGTTTCACTCAGACTCAGTTGGTGGGTTATTTCTTTGGTTGCTAAACGCCGGCGTTTAGTAATGCTAACTCCGAAAAAAAATGTTTTGCTTTCTCCAGAGGCAGGGGGGTGTCCCCTTGCAGTGCATTTGAGGGGGCCCGACCCCCCAATTAGGAAGGGGAAAAACCTTTGCCGGGATCAACACTGCTTCCCTTCGCTGAAGTAGCCTGGACAACAGCAATATCCACTGGTGAACACAATCCCTTGAGAACCAACAGGAGAAACAAAGACATATTCTCAGTCTTAGGGGACCCCCTGCCCTGAAATGCTTGGTTTCCCTTTGTAGATCCATCCGAAAAAAATATCAACAAATGGACGATTACCCTGCTATAGGCCGCCTGTTCATGCCTATGAAGGTCAAAAAAGGCGTTTTTTTTGTGGTAAATGGGAAGTCAAACCCAGGAAACAAACAGTGGAACCCATCTACCTTTCACCAAACTAACTGATCAAAAGGACACCTACTGTCACCTGTGGATGGACGAAATCTCCTGCACCATTCCTCCTGCCAGGGTTTCTTAGGTGCTGCGGGAAATGGTTTTCATCTACCCACACCGATTCAGCCGGCCCCAATGTACCCTGGTTCGAGCATAATGTTGACCCAGGATTAATAAACCCGTCCCACTATTAGGGGGGTGTTCCCTCCAAGAGTGATGAATCCCCACTAAAAGGGGACACCCCCCTATAAATCAACCAGGGGTTTATTAATCCGGGGTTAACATTATCCTCCAACCGCCCGGAAAACGAACACCTCGGGTCTCCGGGCCCCAAAGCCGCGGTCTCTGCGTCGGGGCCTCGTCGCGACAGGTCGCAGTCACACGGGGCCACCCGGGTCACCCGGGTACGAAAGCGACACCGGTGGGCAGCGGGGCGACGTCAGTCGGGTTTTCCTGTTGGTTTCTTTGGGTTCCCTTCAAGACCACCCAAAAAGGGTATCCTCCGAAAACGAAAAAAAACCTTGGGAGTGCGATTCGCCAAGTTAGGAAGTGGGGGTACCCTCCCCATTTGGGTTTCAAGAGGGGATGTCGAATTCATGTCGGCTTTCTTCTGGAAAAAAACAAACGACGTGTTCATTCGTGCTAATGCCCATCTCCGTCGGCTTGCTTCGGACTAAATACGTAAGGCAGTGCAAGAATACAGACAACATATATATATATATATATATATGTATGTATGTATGTATGTATGTATATATTGATTATTGAGCATGTATATGACAGTTATCTGAAATTCCTTGTTCCGGAAACCGCCATCTTCGCGAGAAAAAAATAACTTTCGCGGACCACATCGCGGAACTTTCGAGGGCCTGTTTTCAGAACATTCATCACAAAAGTAATACACGAAGTACACTTTCGCAGCCCCAGCTCGAAAGCCGCAGCTTTTCAATACGAAAGTAGCAAAGCAAACTTCCGCAGCCCGGCTTGAATGTCGCGCAACTCTTGAATACGAAAGTAGTACATGAACTAAACTTCCGCAGCCTCGAAAGTCAAAGCTTTCTAATACAAAAGTAGTACACAAAGTAAGCTTCCGCAGCCCCAGCTCGAAAGTCGCAACATTTCAGTTCCAAAGTAGCACGCGAAGCGCGTTTCCGCAGCTCCAGCTCAGAGGACCCGTTGGCCTCATGTCCGGAAACTGGCGGGGAGGTCCGTCGATTTTCGCGAAACTTTCGCGAAACTTTCGCCAAACATTCGCGAATATCCGGCTGGAAGTTGCACTCAACTTGACCCGAAAGCTTCAAAACTCCCACAAGCCGGTTTCTGCTGGCTGGGGGTTGCTTTTGCAGCGGCGTATTCTTGCAGCGACCCTCAGGCTGCGCGTTCCCTGGCCAACTTTGGTCTGCGGGCATTCTGGCCGCACTGCCGGTAAATACACATGGTTCATCACTCCAGCTTCCTGTTAGCAAGCCACCCTTACACAACACTTTCGCGAATAAAAAATTAACTTTCTCGACCCCCTTCGCGGAACTTTCGCGGAGGTCAACGCCAAGACCAAAAGGTCTTCCCCTTCATAGCTCGATACAAGGACCTTTCGGACGACTCTCATATGAGCTAATTCGCACCCAGTTTTCCCGCCCCGGTGCACTTTGTACGCTTTTTCAAGTCGTTGCGCAACGGGATTCAACGCCCGCCTGGCTCGGGTGACAGCACGTCGCTAATCTGCAGCAACTTCCCCTTCGCCACTTTCCGCAAAGCTGGGGCCTTCTTTCCCTGCAGCAGCAGAGGCCTGGAGATCGGCGCATCGGACCCCGAAAACATGGGGTGTTGTGCCTAGCTGCCCGAGTCAAGCCCCTGTTTTGCTGGGTTGTGTGTTGCTTTGCTTGTTTGGTCGGTCGGTCCCACAAGCAAGCAGTCCCCGTTTGGTTGGCTGGTTGGCTGGTTGGTTGATTCTACAAACAAATCCCACAGGCACCAACACGGAGAAGGGTTTTGTACCCTTCTCTGTGTATCCCCGACAAAAGGTTCATCTTCGAAAACCATGACTCAACATGGGCCCAACAACAGCTGAATGTATACGTCCATGTATGACCCCTGGTATGAACCCCTAGTTTATGGGATAATTAAGAAATTGCCATGGCTTCATTTTGGGAAATTCGCCCCCAACGGGTCCAACATGGCCATAAGTTCATAAAGTAGGAACCTATCCAAAAGGTCAATTCGCTTTGGGCGAGTGAGATTGATTGTTCAAACCACCTCCTTGTTGATCTCCTTTGCTGGGGGGCAAAGGCCAATGTCTGCTGGTTGCACAAGTCACATTGAGCCAGCAAAAAAAGGCAACAATGCTATCTAGAACCGTTTTTTTGAAGAACTTCCTTGAACCAACCACCCCCCAAAAAAAAAACACGAAAAACACAAATGTAAAGTAATTTACCAAGGGACACTCTTGGCTGGGGAAAAAAACTGAACGATGACCATGGCGTTGGACAAACTTTCGATCAGAGGCATGTTGGCCCAAGGAGTCTCCCGCCGTCCCAGGATTGGCGGCATGAGCCTATGGGTGCCTCGTCTTTTCGTGTGCACCCTTTTGGGATTGTTTCTTTGAAGGGACGCCAAAGGCAACCCAGCCACAAGTCAAACTTTGACTTTGGTTCGAGCTACCTCTCAAGGAGGACAAGTCACCTATTTCCATGGCCTAGACAACAGAATGCTTTTGGTGAGGGTCATCCCGGTCATCCCCTTTTTAAGGGAACTACAGATCAACCCCATGTGTAGAGGAAACTCCTTTTGGGGCACCCCCCCTTGCGGGTTCCATGTTAATTTGTAGAGGAGTGTTCTTGAAGAAAGCGCCACGGGGTCAAAGCCCAAGCTCGGACGACCGGGCCGCGCCTGTCGGAAAAGTTGCGAACCACCACCTGCGAAGCTCCGGGTTTCTACGGCATCCGCAAACGGAAAAACATGCCCCCAATATACTCTGAATACCCATTGTTTCAGGCTAAGATTTCAAAAAAGCCCAGTTTTTGCCGAGGTATAAATACTTGTTGCGTACAATGAAACAAAGTGGGTATTTTGTGCAGGGGGTGGACACAGGGTTCCGTTTTTTGTAGGGGAACAGGGGACATAAACCCAGGTCTGAGGACGTCTGCTGGAAGTAGTCATTCGGTGGCAGCAGCCTTGCCTGCGCAACTCAGTGCGGTAGCCCTTGGGAAGTCAAAATCCAGATCCTTCAGCTGCGCGCCTTTCTGGACCGCCTCGTCGACCCTGGCGCTGACCTTGTACTGCTCATAGCGCTTGTGCGCAGCGGACTGAGGCTTGGGGTTCTGCGAAGCATACTCGATTTCCAGTGACCCTGCCATGTCATAGTCTCGTCTCTTAGCCACCACACGCTGAGCGGGGAAAGCCCATGCGCCGAGGCACCTGCCCCGCAAGAGTGTGCCAAGGAAAGTGTGTGACACATTGACGTCCTGCTTTTCGGATCTTGAAAACGAACTACCCCCAAAGAATTGGCACGTGCAGGCTGTAATTAAAAAAACCGTGGTTATTTTGAGCCATTCTGGGTCATTTCCCAACGGTGTAAGAACTTGTGAGAATCTAAGTGGGCGACCCTTTGACTGAGTTGGCGGCTGTCAAGCGGACAACAACATTTCCTGAGCACCCCAAAGCTTCTCTCAGGGGCACATGATGCAAACAGCGGGAAATACAGAGTGCGCTGCGGTGGCAAAATCTGAGGGTTTTGGTAATACACCCTGGGATTGCACCCTTGGGAAATGACTCAGAATGGCTCAAAATGACACAGTTTTATCCGGACATGTGCCTAAATGGGGTCAATACCCAGTGGGTGTATTTTCAGGGCGCAATACAGAAACCCGACAAAAGATGCTTCCCACGCAAACCACTCGAAAAGCGTCTGGACATACTGGGCGCCACCAAAGTGAACTTGCTGTCTTCATGTAAGACGTAATTTGCAAAACCTCTGCCCTTGGTTTAACTGAAATCATCACTTGGTCAAAACAAATGACAAAACGGAAGGAACCCTGGGTGGGCATATCTCTGCAAGCTCTTTTGAACAAAGAAACTTTAAATGAGGCACTTTCAACAAGGTCTTCAAGTAGATGGCCTTCATGACTCATCATAGGCTCATTTTACCTACCTGAGTCTGGTTGCTTTACGTGGTTGCCTCTCAATTATGTTCAGGATCGGGAGGGGGTATCCGGCGTCCGGCGCCGTCGCCTCGTAGAGGCGCAGCGGAGCCTTGCGCTTGAAGAGATCCGCGGACGCCTCGGCAGACTTGAAGTGGGGTTTCCCCCGGCGGGGAGTCTCAGATGATCAGATTTCCACCTGGAGTCTCCTTCTGACCCACTAAAAATGAGTCAATGACCCCCAATTTTTGGGCAATGTTTTGGGTTCGTGGAGTTCTAAGGAATCGGAACCCTTCCCCAAAAAAAACATAAAAAAAAAGAGGCCACTGGGCAACAGAGGATTGGTAAGTGGAGTCCCCTTCTGAGCCTGAGGGTCATAATATGCCCAAAAGTAGGAGTCATGACCCCATTTAGTTCAAGGGTGATAGGAGACTTCAGGTATGTGCCACAAAGCAACAAGCAGGTTGCCAAGCACCAAACACTACATGTGGGTGTGTCTGGTGTGTCTATTGTTCAGGCTGCCCTCTTGCATTTTTTTTTGGGAAGGGTCTTCCAAAGTTTCAATCTAGGCTGTCCGTTTTCTGATCCCCTTCCGAACTGCTAAAAAGTCTAGCTTGTGATTTAATGGAAACCACTAAACCAACTAAAACAAACTAAAACCAAAGGAGATGGCTGGGAACCGCCAAGTCTACAGGGTGCCACTGTTCTCTTCGCCTTTCTCGCCGATTCAGTTTAAACCCATAGGCCGACTGTACTCCCTTAGGGTGCCTTGGTGTGTTCTAGGGCCATAGGCCCCATGGGTTGCTCTTGTTCATCTAATGCTGACGGAGTACCAGCCCCCCTTGAGTACTGGAGGGGTGCCACATTTTGGAAGCAAACCTTCATTCCCCAACAGCTCGGAAGAAATTTGCTCTGGGGCCTCAGTTGCCCCAACAACCCGCGAATATAACAGCTTAACTTTTGGGAACCTTTGCCAAAACTGGTTGCCAAAACTGGTTGCCAAAACTGGTTGCCAAAAGGCAAAACCAAAAGGCTAAAAGGCCGGCTTTGGACAACTGAGGGGTGGTTCCGAGCAGTTTTCAGGGAGGGTGGGTCTGGGGCTAAAACACCTGATTCTGTTGGGGTCGATTCATCCAAAACTGGGTTGGGAGCAACCCCTCCAGCCAAACAGCTCGTTCACCTCCGAATGGTCTGAGGGGCCTGTGGCCAAGGTCAAAGATCAGCCATCCAAACCAGGTTCTTCCATGTTACCTATTGGTTTATGGGCAATCAAACAACTGGATGGAAACAGCCATGAAAATTCCCCACTTGAACTGACTTCGTAAAAGCCATGGTTCTAACTAGGACAGCTGGGGGTGGTCCCCAGCTAAAACCAAAGATCATTGACATACTTGCTAAGTTGGTTGAACATCCCAGGTGGGTTTCAACCTTGTTATTGGTTGGTTCATACCGTGGATCGACAAAATCCACCTTGCGCCGCAGAAGCCCTGGAATGATTCCATTCCCCTGGAAATACCAGCGCCAACGTTTGCTGGTTTCAACGAATTTTGGTTTCGTGGTGCGTCTGGACTTCGTAATGTGACGGTGGCGAAAAGCCAACTTGGCGAGTCAGCTCCGCGAGTCCCGGGCTCCCTCGAACTTCTGGAGCTCTAGCAGCCAGAAACTGAGCTCTGGCACCTCGGAGTCCAGGAAGCACGCAGGGATCGAAACCATCCTGTGATATGGGTATTCCTTTTAGGGTATAAAAAATAGTCCAGGGAAATCCTCAGAAACAATCCAGGGTCAGGGTGTGAATTTCAACAACTTGGGTGTGGTCCTCACCTAAGCTGTAACAAGCTTATGCGTCCCCTGTTCAGTAGAGTGAACCTAAATGACAAGCAAGGTGGCCAACCACTTACTAGCTTGGTCGAACATCCAAGTAGCGACCCTATGGCGGACATCATTTTGGTGAAATCTATGTCCACCAACCAACCACTTTTGAGATTGTTCCCTACCTGCAAAGAAAAAAACAACACACGCCCATGTGTTTTTTGCCATGTGCCTGCTAGGCGGGTCACACATTGCTCCATTCCTTTGGACCGTCTAGCTGTGTCCAGCAAGCCATTTTCCCCGGGAGGGTGTGCATTCCAATGAACCCTTGGTGGACATCATTGAGGTGGGAAATCATGTGCGAGGCGGTTCCTTCTAACAATTTGTAGACAACTAGGCCTCGGGGAAGTTTGCAGGGGCTCTAGGTGTTGGAAGGGTTCCGGGGCCTGCCTGAGAAGCGCCCAACACCTATTGACTTTTGGTTCTACCTTCCAACATGGCCAAGGCTTAAATAAGCCTTGCCATGCAAATGGAAACCCGATAGCAGAACTTTCCAACCCTTGGTGTGGTAGCGAGAAGCTGACTTACTTGTTTAACAGCCTACCAAAAAAAACAAACGGACAACAAACAACAAATAACATGCCCCAGAACAGTGAAGAGAACTGACAACCAAAATTGCAATTCGCCCACCTCGGCCATTTAAGGCAGGTGAGACGCGCCTCGGCTGAGGCTAAAGCCAGGCGCAAGTAGACCGAGTCATCAGTCCGACTAGACCTCAGCCATGGCCATCCCCGTCAAAAGTGCTCAAGTGGTGCAACGAAGTATTTGTCTACGGCCCATATCTTAAGCGGATATACACGGGGCCTCCAATTATATTTATCAACAAAGGTGTGAAACCGGGCTGTCCATGTATGGGAAACGTTGCATTCGAAGATTCGCAACTATCCGGACCCTCGCCCTGAAATATGGGAACTGGGAACCCACCCCATAATTTTGAGCAGAACCCAACCCATAATTTTGAGCAATATCAAATTTCCCAAGGTGGTTTCAGGGTCCGGGCATGGGGACCTCTTGAATCATAGGTCGCTTGGTTGCCTAGGCTCCCTACCTAACGAAAACGCCTTCCAGCACGAAGCCTGCAACCCACACAACAAACTCCCCTAGCACAAAAGCCGCAGACCCACGTAACCTCCCCTGCCAGCAAAGATACGAGACCCAAACACACTCCCAACAGCTGGGCCGGACCCCTGCACAAAGTGAACACTTGTTGCTGACTGGAAGCGGAAAACGAAGGAAAACCTAAGGACGGAAAAAACAGAAAAAGGGGGGGGCATTTCCAAGAAAGGGTAGCGAGCTAAGAACTAGTTAACAACACACGCCAAAAAGGAAAACAAAGGAAAACCGAAGGGCCCAAAAATAAGGCAAGCTACTTCTGGAAACGAAAAGGGTACTGGGGATCGGGTACTTGGTGGGTAATACCCATGGTTCTGACCCACACAAGCCATGGTTTTAAGTCTTCGTTCAGTGGGTTAGACGTAGGATTACTAGGCTGACGTGCCGAATCGATCACCCCTTCAAGTCATCATACCCTACTACGGGCGGAAATATGCAATCAAGCTACGTCCAATGAATCTGCCTGGAGTCTCCATGACCCGAAAAAATTGGGTCATTACCCAAAAATGGTTGGTTTCCTTCTTTTCGTAGGAACCGGACCCCAAAACTACCTGGAGTCTCCTTCTGACCCTTTGACAATGGCGCAATGACCCCGAAATTATGGGCTCATGACCAACCATTTCTCTAGGGGTAAGGAGACTCCGCGGTCCCCAGCTTCCAAGCCACCAGCCGATTGATTCAGACTCGACGCCCCGACTCCGAGGTGTCCAGGAACCAACCGCGGAAGGCGCCGGAGGCCTCGATCGCAAGTTGTGACACGTTTTTGTTGGACGGGAGGGGTTTCCTACCTGGAGGGTCTATAGCCTGGGAAGTCTGCTTGTGGCCATTCCCATCTTAAAAATGGGTTTCGGATCCAGCCATTTCTTGGTTCCTACCTGGAGTCTGCTTCTGACCCCTAGACAAATGGGGTCATGACCTCATAATTTTGGGTAAGGCCCCCATGTTTAAAGGGTCATGAAGACTCTAGGTAGGTCCTCCAGTAGAGGTTAGCTAGAATAAGTTGATACCCGTTGTTTTTTTCAGGACGTCTATTTTGGTAGGGGAACCCTTCCCCAAAAAAAATGGTAAAAGGGCACTGCTGGGGGACCTAGAAGCTGCATTCGGCAAGAAAGAAGTTATCCAAACACGGAATCAACATGGCCTACCCAGAATGGTGTCAAGAATTGAAAAGGCGGATATCCGCGCCCGTTTATGGCTGATATCGTCCCTTGCTACCTGGGTTTTGATGGTGACTCAAATGGGTTTGTCTTTGTTTAGAGAGTGTGACCTCCTGGGAGGTTTGGTTTTCTAAAAAGCAGTTGTTCAATGAAACTAGCATGTCAACTGGGTTCTCCCTCAACTGGCTAGTTGGTATTTGAGGGGAATCCCCAAAAAAGGTGGTTTTCCTTTTGGTTTCCAGTACAAGCTGGCAAAGCAGGGGTTCCCTAAACAAAGACACTCTCATGTACACTCTACAAGAACCAATTCAATCCGCAACCCACCAATCCACACCACCAATTCGGATTTGCTTGATCAGAGAATCCCCGTGTTGGGGAAACACACTGACGTCCTAGAGGGAGTCTTTAGTGTATAGGGCACAACCTATACAATATGGCGTTGTCGCAGCAGCCTCCCCATTCCATTTTGTTTTTCCTTCGAGACCAAAAGAGGTTTACAAGCAACAAGAGGCCCAATGCTTGTCCAAAAAAGAGGGGCTCATTCCAGGTCGGCCGCCAGTTGGACAAAACAAATATGGCTGTGGCTCCAAAAAAAAAGAAAGTTCCATGGCTTGCCCTGGTAAGTGGAAACATGGGTTCCAAAACATGCGGAACAGCCCCTCCGATCGGTTTACTTTTGAGAACCACACCCATATGAACAAAGCAATCAAAACCTGGTACAAAAATGGTCGACCCAGAACCATGCTTCAAGAATTAAGAAGGCGGAGATCCGCAGCTATTTCTGGCTGGGATCATCCCTAACCTTCATCTACCCGAATCGGTTTTGAGCAAGTGGCTCATATGAGGGGCGAAATCCTGCACCACCTGAGAAACCATGAAATGATAATTTGCCTGCAAAATGCCAACCAGCAATGATTTCTTATGGTTTCAAAGCTGTGCGAAACGGATTTCGCAACCATCCACAGTATGAACAAAGCCACTGAAAGCCTGGCGAACTTTCAGTTCCCCTTCAAAAGTGGCATTTTTTCCGGGTTCCTTTGAAGCGATCGCTTTCGGATCCACATGGCTGTGGTTCTCAAAATGAAACGATCGGGGCTGTTCCGCAGGTTTATTGGAACCCAGGTTTCCACTCACCACGGCAAGCCATGGTACCGTGTTTTTGAGCCACAGCCATATGGGAAATGAAGGAAACCCTGACTTTAAGACTGAACGGGGAGTTGTGAACAACAATAGGTGGGAGAGTTCGCAAAATGGCGGACCTCCTTGGTTTGGTACAGAAACTCAGTTGCCCCTTAGGGACCCTGAATCAAAAGGTTAATCTTTTGGGTTGCAATGACGAAAAATGGTTGCCGAAAGAGGGTAACCAAAAGGTCAAAAGGTCGAATCGCTTTGGGAAAGTGAGTGGTTGGGGTCGAAGAAATAGTCTCGGAAAGTACCAAGGAACCCCTTTGTGATGCGAGGTAAGTTGTTTCAGTGGCTTCAGTCGCTCATTTTAACCCACGGCTTCTTGTTCACAAAAAACAGGGGTACACAGAAAACATGAATTTCAGATTTTGTTGCACATTTAGTCAATGTACCCTAAAGCACAGAGGGGTTTCGGACAAAACAACCAGGCTTAGTCCATTTGAACGTCTCCAAAGGGAATCCTAAACTAGGTCCTCCAGTAGGGCGGTTAGAATAAGTGGGTACCCGATTTTTTTTGTAGTATATTTTAGTAGGGGAACCCCTCCCCCCAAAAAGGGGAGAGAGGGGCACTCTAAAAGAAACCTTTTGAAGGGTATGCCGCCCACTGCTTCCACTTCCGAGCACCTTGCCACTTGGAGGCTGAACATATGAGCGACGCCTGGCCGCTCTGGGTCCCCAAGCGTCTCAGGATGTACTTCCCAGGGCTCAGTTGAGTCAGAATCAAAACCCGGTACTAAAATGGTCTACACGGAACCCTGTAAAGAATTATGAAGGCGGCCGCAGCTATTTCTGGTTGGGATCATCCCTTACTAACCTTCATCAACCCGGGTTTTGATTGTGGCTCAGTTGGTACTTAAAGCGGCGATCGATTCGGTACATCAGGTAAGTCGTCGAAATATGCATGGTTCCAACCCACGCGAGCGATGGTTTTAAGTCTCCTAAGTGCACATAATGGTTGCCACCTACTCGCCTGACGTACCGAATCGATCGCCCCTTTACATCACAAGGTGCATCTCGAAACCCAGGACAAACTTCACGCGAGATGCCATCCGGTCTCCATAGATCGGATCAATCCGAACAAATCCACAGGCTGATTGAAAGACAAATACGAGGTGGCATCCCCAAGCTCCGAACCACCCTAGGATCTGCACTTGTTCCAGCTCTCGTCAAAAAGGAAAGCCGGACCCTACGAAAGTGGCCTTCGGGTACTTTCCTTGGTACCTCCTGTACCAAATGAGCCGCTGGTTGACCCCTTCAGAAACAGCCATCGAAAGTACCTGGACCCTGGAACCTACCTGGAGTCTCTGGAGTCTCCATGATCCCTAGAAAAAGAAGTCATGACCCCATAATTTTGGGGTAATGACCCCATTTTTTAAAGGGTCATGGAGCAATGGAGACTCTAGGTACATCTAATTCTCTAAAGTTGCGGTTGCCCCCATGGTGAAGTCCACTGGTTGCAACTACAAAAGTGGTTGGCTTCTGCCTGAGGCAGCACCAAAAAAGTTCTAAGATTAAGCCTTTCATTCACTTCCAACGCAGATTGACCCTTTCCAAGTCGGGCAACTGTTGGTGTAAGTTCCCGGCCCTCAACCTACCCCCACACAAGGCGAATTCACCCCATATTATTGGGCAATAACCGTTTTTTTAGGGGATTGTGAGGGTCCAAGTGGCATGAAGATCGTTTTTGCAAACAACACAAAGTCCCAGAACTCAGGGAGTAGCACACACACAAGGCACTGGTGGAAGGGTGCCTGGATCAATTTCAAGAAATGTTCGGTCAGAGGTGCCATGGCAACGGAGGGAAGGTAATAAAAGCTCGATTTCCAATTTACTCACTTCCTCGTGAGGATCAGTGGATTGGCGAAAACAAAGTCGGAACTGGTTATTATTTGCCACTAAAAGCCCAAAAAAAGAAAGTCGGAACTTTTTATTTGCCACTAAAAGCCCAAAAAAAGCTTAACCTTTTCTGTGCCGCTAAAATGGTCTTCCCATCCAGGAACTCAGGACGTGAGTTCTAACACCACCCACGAAACTCACCTTGAAGGTGGCCCAAAGGGTGACATGTAACACCAAAAGGGGGACATAGATGGGCCGCTTTTGGTTGGCAGGTCTCTGTTTGGGAGGCTTGGCGTTTTTTGCGAACCCAAACTTCAAAGCCGCCAGTTTTTGGGGGGTCCCCTAAAGTAAGACACACCTCCATAGGCCCCTGAATCGCCTTAAAGAAGACTTTGCCAGCCAGGACCTTTGAAAGAAGAGCTGGCCAAAAAAAATCAAACGGGTGTGGTTTTTGAAAGGCACGCTCTCGGTTTCGGGTGAAAAAAAGGGAAACCGACCGGAAAATCGAAGGCATTTCGGGGGGTCCCCTAAAAAAATGAGAAAACCCGTGCGCCGAAGGAGCGAAGGAGCGAAGGAGCGAAGGAGCGAAGGTCGAGCCTGGGCTTCCCTCGAGATCGATGAGCCACCTGGAACAGGCAACCCCTGCCTAACCCCTCCAAGCACCCATTTTTGGGTATGATGTCACCCCCTGACCAAACCAAAAACAAAACAGGCTCGAAAGAGACGTTGACAGTCTCCTCCGATGGAGTGCATGGCCAAAACAAGTCCACACATGTCTTTTGATTGCCACAAAAATGGTCTTCCCAGCAAGTGTGAGAGTACAGAAATCCAGGAATTGAGGACACAACCTAAACTAGATTCTCCGAGCCCCAATATCCTCCCAACAAGACGCAAGTCATCACATTCCTGAGCTCCCGACTCCGCAGCTGGAGTCGAGTTGCCTATGGGCAGGTGCCAAATCGGTGGCCTTGCCTCCAAGCACTTTGAAACTAAACTCCGAAGCTGCCTTCACAACAGCCTTCTACGCTCATGGGGGTGCCCAACCACACACACACAGAGAGAGAGAGAGAGCTGGTCCAAGAACCTCATACTTGCGGATTTGAATCTGGAATCGAATTCCCCAAACTAGTGCAGGACAAGAACCCCAAAGGTCCATACCCACAGAGTCCCTAGGGCCTGCCCAAACCACTTCGGGGCCCCGGCCTTTCCGCACAACCACCGCGCCGTCCGCGTCGACCTGCGAACGTGCCGAGGGCGACGGGCCAAGTCAAGCAGACCTCAAGGGGCCTATGGGAAAACCTCATTTGCCAACAGCTGCAAGCTACCTGGAGTCTCCATGACCCTTTCAGAATGGGTCAAGGACCCCATTATTTTGGGTAATGACCCCATTTTTCAAGGGCCATAGAGACTCCAGGTACTTGGATGTTCGATTCGCCGACTTAAGTGGAAAAGCCTATCACGAGGAACATACGTACAAGCGGGTTCACCTAGGTTCCTCACCGCTTCCTAACTTCCCCGCCTCCAAGAATGGGGGGGCGCTTTTTTCGGAGGGGTTCCAGGTCAGCTTGTGATCGGTGGTCATCGCACGCTTGACCAACTTCACCACGCTGGTCCCGTAAAGCGACGGCTTCACGTAGTCCCAGCTGCTGCCTCAATGGCGACCTCATGGGTTGGGCCGTCTCTGCCGGCGTGGACCGCCCAGGCCAGGTTCTCCGCGGCAACGTCCCTCCAGCTTGAGCCACGCGACTGCTGCGCGATGTTCTCGAGGGTCGCCGGCAACAGGTTTAACTCCAACAATGCCGCTGCCAAGGCACGCTGATCAGCTGTTGCCGCGGGCCGCAACACTCTTGTCACCCTCACAAAGAGCACCAAGATACTTAGAATGGTTCCCTCATAACCTCCAAACACCCACCTTTGTTGTTGGCGTGATGTCAAACCGCTGAAATCCCAGTTTGGTTTCCAAAACATCCTGAAAGAAACGGATATTCGGAGCAGGGGCTTTTTACAAGCCTTACCACCTGACTCGCTAAGCTGACAATCCGGCCGAGAAAAGTGAACAAAAACTGTTTGGGCCTCTAAAAGGACGAACAAACCAATCAGGAAAAGCACAGGGAAACCAAAAAGAACACCTTTGCTCCATTTTTTTTTGGGGGGGGTCCCTACGGAAAAAGTGTAAAAGCTGGTTGGGCCTCGAGTTTGTTAACTCAACTGGTAAGCTATGGTCCCAACTAACCAGGTAGTACCACATTTGAACAGCAATGTCATCCGCCACGCAAATACGGTTGGCCGGAAATACACACCAAAATGGGTATGTCTATTTTGAGGGTACCCCTTGTTTGGTGGTTTTTAAGGGAAACCAAAAGGAACACCTTTGCTCCATTTTGGGGCGGGGTGCCCTACAAGGAGGGACAGACCCAAATCAAAAAACTCCGGCAGCCGCTGGCTGCGCCGCTGATCCGTGCGGATCCGTTTTTGCAAATGGCGAATGGTCGCCTTCTTACGGGAAAAACGGTTGCAAGAGAAAACCTATAGGGAAACGGGGATTGTAGGGATCCTACTTGCATGTTCAATTTGGCAAGATAGTATATAAGTGGCTAGACACCTGGGTCATAACCCAGCAATAACAAGGACAACTGCCCTGAAGGGGGCTTACCTTTTCCACAAATTATCCCTATTGAAAAGTGCCCTTAGCCATTCAGTCGATAAGTATTGAAAAGTGGGTGATGACCATGTTTATCACCCACTTAATGTTCACCCAGGATGAATAAACCCGTCCCATTATTAGGGGGTGTTTCCTCCAAAAGTGGTCTGAATCCCCACTCAAAGGGGACACCCCCCGATCAAAATCAACCAGGGATACTGCTTAATCCGGGGTTACCATTACCTGCCGTACCATGCCTCACGAGGAAACCCCGACCTTTCCCTTGGCCAAACCCATGCAGTCCCGGAGCCCTCCGGCATCCAGGTACCAGCCGCTGGGCTGACTCAAGTGCTCCGAGCCCAGGCGCAAGCGGAACCTCACGGCGGCTCGCGACACCACGGCCCGGTTTGCTCGCGGGGTCCCGGGGGAACCAGGGCGTTGTCAGTTGCTATGGGAAAAAGGAATCGGCATCCTTTGTTGGTTGGTTGAGTTTAAAGGGGAACCATGGGGAAAAAAGAATCGGCATCCTTATTTCCAGGTCCTCCAGTAGAGGTTGGTTAGAATAAGTTGGTACCAACCTTTTTGAGGACATCTATTTTAGTAGGGGAACCCTCCCAACCAAGAAAGGGGAGAGAAGGGCACCTAGCTGGGGGACCTAGGTAGGGCATACGGATGAGAATTTCCCTTTGGGCTTGCAAAAACAAAGAAAAACACAGTCCCCCGTCTTCGCAGACCGAAAACCCAACATCGGCTCTGAATTGACGCAAAATGTTGAACCCGTAAGCAAAACTCCTGGTTGACTAACAGGGTGTCCCGTTTTAGTAGGAATTCAGACCACTTTGGGTTGTAACTAGGTTGACTGGGCGTGGTTCCCTTATAACCATGGTAATAACCTGCATTCTGAGTTGGTTGACCATCCAAGTGGTAACCTGTAACTGTACTTTTCATTTGCTTGTCCTGGAATTGGTGTCCAGTTGGAAACTAATCCCGCTTATTGTTGACGCCGCATCAATGAACCCCTTACGAATGTGGGGCCCGGTGGGGGGCCCTGATGAACCCCCACCAAAACCAGAGATCCTCCCAAAATAAACCCAGCAAATCCATTTATCTGCATAGCTAACCACGGAAACCACCCTTTACAACCAAAAAGACAATAGCTGGTTGCCTAGTACCAAGGGAAGCTGGGATCCGGGAAAAAGGGGCTGATCAATCCTGGGTTGACCTTAAAAGGTGCTCACAGCTTGGACACAGAGAGCTGTCTTGAGCTCTGGGTAAAGACTCGGACGTGTTCCGAGAGTTTCACCAACGACGCGTTTGACCATTTCCCCCAAATCCATCCAGGGCGCACATGCGGGAAGAGGGGTGCGTCTCAAGAGAAAACCCGTCCAAAGTAAGTGGTGTCCCTTTGGCGCGGCTGCCACTGATAAACATCTGCAGAGCTACCATGGACCGACTCCGCAGATCCGGAGCCTTGAGCCATGGCCAAACAACCCCTCATGCAGGCCATGGTCATCAAAAGTGGTATAAGCCCCATGTAAACGGCTGCTTTGACAACGCCACATGTATAAGAAACTCACTTCTAGATGATATACTCACTTCAGGAGTGGATTGCCAAACACATGTCCGTGTTTTTCTGTTGATGTTGTTTCCAAAAAGTTGAAAGTACAGGATCATGAGTATACCTGGACCTTCCAACATGTAAAATTAACGCCGTTTCCCAAAACAGCAATAATTGTCGCCGGTTGCTGAAAAAAACGCTCTTTCGGAGAAAAAGCGCTCGCCGTGAGTCCAGCTCGGAACCAGGCAAAAAAAAACGCCGTTTCGCCGGCAAATTACGCCGTTTTGACGGCGAATTACGCCGTTTTGCAATTTTGATTGATGCTAGAGTGTGCAAACACTGAAAACTGCCGGCAGGCGAAAATAATCGCCGGTGGGTCAAAAGACATAGTTTTTGACAAAACAGCAATCATTTTGCACATGTTGGAAGACCCAGGTATATCCCTATATCGATGTGGGTGTGTCTCACAATTACGGACCCCAAACATGGTTGATATACTCTCGCTTCCCTTTCCGCAAATATGAGGTACTTGGCTGATCGGCCAAGTTAGAAAGGTGTTAGTCACCCAAGTTGTAACTCGCTTACAAGTGCCCCAACTAGAGTTAACCTTGTTATTAGTGGGTTGTAAAACAGGTAGCTAACCACAAAATCTAACTTGGCGAATCGAACATCCAAGTACCAAGGGACCTTCTGCGGAGGCTACTTAAAGGGGCATTGCACTTAGTCAGTGATTGGCAAGCCCTGGTTACAACTCAAACGCAATGGTTATAAGTCTCCATTCAGTGGGTTACATGGTTCTTCCCCACTTACCTGACGTACTTTGCCCACTTAAGATGGTTTCCTCCAGTTCCCCTGTTTGGAACCTGCAACAGTTGCTTTAAATGGACACCACCCGTTCGTTGACTCATGCTAGGGCTCCCAGTAAAGACAGCACTTTGATCAATCGGGCTCGTTTCACTTGTCTTTTGGACTTGCTGGGTAATGAACTTGAATTAACTAGGTCCTCCAGTAGAGGTTGGTTATAAGGGTACCCATTGTTCCGTAGTCTATTTTAGTAGGGGAACCTTCCCCCCACTTGCTGAGTGGATGGCAAAAGAAAAGTCCAAACTTTTTATTTTCCACTAAAATGGTCTTCCCAAAAAGTTTAAAGTTCATGAACTCAGGAAGTGAGACTAAGAAGGGTACAAGGGCACTGGGGGACCTATGAACACCACCAGCAAATCGATCCAACTTTTCTCTCATCCTCGGGCGCCGGCCCATCCGTGCCGTGTTCCAGGACCCACTCCGCCGCGTGTTCGCCGGGCCGGTGGGCGCTGACCAAGGTCCTTCGGGGGCAACCGCTGACCAGTTGATCCCTCTGCAACAAGTTGAACCTTTTCTGGGCTGCCCTCAGATCCCCTGCTAAGAGTTTAACTCTGAGTGGGTTAAATGGAAACTACCACAAAAAGCTAAAAGGCTAAGGGGATGGCTGGGAGCCACCAAGTTTTGGTCGGCGAAGGCAAACAAAAGGGACATCGAATGACAAAAATGTCTACCCTTACTTGGTTGCTGGAAGGACCCCTCTGCAACAAGTGGCTCACCTTTTGTGGGTCCCTCTGAAAAAAGTAGCGACGTCTTTCAACCAAACCAATCAAGTCCAAAGATCCGTCACCAAATAAAGCCAAAAGAAACGGGCCCCGTGATTGACTGCCACACTCTAAGTCCCGGTCGATGTTCTGCTGCGCTGATCGCCCTTCACCGACCGCTGCCTGGAGCTGGCACTGAACCATTGAGCTTCCTTCGAAACAAGCAGGGCTTCTCCACTCCAAGCCACCTAATGCATTGAGTCGAACCCAGGCCCTCTCCAAACAAAAGCGGCAACTGATTGCAAAACATTTGTTAAAGCGGGAATAAGTCGATGAGCAAGCATCTTCTTTGGAAAACCTGGGCTCTGTCAAGGAACACATGTTTAGAAAGCCCCAATGCTGACAGCGACACGGGTGTCGCACCACCTGCCGAAGCAGGCAATCAACATACAAACGCAGGCGGCTTGAACCGTTCCGAACACTTTACATGGCCAACGATCCAAGGGCTACATATAAGAGGGACCTCAATATATCTTCGCAAACAATGTTCTGTAAACTCGCTACTGCCTTGTTGTCCTGGCTTCAGTGTGGGAAGTCTCTACGACTATACCAATTGGCCCGCCTCTTTGTTTCACAACTCTTTTTAAAACTCGCGTGGGAGCCTTCTGACGCCAGTACTTGAACTTGGAGTCTCCACAACCCTTTAGTCATGGGGTCATATATCCAGAAATCTTATGCTCGGGACCCCATATTGGAAGGATCATGTAGACTTATTGCCCCCTGCACTATGTTTGTTTCGCTTGTTTGTTGGTAAGTGGGAATGTACACAATTCCCCCAAACAAACAAGAACAGAAAACAGCACAAAAACACAAAGATCCGACAACATAATTACCCCAAACAACAACAATGTTAAAGGTCAAAGATCTAACCAAAGCAATTCCCCAAACAAGTTAGAACTCAAAGATCCAACCTAGTCTCATTTCCTGAGTGGATGCCTGAAAAAAATGCAAAGGCCCAACTGATGATCTACCACAATGGATTTTCGCCAAAAAGCTTCAAGTCCAGGAACTCGGCATCGTACTAGCCATAGCTTTAAGTCCAGGGCGCGAACAAATCACTCGCCGAGGCCGCGGCGCGTCCAAGTGCCACCCGCCCGTGGGTCCGCCAAGCCTGTCGAAAAACACAAAGCATTGGAATGGGCTGGCGGGAGAGCTGAACGCATTTGGGTTTGTGGTACCTCGTGTTTAGCGTTTCCAAGGGAAACTAAAACTTGATTAAACATGATACACATTTGTTTGTTGGGGGGGAGCCCTAAAACTTTACATTGAGTCATGGTTATGTAGGATTCAAGTTTAAGGCAGAATGAGGGTTGCGGGATACTTCGAATCCACAGTTAGTGATTATACGAGTAAACTATAGAAAGAGGGGCTGCGGAATACTTTAAAGCAAATCCGAGTAGTACAATTATTGTGCTATGAATCAGCAAACCTAGGAGTTTAAACACCACTTCTTGAGCACTGACCCCACCACGTCTTGAGTGGAGCTAACACCTATATAGGAATATTGAGCAAACCCTAGGAGTAAACCACTGATGACACGCACTCGAAGGACCCAGTTGCACTTTCCCAGGGGCCATGCAGCTTTTGGTCCGACCGAAGAAACCTCAGTCCCAAATCGTTGCACCGAACTAGGCGTGCAAAGAGTTACTGGGTGAAAGTAGATGGCACAATTGGGGTAACATAACAACCAAGGTTTACCGTTCAGGAGTTTCATCACCAAAGTTGGGTGCTTGCTATTCTGCAAATGGGGGTTGAACCCTAGGTAGCTTCAAAGGAAACCAACAGCGAAACCACCTTTTTGTGGGTCGAAATCCCTATTTTGACACGTACCCATTGAGCAAAGGGAGGTATGCAGGGGCCAGAAGCCCAGTGGTGAAAACCCGCCAAACGTGGAACTCGGGAATTGAGTTAGTCATGAGTCCTGGACCTATCTGGCATCAAGGGATGGATTGATAAACTTGCTCGTTCTCAACAAGGAATGAGGGAATGCCCCCAAAACATACCCATCGAGGGCTTCCAACATGGGATTCCCCTTCCGGTTCATTCCAACACTCGGAAAGTCATTCCCTACTTGTCGCGCCAGCAAGTAAATGTTGCGTTGATTGGAAGGGTATGTCATTTAAGTTGGTGACAGTATTGGGAACAAGACTGTACATGGTGGTTTGCGTCATTGAGAGGCCGGCATAGAGATTTGGAAGACATATCTGCAAAATGGGTTTCCCGGTTGCTCTTCCCCCCGAACGAGCAAAAGGTGGATCACCTTAAGTGTTCATGGGAAAACCATTTAAGGTTTCAAGAAGTCCTTTTGTGGAGACTCAGTCATACCAAAGACCCATAATTTTGTCTTCATCCACCAATTCGGTTGATTCATCCAGCATGGTGGGGCGGGCTTTCCCTTGGTTGTCTACACCAACCCCAAAATGGGGTACCGCCCCGCCCGCCAAACAGACAACAAACACATCACATCCCACATTTTCTTCCTTCAGTGGGGATCCCTTGATGTCTACCGAAGGCAACACCTACCCCTTCCAAAAACACCTACTCCCTGCCATCGCTCCTTCCAACTGGTGGTTTGGCGCCCGGGGGTTTGGTGGCTTTCTGGGGTTCTTTCCCACTTACCCTCTACAAGAACGAGGGGTAAGAAAAAAATGCCCAAACCACCAACCTTCTGATGCTTAGGCAGTTAGGAAACAAAACACAAGAAGAACTAGCAAGAACAAAAAACAACAACTCAACAACCAAAAAACAAACAAACAAAAACACTCTTAAGAAAGAAAAAAAAGAACAGAACACACACAAAAAAGACGACTCAACATACACCAACCCAATTCACCAATCCGCTGGAGTCAGTTCGCCCCGAGCTCGGGCCCCGGGCGCTTTGCGAAGCCGCACCACCGGCGAGGTCTTTTCGAGGGCATCCGCCTTCGCCCCCGAAAAGTCGCAGGCGTTTTTCCGAGGGTTCAAGCGAGCCCCATGGAAAAGGCGGGCAAGGAGCCGATTTATGAAACTCATTCCCACGAAAAGCCTGGCTTTGCCTCGAATTGACGCTTCCCATGGAAAAAGACTCCTTGGTCAAACTGTGCTGTGCTAAAATTGTGCTGTGCTCTTCGACTTTTCCCTAGGGCCTCCAGGAAGGACTTCCAAGGCTGTGGCGGAGAGCACAACAGAAAAAGGCTCTCCAGCAAGGAGCTCAGGAAACTCCTTGGGTCAACAACGCAACCATTGCTCGGTTGCTTCCTGCTCCCCTGCTAAAAATTTAACTTTTCGTGGTTTAATGGCAAAAAGTTAAGTCCTAACATCCAAGCAAAATGCACCAAACAAGTATATAGCTTCACCCCTATCTTTACACAAATGCCTGTCTTAGCAGGGGGTGGGGGCACCCATTTCCCCCAAAAAATGTGTCCCTGTGGCTTCCCTGTTGAATCACTCCAAAACGGGTAGAGTCAACAAATAACACACACACACATGCACACAGGTATGGGTAAGTCTGCCAATTTGACGAATTCCCACTAGGCGCAGGGGTCATTCCATGAGCCTTCGAACATGTGGTCAAAAACCCAAAAGACTGTTCGAGGCCGAAACAGGGTCGGTCCTTGGGTGTTCGATTCGCCGAGTTGGCAAGTCTGGAAAAGGCCACCCGGGTTCTAACCCACCAATAACCAGGTTAACTCCACTGACGTGGATTTATAAGTCGGTTATACCTCAGGTTACAAACAAGTTTCCAATTCGGCCCACCGCCCAAGAAGGTGGTTGTACCATGGCTCAACTGGGGGCTATGTGGGATTATAGCAAAGCCAGCGTAACTAATCGTAACTCCCCTAAAACAAGCTACTCACCCGCTACTCCAAATACTTCCCCCCCCCTTCCCCCACTCCCTTCGTTTTCTGCGGGCCTTTTGGGGGAAAACCCTGGTTGCTTGTGGGAACAAGCGTCACTCGCCCGAGCACGCAAGTCCTTTTGCCAGCAGTGCCTGCCTCCTTCGGTGGGGCAGGGGCCTGGCGCAAAACGTGAAAGTTTCCACTGAGTCCTGAAGCGCTGAACTCGTTGCCTGTGCTAGGGGACACTTCCGTTTCCATTATTTCCAGGGATCCGAAACTTTCAAGAAAGCCATCAGAACCCCAGGTTGGAAACAGCGATCGGTTTTTGAGAGAACGATGGTTGAAAGGAATGGACAAGGAATCATCCCCTAGACCTGTGCGTGAATCGTGTCTCTTGCAGCTCGGCATGTTGTTTCGCTGCGCACGTGCAGTGTTTTGGAAGGTCCGTGGGAAACCCACCCACTTTTCTACGTGAAGTACCCCACACCATGTGGATTTAAATCAATGTTCATCATAGGCAAGGGCAAAGATATCTCCGATGATTTCAAACGTTGCTCCAGTGTTGCTGGCTGGTGGGAAACACGCGTGACATCCCAACCAGTGTGGTTGAGTCCCTTCGGTTTTCCCTTAAACCATCCAACAGAACACAACAATTCTGAGGAAACCTACATGTGGCTCGTCCCCACATGGCAAACCCATTTTTGTCCGGACAAGGAAGAGCTGTTTGGGCTGTGGGTGCGGGGGGGAAAAAACGACTCTCTCAAAGGGGGGCTTGTCGACAACATGGCCCCTTTTTGGACCCCGGTGCCGCCTTGCGCCGCCTTAGTACCAAAAGGGCCTCTCTTGTTTGACCAACCCCTGATTGATTTTGACAAACAAACAACCATCACATGAGCCAAGGCACCTATTTACTGTCACCCCTTTTGAAGAAACATGGAAAGAAGCAGTTTGCTTTGCAAGGCCCTTTTCAATCAGCTTGTAAGGGAGATGCTTAAACAGACCCACTGTGCCCCGAGGTTAAGACCCGCTTGTAAGTCCCCCATTCAGTGGAGCCAACCGTGTTATTATGGGGTTATAACACAGGACGCTAAGCACCTACTACCTTGGCCGAACATCCAAGTATACACGCGCCCAAGTTAGAAAGCTGCTTAAATCTGCAGAAACATCAATATGTAAAATCCGGTATTCGCGCCCTGCCCAAAAATGGCAGGTGGTTGGCTTCAACCGTGCTCCATCCCGGGATCGAACATGGGAGAATCCCCCCACTGGGCTTACAGCGCACCGAAAAATCGCAGTGACTTCTAGTCGTCTGCGAAACGACCTCCTTGGCCCCAAAAACAACACTCGGAAGGGGAACTTGAACCTGGGGTATGGAATAAGCTTGCCCCAGATGTGTCCCACTAGAGCTAGAACAGGTCCAACGAGTGCATCTTGGTGAGGCCAATCATCGGTTTGACGTTCAACCAACTTAGTAATTAAGTGGGTTTATAAGGGGACCAACCCCAGTTGCCCTAGTCAAAACCGTTGCAACCTACTTACCAAGTTGGTTAAACATCCAAGCGCGACCCAGCAACCCGGCCTTGCGGGTGGGGAGCGGCCGAGCAAGGAACATGCTCGCCACCGGCTGCAGCCGAAAACCGGCGATGGTCAAAGCCAAGTGTTTCGCAAATTCCACCGGCCACTTACTGCTGACCACGGATTAATAAATAGGTCCAGTTTGTTCTTGTTTTGTTTATTTTTTTGGGGGGTTCTCCAAAAATGATGATTCTCCCCACTAAACTCAGGGACAGCCCCCTATTCGCAAACTTGGGTTGATTCATCCGGGGTCAACATTGAAGCGGATATGTCAAGACGCACCGCTTAACGTGTCCTCTGCAGCCCACAAAAATGGATAGAACCAACCAACTAAAAACACAAAAACATAGAAAACGCTCTCTAAACTCTAAGTCTAAGAGTATTGGATGCTTCCAGGCCGCTTTTATTTCGAAAGTCCTTGGCTTTTGAAAGAAGACCCGAACTGTGGACGGGATATGCACCCTCCCCAAATGGGTGTGTTTGAAGATGTCCCTTCGGCCCCTCCAAAACGGCCTCACAAATCTCGTAGCTCAATGCCGAGCGGCTTTTATACTCCTTCCCGCGCTGAATCATGAACGTGAGACGCATACGGTCCGAATCGCTGGCTCCTTTCCACAAACTGATGCCCTTGTTCTAAGAAACGTCCAGAGAATCTCAACGGCATGGACTATTTTCGCTGCTTTCATAACTTCCCGGAGACTTTCCTGGATCTGGTTTCGCAGATTTGTAGTGATGAACATCTGGAAAAAAGCTACTATGGCTCGGGGGAGCATGGATAAAACTCCTTCGACTTGATTGCACTGTGGCTCTCACACTGCTTCGCACCATCCCTCGCTGTCCTCGCTCTAGCTCCTTGGCAAAGCGATGTGCTTTCTGTGGGTACTCCTTGGCAAATCAAAAGGAAAACCAAAGCTTTGCGTGTCCCCTTGTTTTGACGCATCCCCACACAGAGTGTTGGGTGAAAGTACACGGCAAAATTCCCCCACCTGGGCTTAGTCATCCCTTCTACTTTGCCAAAGTTCAACAATTGCGGCATCTACGGATGTACAATGACCCCTTGTTTGGCCCCCATTCTCAGAAGGTACAAGGAAAACCAGGTATTTTCTGGGAGTGGCCAAAACGTCGCTGGCGACTCGTAGGTTCTTTGCTGATGGTTTCTTGGTACCTCCGTTTCGCTTGCCTCTTGGGTGCCTTCAAATTTTGGGCGGGGGGGGGGGGGGTTGGCACGCCCTCTTTTGGAGAAACCACCGGGAAACCACGAGGAACACCGCCATGTCGGGGGACCCTACACCCAATTCGTGATTTGGATTCTTGGCGCGGAGGTGAGGCGGGTGTATCCGTGTATCCGCAATCCTGTACAAAGGGTTCAAATCCCCGAGCCACCAATCCAACATGTTCACATCCTTTAGAACCCCCCCTCCCAAAACAACAACTCCAAAAAACATGTGTATATATATATATATATAACTTGATGTTGACCCAATATCAATCAACCCCAGTTTATTGATATGGGGGGGTTCCCCTCCAAAAGTGGTCTGATGCCCCACATCTCACCTAGGGACACCCCGAAGACCCTGCGAGTCCAAGCGCCGGACTCCCATTCTGGAATGTAGGCGGTGTCAATAACGCCTGCGCGAGGCGAAAGCGCAGACGTCGTGTAGAAAATCGAGCGCGGCCCTGCCTCAAACAGCTCCCAAAAAAGGGTGGTTTGTCATAGGACAGTGGTCAGGACCCCATGGTGGTCATGTCTCCGTGGAAAAATGGGGCCCCCAATACCTGAAACGTGTAGCCATGTATTTCCAGAAGCTGGATCGCCAGCTATCCAGGTTAGGTTTTGCAGGGTAAAACCTTCAGATGTTCAAGACATTATCCCCATGCCCTTTTTCTGTTGACCAGATTGGCATACCAACCAGGGACATGGAAAGGCCAAACCAGGGCCATGGATTTGTTGTAACAGTATCCTCGAAAAACACCACAAAAACTGCTCCACCAGGCGCCCCATAGGCAGGAGGAAAGTGGTCCTTCCAAAAACATCCCAGCACTTCCATGTTTGAGTTGGTTTTACGTCACCTTCAACATCAATGCAGTCGGTCTACGCGATGTGCAGCATGTGCATGTCTGCAGAAGGTCACACCTCACTTGAGTAGATTGGCAACAGGTCAGGTCACGATGCTTGTTCTGCACCAAAATGCTCCAGACCCAAGAAGTAGCTAAAGTCCAAAAACCCTCTGGACCCCTTTTTTTTGTCTGCCTTGTACCAGCTTTTTGTGTCAAAGGCAAAACCAGAGGCGTCCATTTCACTGGGGGCCCAGGTCAGTGAGTGATCTTCAACGCCGATCTTCCCCAGTATCTTCAGGTCACTGGGGGCCCGGGTATTGGTCACTTCCCCAGGTCGGGTGTTTACGCTGGTCTTTGATACTGTGAATGGCCGAAATCCTGCACCACTTTGAATCATGAACAACCTTTGCTGGTTGGTATTTACATGGACATCGGATCCTTCCGGGGTTTCTTAGGTGCGAAACGGTGTGGGCAACCATCCAAGAATTACCTTTGGTTTCAGCTGGAAGATCCCAGTCAACCTGAATCTCTGGCCCCTGGACCGCAACGAGTCTTTGCTGGTTGCTGGTTTAGAGGGATATTTTAAGTAACTGTTCTACAAGCGCTGGGTGAACAACAAACAGGAGTGAAGCACGGAAATCCAAAGTTGGCTCCATTTGCGAATACGTCCTCTGGAAACAAGAAGAGAGCACACTATGTCCAGTAGTCATAGATTGCTTAGATTCCCCTTAGACAAACCGGGGAAAATAAATCTGGGATTTGAACCACCATTAAACCAATTTACACAAGGATTGTCATGATCTAACTAGCATTCGTTCAATGGCTCACTTCCTGAGCGGATTGGCCAACAAAAAAGTCTGAGCGTTTTATTTGCCACTAAAGTGATGGTGCAAAACAACACTTAAGTCCACGAACGCCGGAAGTGTTAAAGTGGGTTGATCCTGCCTGCACCAGCACGATCCAGACCCAGCCCCTGCAGGTACAAAAAATCGCTTTCTGGCTCTCCACCCGTATAACATGGTGTTGCTCCTCTCCTAGGTCCTCCAGTAGAGAGGTTAGAATAAGGGTGCCAACTTGTTTTCTGTATTTTAGTAGGGGAACCCTCCCGCAAAAAAGATTTGGTAAAAGGGCACTACTGGGGGACCTAGTCTCCTTCTGACTCTTAGACAATTGGGCTTTTCTGGCCACATGTTTGACGAAGGAATGTTTGCTTTTTGTTTTTCATTTTTGACGGGTCATGGAGACTCCGGGTACCCAAAATTGAGGGGGTCATGACAAAATGTGAGAATCTAGCTTACCAGCTGTCAAAGATGGGGGAGGCACCCAATGAACAATTGCAGCAAGTCAAACTTCGGTGGTGAGCTGATTGAACACCCTGGAACAAACACAGAACCCGATGGCTGGGGAAAACATGAAGAGGCCATGTTGCCAGAAGTTTCGTCAAGATTTGGTGTTCACGGTAAGTACGTTTGAATTTAGAGAGTCCCCTATCGTTTTCCGGCGTCTGGTCTATAAGACCAAGGTATCGTTTTTGAGTCCCCTATCGTTTTCCATCGTTTCAAGCACCTTAAGCTATATTCCGTAAATTCTGACCTTTTGGCTGCAAGAACAATCAGATCCCTTTCATTGAGAGCGCGACCCCTTTCTCACATGCCCAGTGGTGGGGAAAAAGGGGCCTCCTTTTTTTGGGCTGCTTGAGTTTTTTACAGCGGAACCCTTCCCCAAAAAAGGAGAAACCCGGCGGAATCCACTGGTTGCAACTGGGCCGCTGGGCGACCTCTGGCATGGCGTTCTGCTGGGCCCAAGCTCTGGTTCCCAGCTTGAAAGACTCTCCGAGAAAGAAAATAACTTCCATTTGCTTAAGCCCTGCATGGAAAAAAACACATAGATTTCCAGTACTGATCGATTCCCTTTAAAACCAACAAGGAAAAAAACAAGAACTTAAGCAAATGGAAGTATACCGAACCTCTTCGAGGTACCACCTGGCCTTATGTTGGAAGGTTACTGTCCAACCTTTAGGTATGGCAGCAAAAGCCTTGCTTTTGTTCAGCGCCCGAAATTTGTTTTAACACACACACACACCCCTCCAAAAACAAAACCGGAAAAAAGAGTCAAAAAACAAACAAACAGAAGCAAACACAAATAAAACAAGACTAGAAAAAAGAACAGAACACACAAAAGTGAAGGTTAAAAGGGCGGCCATCGCGCACCTTGGCTACCAAGTTACCCTCGAGTTGATGCCTAGGTCAAAGCTTGTTGGCTAAATGGTCACCTGGTCCCACTTTCTAAGTGGATAAGCAGAAAAACACAATGTGTGGTTTCTCAGTACTTCCATTTGGTTAAGACCCCTGGAAAAATGATATGTCCAATAGTGACAAATTCCTTTTAAAACCAACAAGGGCAAAATATCCTTAAGCAAATGGACGATTTAAACGGTCTTCTCCAAAAACGTCCAGGAACTCGCGGAGTGAGTGGTACCAAGTGACATCTCCTGGTTCCCAGGCGTTTCTTGTGGGCCATCCGCGTAGATATGTGTCCATTTCGGTAAGTACTCAAATTTGTGAACCTCTGCAAAAATGCAACCTGGAGTCTCCTTCTGACCCTCTAGAAATGGGTCAATGACCAACCATTATTTTGGGTAATGACCCTACTTTTTCTCAGGGTCATGGAGACTCCAGGCACTCGCCAGGTCCCAAAGGCCATCTTTAAATGAGGACCTCCAACATGCCAACCCATTTTCATTCGGACCCAGAAACAAACAATCAAGGTCCTGCAGATTTGAGAGGATAGAATAATTTGGTACCACCTTTTTTCAGGACGTCTCTTTTAGTAGGGAACCCTCCCCCCAAAAAAGAAACGGGTGAGAAAGGGCGGGCACCTAGCTGGGCCGATCGACCTTCGCCCCCCACAGAAGGGTAGAAGGGAAGGGTAAAAGGGCACTACTGGGGGACCTAGCCACTTTCATTCTCACCCCAGAAAATGAAAGAAAGGAAAAACAAAAAGCCGGCCATCCAACCACTGACCACCCGACCGTCCGCCATCCCTGTCATTCGGACCCAGAAAAAAATCAATGGCCATCTAACCAAAAAACCACAGACCTACCTCTACAAAATGCCAGCCCACTTTCATTCGGACCCAGAAACAAACAAAATGGCCATCCAACCCAAAAACCACAGGGCCGACCCAAAACAGGGTGAAAGGCCACCTGGCCGGGGGACCTAGTAGCCATCCAACCAAGAAACCACAGGGCCGACCTCTAGCAGCCATCCCACCACCGACCATCCCCGGCCGACCTCGGCCCCGGCCTTGTAGAAGAAGGCGTCGCCTCTTCCGATGGACCACTTCATCTCGTGTGTGTCGATGGTGTGGCAGTTCCGGATCTCGGGAGACGCGGCAAATGTGTTCAGCGCCATTTCCAAAGGAAAGTAGTCCAAAAGAGGCAACGGTGCACCAAGCCATGTTTTTGTGGTGGGAGGGGTTGCCCCAAAACTTCCATGTGCTTGTTCGCCCCCTGGAAAAAATAAACAACAATGTCCAGTAATGAAATCGATTCCTCTTAAAGCCAACAGGGGAAAACAAAAGATATTCTTAAAGAAACGGAAGCCATGAACATACTTTTAGGGCCTTTAGGGGTCCTTGGGGAGGGAGTGCTGGGGTTTGCTAAGGAGCTCTAGGAAAAGCTAGGGAATCCTGGGGGTTTCAAATTGCCCCCCGCCTTGCACCCTCCTTAAAAACCCATTAAAATAATGAATGGGAAGCACTTAATTTGGACCCAATATAACAATCCTTAGGTAAACAAAGGGGGTGACATGTGAAGGACCCAATTTGGAGGATGACAATCCTCAGGTAAACAAAGGTGGTGAAACTATGAACCCCCCCATGGTTTTTGATGGTGGCAACTGAATCTTAGGGACATTGGGTACATCAAGAATCTGGATGATAATCCTTAGGTCCCCCCACTGTCTCAATGATGATTTGAACCCTAGGGAACCCGCTTCGAATCCCTGGGCCGGGTTCTACTTCTCTCCAAGTGGTGAAAAACTTACACTCTTCGGGTTCCGAAAGGGTCCCTTGGAGTCTCCCTCTGGCCCTGAAAAGGGTCCACGCTTATTTTTGGTTTACGTCTTGTGTTTTCTTTTTCTGACGCCATGTTTATTCTGGGCTGTCCTCAGATCCCGTGCTACAAGTTAAAAACTTTAAAGGTGATCCAAAAAATGGAAACCCCCCACTAAACCATATAATAACCAAACAGCCGGGGCTGGCCAGAGAGCGCCAAGAAAGATTGAGGCATTTTCAAATCCCCGACCTTCGGGGAGTCTTGCTCATACCTCTACGCGTCCCCAAATGGCACCTGAGTCGTTTCTCAACTTTGGGGATCAACATGCGGGGGCCCCTTCAAACCAAACTCCGAAAGTCCAACCTTTGGCAGGGGTTCCGCTTCATCTGTTGATTCTCCGAAGGTGGTTGCTGAAACCGAAGGGTCCTAGGCTTCAACCGATGTGAAAAGAATGACCTTGGGACCCAAATTAGATGATGAGCTACTCCTGAATGGTAAACAAAGGGTGGCTATGGTGGCTGTATTCGCCCAACCAATGCTTTAAAGGTGACAACTGAACCGGGGGGGGCGGGAAACTTGAGCGGCTCCTGCACTTGGATGTCCAGCCAACGTCCGGTAAGCGGGTTGTGGTAATTAGGTCAACTGGGGTTGGTGCCCTTACCTTGGATTAACCCACTAAGTGGGTTGGACATCCAAAGAAACGGGGTCCGAAAACCTTTGCAGAAGAATCTGTGCCATGTTCTGGGGTGAAATGTAAGTTCGATCGAACCAAAGACTTACTCGTGCTTGGAAAGACCACTAGTTAAACCTAGGGTGTCCCATCAGTAAATGGTTTATTCGTCCTCATTCCTCCACATTCCCTAGGAACAAACAACACATGCAGCGCCCGTTTCTCATCGCACACTCCCTCCCCCGCCCACATAAAACTGAGACATGGCCAGAAAAAAAAGGGCGGCCGAAGTTCCTGAGTGGAATCGGGAAGAACCAAGTCTCACTTCCTGAGTTGATGGGCCAAAGAAAGTTCAAACTTTCTGTTTCCCACTAAAATGGTCTTCCCAAAAAGGTTAAAGTCCAGGAACTCAGGGAGTGAGAAGTCCAATCGTTCGTGCTGTTTTCTACTAAAGAGTCCAGGAGCTTAGGGAGTCAGAGGACCTTTGTAACACCAAAGACGTGCCACCTTGTACGAACCCACAAACCCTGTCCATAGCAGCAACATGACCTAGTCGCTCGCCCCGTGTGTGGTTGGTTCTGGGATGGTTCACAAATAGTAAACCCGTTGCTTGGTGCTTCGATTTCTGGAACCCCCTCACAAATACCCAAATCCAGGGTTCCACTTTCTGACTGGCCCAAGGCCCAACCAACTGGCCCCTTTACGCCAGAAGTGATAGGTCATCAGGAAACACACTTTCTGACTTTCCCCACCGGAAACAAACAAAACAACGAGCCCGGACCAGCCGACAACAAAACTCAAAGCTTGCCAAGTCAGCTAGCTCAAAAAGCCCCAGGCTTCCCCGCCACAACAGTTGCGCCCTTGGTGAGCAAGTACTGGGCGATGCTGTTGTGCCCAAACTCCTGCCGTGCCGGACTTCTTGAAGCGGCTGGAGTGACTGACCCTATGTGACACCCCACTAAGCCTCCGTTTGCAACGTGACACAGCCTCACCTTCACACCCATAGCATCCCTTTCAAAATCCGAAAACCTATCCTTGAGGGTGCTTGGAGCTTTTGATATGTCATGTCAATTAGCCTGCGCTGATGAGCAAAAGCTAAACCACCCAAGGGAGTCAATCCGGCATGGAATTCAAAAACAAAACACTGTGCGTCCCATAGTCATCCGAACCCCACGGCGCCGAGACAGCTGAAAGGTATTGTTTCTGGAGTTCTCTAAAAGGTACGCCCTGCTGCGTTAAGGCAAGGCGGGAGGGTCGCTCGCAAACCCGAGAAAAGAAGTAGAAACATCACAGCAACAAGCCGCAAGCCCCCTGGAACTGGACATGCCCTTTAAAGCCGGGTTGCTTGAAAACTGGGGGCGCCCCCTGTGTCTGAACGAGCAAAACGTCGATGGCCTTCTGTAGGTTTAATGCTACTCGTAAACAACCAACGGTCCAAAACGGGGCCTTGGGACCCGTCGCGACAAAGACCGAACCTCGCCGTGAAACGCCACATGTGGGTGTGTATTTGTTCAGGGGATCCCTCCCCCAAATTGGGGTTTCCTATAAATCGAACAAAAAAGGGGACCCTCCTATTTTCTCAGGGGATCCCCCCCTAATTGGGGTTCCCAAAAAACGGGTTATCCTCCGAAGAACACCCCGAAGTCTTGCTGGGCAACTTGAGCTTTCCCCTTTCGCCCTCGGCCACCCGATGTTCACGTCCTTCGCAATGAAGACCTGAGCAATGCAAACTCAGGCGAAGCATAGGTCATGTACCTCAAAGTAACTGGGCTGCCCGTTTTCCGATCCCCCGCTAAAAGTTTAACTTTTGGTGGGTTAAATGGAAACCACAACCAAACACTAAAAAGCTAAAAGGCTAGGGGGATGGCTGGAAGCCACCAAGGTAAGAGTCATGAGCCGATTTAAGGGTCAGAGGGAGACACCAGGCTAGCCGTGAACACTGCAACTCTGAAGGCTCCTTGACGAGCCTCCGTTTGCTTTAAGTCCCCTGGAAAACAGAATACTTTCTGCAGTAGTGATAGATTCCCTGCAAAACCAACACGGGGAAATAGAACATACTATATATATATCAATCCTTAAGCTAAATGGAAGTTTATTCTGCGGATCGGTCTTCCCAAAGTTCCAAGGAATTGAAACAAACTACACCAGCTACATGTAGACGTGTCGGAAAAAAATCCCCGGCAAACGCGAAGGGAACCTTGGAATGGGAACTGAGGATTCACGCTATCTAAGATTGATTCTGACGCTGCCACCTAAGTGAACTAAGATGCTACAACACATTGATGGAATTCACATGTGGCTGTGAACCCTGTAAGTGGTTACATGGATTAAGACCTGCTTTCCCCTGGTGGTTTAATTTTGACCCATATCCATCTGTCCCTTTGCCCGCATGGTGTAGTGGCTGTGGCACGCGGTGCCTCTTTTGGGTGGCTCTTTCTTGAGGCTTGGTGCCCTTTTCGGGGCCTACTGTGGGGACTATTTGTGTTGTGTCCCCAAGACCACTCGACATGCAGCTGAGGGGCATCCCAAGCCGAACAGATTGTCCTTTGCCCTTCTACTCAGCCCCAAAAACAATCAACAAAACTTCCATTTGCTTAAGCCCCCTGGAAAAAATAAAAGTATTTCCAGTAGTGATTGATTCCTATTAAAACCAACAGGGGGAAATAAAATAATAAAAAGAAACAAGTCTTAAGCAAATGCAGGAAAAGAGGCGGTTTCCTGGTTGCCCCATCCATCCCTCAGACGACCCTAAAACCCATCGCATCGGCGCGTTCAGGCTCACGCCCCGTTGCCGTTCCAAAGGACGGGATTGATCTCATCCACATCCTGCCCGTGTCAGCCCAGGTCCCAAAAACTTCAACCTGGAGTCTCCATGACCCTTAAAAACTGGGCCAATGACCCCACAATTTTGGGTAATGACCCCATTTTTCAAGGGTCGTGGAGACTCCAGGAACCCGTCTTGACCCTCAAGGCAGGATGGGAACTGACGACACGAACTCATGCCGTACGTCTTGTGCCCAAATAAATAAACAAATCAATAAATAAATAAAACTCCCTGCACCACCGTTCAGAAGCCCTGGAATGATTCGATTCCCCTGGTAGCTATCAACCAACCTTCTGGTTTCAACCATGATTTCAACCTTGGGTACCGCTTTTGTGTTTGGTTTGTACGGAAAATGAAAGCCAAAAGGACACCACCCCCCAAAAAACATGTGTTGCAACAATACCTCCCAGGCACAAGGCGCCTCTCTGGTGCCCACATTCTGTACATACGGTACCGCTTGGGAACCTTTGGGCTCAAATCAAACGAGGGAAATGCCCAAAAACGTCGAGGGAAACTTCCATTTGGTTAAGACCCCTGGGAAAAAAAAACAAACAAAAACTTGCAGTAGTGATAGATTCCCTTTAAAACCAACAAGGGAAATTAAACAAATGTTCTTAAGCAAAATAAAAGGAAACCTCTTCACCCCACGAAGTCCGTCCTCCTTAGGGAACAAAAAACCCTTGAGGCAGGATCCACATCTCCGGTTCCACGTGTTTCTTGGTTGTGAGGCTCAGATCCCCTTCTTACGGTTGAAAAAACAAATGCAACTAGAGATTTCCCGACACTTACTTTTGGGGTTTCTCTCTGTAAGTGGTAATCACCCATTTTGGGGGTTCCCCCAATTTGGAGACACTCTAATATCCTCCGGCGATACAAACTGCCACGATTTTTTGGGAAGACGATCGATTTTATGCTCTGAAGGTGTACATGGTGGCTCACATGTCAGTCAGCGTCCGCAAAACGGCAGCACATTGCATTGATGCAAGTCACGTGTTTCCAAACAGTGCATCCTTAGAAGGCATGTACTTGGAGCCATGTCGATCCCTCGAAGTATATCCTTACAAGGTACCAAGAACCCCAGGAAAACAATCGAGACCCCTAATCCAATCAATAGCGGTTGTTCACCAAAAGAGATGCCGGGGAAGAATCGTCATCTTCTAGGGGTTGATTCCCCATTCTTTTCAGCCACCGTTCTTTTCAAAAACCAGCCATTTCCCAATGGCTTTGGTGGTTTTCTAGAAAGCAGGATCCCTGGAAAGAATGGGGAAGTGACCCCTAGACATCTACACAGGTGCCTGGCCATTGTCGACATACTCCTTGACGCGGTTGAAATCACCTGCCGCTGCCCGAATCGTGGGTGGAAGGATCGGAAAAAGCACGGCCAAAGAGACCAAAGATAACTTAGCTCAAATGGCCTTCCAAGCTCCTGGAATGGTGGTTGTCCTTTTGCTTTCCGTTCAAAACCGACCAAAAAACGGAGACAAGTAGAAAAGCCTAAATTCAAACACGAAACCCAAAAGGTCCAAGGCAGTCAATATGGGAGCTTCTCAGAATTGGGGACCCCTCAAGGCGCTTGCTTCCTGTTAGCTTCCCTTTCACACCGCCCACAAAAGAATCAAAAGCTACGGTTGATGCTCTGGAGAACCCAGTTCGTCAAGGTCTGCGAACGTCTGGACAACCTGTAGCTGGACATGTTTGCACATGCCTCCCAAAAAACCGCCGATACTTAAGACTCTTCCTAGCGTTGAGTCAAGAAACAAAAGTGCAAATCTATGAATGGGGTTGTCCCCGTCGAAATCTCACTTACCCGGCTTCTGATTGTGGCTGGCGGAGAACCCAAAGGTGCAAATCTATGATTCGGCTCCGGCAGGAGAACGTACCCAAGGTACATAGCCAAGACATATATACCCAAATCCTGCGGCAAACCAACTGAAAAGCCACTTTCTTGCTTGTCTCTCCTTGGACCTGCAATTCGAACCTGTCTTGCGCCCTACATCTTGCAAGTAAGGAAACAAGGCAATCCTCGAATGTGCCGCGGTTTCCCATAAATCTGTGGTTGGTTTACACTCCCTCAGGCTAACATGGAAGCTCCCAGAAAATGGAACCAAGTCTTCCAAAGGGGTCCTGGGAGCTCCCATGGAATCGTCTGGGGGAGGGCACTTGCTGCAGGGCAGTCCCCAAAAAGTCTCCCCTGTGCGGGAGACGCCGGCCTGCGCAGCAAGCTCCCCACCAAGTGTGCTGCGAGCCCTTGCTCTTCAAATACTCGCCTCGGATCGAACATGCAGAAGACAAGGGGATGTTTTTTGTTTTTCACAATGGTGAACCCATTTTGTTCGGTGCTGAAAGGGAAACCAAAAGAAGACACACATTGTTACCCTTACTTTGAAAAGAACAACCAAACAGGTATATTGCTTTTTGTCTCATGTACACAGACCTATTGCCTTATTGCCTTTTGCCCTGTTTCCGTGGTGCCTTAGTGAACTACCACATGGTGGAATGCCAAGGGTCGCATTCTACCATATTGCCCGACGGGTGCGCATCATTGCGGCATTCCTTTCTTGCCTTCGGAAGAAAACAAGTTTCAGAGCGTTGGCGCAGATCCGCACGGTCCGTACACATGTGAACGGCAAACACACGGCCGTGCGTCTTGCACGATTTCCGGATGGACCTTTTTGTTTGAGACGCGCGTAGAACCTTGGGATCCAGATGGGTGTATCTTTCTTCCAGGGCATCCCAAAAATGTGTGGTTGTATTTTAACGGGAAACCAGCAGGAAACCACCCGTTTGGTTGCCCGTCCGTGATTCGGGACATTTTTGTTTTCGACCATTGTCCCAGGCTTCGACTCACAGCCGAATAGGTTTTGGATGAAGTGTCAGGGGTTGCCTAGCTGTCCTCGTGAAATAGATCACACCAAAACGTGAGGTCTGACAAGAAACGCAGAGTCAGTTCTAAGCACACAAGGTCAGCAACAAACAATCAAGCGACATCCTAAACATAAAATAGAATTGAATAATACTAATAGTAATAGTAGCAGTAATAATAATAATAATAATAATAGTAATAATAATAAGAATAATAATAGTAATAATAATAATACTAATAATAATAATGATAATGATAATAATAATAATGATAATAATAATAATTAATAAACATAATTAATAATAATAAATAATAATAATAATAATAATAACAATAATAATAGTAATAAATAATAATAATTAATTAATAATAATAATTAATAATAATTAATAACCACAATTAATACCAATAATAATAATTAATAATACTTAATAACAATAATCAATAATAATAATAATAAATAATAATACACGTTATCAAACAGCAAACATGTGAGGTCTAAACAATGAGAACAATGAACTCACTTCCTGCGTGGATTGGCCAAAACAAGTAACCAACTTCTTGTTTACCACTCACATGATCTTGCCAAAAAGTGACTAAAGTCCACAGGGAGTGAGGAGAAGAAGCGCGAGCTCACGTCCAAATTCGGACGGCCGCGGCCGAAAAGACGCGCGTCTAATCCAAGGCGCAGATGGGGTGCTCGCTCGGGAACCTGAAGCCCTGCACATGGCACATGGCACATGTTGCTCCTCTCTGAGCAAAAGTGGAATCACGTTCTCTGGCTGGTGCGATAGGGGAAGGAGAAATGGAAGGAGCCCTATGAAACCATCCAACTGGTGGTTTCCTTGAAGACCAATTCCTGGCTTCACTCCCATAGTTTGCTTATTTACCCTTAGTATGTACTTCCTGCTACTTGTTTTGCTTTTGCTTTTGTTGACGTCTCCAGGCCCCCCCCCAAAAAAATCAACAAGGTGCCCGGATCACGCCCGGCCTCATAGCCAGCATAGTCGATGGCTCGCAGGCCTGACGGACTGGATCTTGAGTTTCCGGCTGGGCTTGGACCGAGCTCGGGCAGGCCATTTAAATCATGCACTGAAATTCAGGCATTCAAACAATGGTCGGGTTCATATACCAGGGGATTCAAACCGCCATTGTCAAGATTGCGATCGTTTCCCCACTCTGGGATTCAGGCAGGCCATCATGAAAACAATAGGGGGACATACAGCCACCAGTGTTTTACCCGTTCAGGCTGGTCATCTGCATGGGGTCCAAAGGCCATTCTTTTCATTCCGTTGAACCCTAGGGCATGGTTGATCCATTGAGAAGATCCTTGACGCTTGCTGGCGGAAAACTCCACCCAAATCCGGCTGGACCATCAATACGGCGGTCGACATTTGTCAAGATGGAACTTGGAGGGGGACCAAACAGCTGCGTGCCCCTGCCCAAAAAAAAAAGCACTTAGGTTGACTTCCTTTCAGCTTCTATTTCCGCATGTTCTCTGAGTAGGACATCGATGCATCGAAAGAGGGGTACCTTCTTCTTGTGGTGTCCCTTGCCTCCGCTTGGATTGGTTGCTTGGAAGCTCCTGGAGCTTCCCTCGATCGGATTTTTACGACAAGAGACAGCCGCAACTTCAATCGGTTGCGGACTCCAGTACACAGAAAACACGATGTTGGGATTATGTTGCAGATTTAGTCAATATACCCTAAACCATAGAAGGGTTTTGGATAAAACGCCAGGCTTAGCCCAATTGAAACTCTAAAAAGGGAACCCTAAACTGGGTCCTCCAGTAGGGTTCTTTTTCCGTAATCTTTTTAGTAGGGGAACCCTCCCCAAGAAAAGACTTGGTAAAAGTGCACTACTGGGGGACCTAGAAGGGATTGCGGACTCCAAGGAACAAAGTCAAATTGGCGTGTGCTATTTGCTGGAAGCTCTCAATATGCTTTGTGTCCTCAAGAGACATGGGAATTTCGAGAGTAAACCCCCCTCCCAATTTCCTCATGGTATTTTGGTGAGTGGACCCAATGTCATCAAAGGCCACTTGAGATACCTAAAGCAGCTCAACACGGTATGGGTCTGCATTTTTTGAAGGTACCCCTGATTCTTGTGGTTTCAAACGGACTCCAAATTGAAAACCACCATAGGGGGGTCCCCTGAGAAAAGACGCACCCATTTCAACTCCGGAGATCTCTCCACCCAGTAAAATGTGCGTGCGCGAAAAAACCGAACGAAGATTCTCAGGTCCCCACGTAAGGGTCTACAGATCCAACGACCAGCCCTGATACAACGGCTTTTCGATTGGCCCCGGAAATCTTGGCCATCTGGGGCACGCCGAAAATACTATGCTTGGGTAGTAAGTTGTTGGTAATCTAGCTTTTGTCAGAAGCTGCTTGTAAGTCCTCCGCAAGTGGAGCTAAGTGTGTTATTACGCAGGTGAAGACAAACGTACAAAACAGGTGGAGAACAACTTACGAACTTGGCTGAGTATCCAAGTGTTCTGGTTATGTTCTATGTTCTGTCTTCCCTGAGAAAAGAGTCTCGGGAAGGACCCAAACATGGGTGCCACTCCAGATCGGCACTTCTTGCTTAGCGCCTGCTCTAGAGAGCGGGCCGTCCAGATCAGCATCGAAATCCTCGACCAGCAACTGGATAAGATCCTGGCAAAAACCAAACCAACCCAAATCTGGCTGTGGGTTAAAAATCGGTACCCAAAATGGAACCTTAGTAAATGGACACATGGACTAAAACCTGCGATCCCCTAGTAGTTTAATTTTGACCCACACCCATCTCAGTTGCCCAAGGGACTCAGAAATTCCAGGCTGACCTTTGGGGCAGTGACTAAAAATCAGGGAACCATCAGGTTAAAAGGTCGATTCGCATTGGGCAAATGAGAAAAACAACAAGGGCTGCCCCCAAACCCTCTTGAAAGGCAGGGCTGTGTTTATTCGATGAAGAACTAACACAGGTTCTGGACATGGGTGATTCATATATATATATGCATATATATATATTGTATATTATTGGGGTTTGCTCCCTCGATTAATTGCCAGGGACCCAAAAGAACATTGGATTGAGAGGAATCTCATTTTTGAGGGCCTCATGTTTGGTTCCTTGCTGATTTGCCTGGGATTCAGTGCGCCAAGAAGACGACCCTCTTTCATACAAGCCATGCCTAGCTTGGTATCGCAGTCCATTCTTCAGAAATAGTGGCGGATTATCGCAAGCATCATTGAATCCAGTGCAAGGGGACCCTGTTGCTTTCGTGCCCCTCAACAAGGTCAAATCAAGAAGGGGTCCTAAGGCTCAGTCCCCCACCCCCCCGCGGAACACCGAGCCCCAGACAGCCAAAATTGGGCATTTTGACAGTGGCCTCTTTTACAGCCCCAGCAAATCGCCCAGATTGACCTGTCACCGCCCGGTCCCTTTCAATTCAAACACAACACCAACGTTCATGGCCTTGCCCTTTCCAAACCGACCAGTGGCAAAACGACAGCTAGCTTACGCAGCTCACTGAGTCGAGTCCGGTCCCAATTGCCCATCATGCAGGCAATCATCAGCGCCGTCATGTGGTTGCTGTCCAGGGGGGCATTCAGGTTCACTCCAGCCTGCGAACGCTGCCAGCTGCATGCCAGACGGCTGCGTTGCGGGGTAGATGTCAAAACGGGGATCCCAACAATGCTTGCTTTCCTGTGTCTGCTGAAACTAGCCTTAAACAACTACCCTCAAAAAGTTCATGCCGGATATGAGTGGTGTTATACACAAGGGTCAGCGAAACGGTTCACACAGCACAAGTAAGAAAACAAATGCAAGAAAAAACACACACCCTTGCATAGCTTCGAGGCTTGACTGATCAACACGCGAGTACAACAAACAATAACACCCAGACAATCCATGTACAGGTAATATTTACAAACTGACCCATTTGGAGGGTAAATGTGAGTAAATATTGGTACTAGATTAAACTCGGGTGATCAAGTGATCAGATCCCCAATGCTCTTCGTCGCAAGTCCGTCCCGGGGCTGGCAATCCAACGCCACCCTAGTTTGTTGGTTTCATCCAAAAGCCACTCAGAAAAAGGGAGCAACCCTGCAAAAAGTTTCGGGAAGGGAAAACTGCAAGAAGATCCAGGGCAAAAGGACAAGAAGTCGTGAGTCAAGTCCGGGAATGTCCAGTTGCTTTTCTCAAACTGGTGTTCAACCCCACAAACTGGCACCCCAAAGGGGTGACACTATGCCAGTGGGCAACGGAGTTCAATAAATCGCTGCAAAAACCCAGCTGAGAAATGCCTAAAATCCAGCTGACTTTTGATTCTACCAAGATGGTTGTAAATAATTGCCCTTTGGTAGACATCATTCAGGTGCGGATTCATGTCCAAACCACTTTTCGGGCGGTTCCCTAGTATCCTATTTTGTGGGTAAGCAAAGGAAGTGACTAAACCAAGAAACAATCCGTGTTTGTGTCCATCTTTCGCGAAACAGTACTAAGGTCATGTTCTCACTTCCAGAGCTGATTGGCCAACAAAAGGCCAACTGTTTATGTGCCGCTAAAATGGTCCAGACCCAAAAAGTTCAGAAACTCAGGGCGTGAGCCATATTCAGGGGTTAATACTGCGACTGACCTCCCCTCCATAGAAGAACTACTCCAAGAACCCAAAGTCATCCGTGCAACGCGCGAGGAAACGCCTGCAGGAGCTTCCGCACGGTGAAGACATCGCCGTCCACAACAGCCTGGCCGCTGAAGGCTCCCTACTTCTCGGTTGCTGAGTGGGTCGAGCTTTTGTGTTCCTAGGGCCGGGTTTTTCCTAGGGCTGGGCTTGGGCTGGTTTTCTGCGGGTTTTCGAAGGGAAACATCCCCAGCATCACCAGCCTCACTTGGCCCGGGGGTTGGCCAAAAACGTCGTTGAACTTTTTGTGTTCCACTCAAAGCGTCCAGGCTCAAAAAAGCGGCTAACGCCCATCATCTCAGGGAGCGGGACTTGGATCTCGTTGCCAACGTCCGAGAAGTAAGATCACTAGGGGCTTGAGGGAACCCATGACCAACCCCAGTTACCCTAGTAATAACAATGGTAGTTATAAACCCCTTACTTGACTTTGGTTGAACATCTGAGTAGCTCAGACCGAGCTGCTTACCTCCCACTCGAACAAGACCAATACCCCGAGCAGCATAACCACCCCAAGCTCGCAAACGAAGGGGTACGGTATGCCCTTTCTACCCCCTGCTCCAAATATCAGTTTTGTGGATCATAGTAAATACTCACCTGCTGAGTGGATGGCCCAGAAAAAGTCCAAACTTTATATTTACCACTAAAATGGTCTTCCCAAAAAGTTTAAAGTTCATGAACTCAGGAAGTGAGAATACCCACTGTAGTCAGGGGTTGACATCATACCTTGTCCTGAAACCTTTTGAAGGGTCAACAATATGATGGTTTTACTGCTGGCAACTGAGCCAAAAAGCATGGGTATAGACAAATCCGCCGAAAAGCTTTGGGCCATCCAAGAAACGCAACACCCCAATGCCATCGAATGTCTTCGCGCGGAGACCTGGAGGCCATTTTCGAGCCCTAACAAAATGGACAATTTAACAAAGACCCCCCACAGATGGAAGTGGTGTTTTTGGGTTCCATGTTAATCTGGTGAGCATGTGAGGGTCTAAAAAAAAGGAACCCCTTTGTTTGAAGTTTAAAGGGAAACACTGAGCTGGAGGGGTCACTGACTTTGAGCATCATCTATCCCATGCTGTGCTTCCAATTCCCGAAATGTTGCAAGTAAATCACGCACCAAGTTTTTGAGTGGACTGCCAAAAACTGATCAAACTGTTTGCAAAAACCGTAAGGTCCATGCAACCAGGGAGTGCGATGAAACCATGGCAATGCTTTCAAAGATCAAGGCGGTTTTCAAGAATAGGGACCGTTCCAGGTGCTTGGTTCCTAACACCCATTTGGGTAGCTCGTCCTTCTTTTCAGGGTTTGGGCCCCCGCCCTTTTGCTTTTCCCGTTTTAAGCCACAACAAAAGGGTACCCACAACAACGGACAGACCCGTTTAGGGGGGTCGGTGGCGGGTCGCAGGCCGCTTCCTGTGATCGTAGCCTATGATATACCCCGGTAAAGGAGTTGGCCTTGTTGTCCGCCGACATTGTTCGGCGTGCCGGATACCTAAGAGAGGGTTTGGGTTCGCTCCCCCCCCCAACCCCCCCCCACATACCGCGCGGCAATTTAATAAGGCTCTACTAAAAGTAGTCTCTGGGAGTGGGTGTGGAAAAAGCAGGGGTTCCAGGCTCAAATCCCCTGCCAGTTCGGGTCCTCCGCCTCCTGTTGCAGAACACGTTGCAAAATTTAGTGTTCTTCACCTCCTTTTGGCAAAACGTTGAAAACTACAGAGTTCTCAGTGTTTTTGGTTGGCGCGACCGTGGAACTCGGCAGAGCCGTTGAGGGAACGCTTTGGGGAAAGCAGGTCGGGGAACTTGGACAGTGCTTGGGCACTGCAGAGGGGCTGCTAGAGACACGTTGTAGACATTCAAGGAGGCGGGTGTTGTCAGCTTTGAACATCAGCGTGTTTTTACGTTCTCGATGGGAAGTGAGGGGGAATTGCAGGTACTGGCAAAAGGCCCGTTCAGGTTTGCTTCGTCGGCGACGCCTGGCTGCCGAGCTCTTGCGTCGTGCGGCTGGCAGACCTGATGGACTCCTTTTGGCGCCCAGGCTGTCTGACGTACCCCAGCAAGGTCAGGTTCAATTGGAGCACTGCGAGGCCGACCCCACGCGCGCGGCCCCCCAACTCCACCCTCTCCAACATGCTTTAAGTCAACACTTCAACCCCACAAAAAAAAACACACTCCCAGTTCCACCCCGTCCAAAGCCCACCCTACACACTTTAAGTCTCCTTCCCGCCCCCAAACCTCACCCCAACCAAACGCACCTCAAGTCTCTACTTCAGCCCCATGACGCCAGCTCCACCCCACTCAAAACTCCACGCTCTCCAATTCCCCACCCTCCCCGCCCCAAACCCACCCCCTTCACAGCAACTCCACACCCCCACTCCAACCCAACCCAACTCACCAACAACTCCAACTCAACCCCAATCACCCCCGCCCAACACGCGGCTGGCCAAGAGGAAAGAAAGGCCCACATGCTGGCGAAATTCTTCTTCTTGCCAGTCGGGACAACCCATGTACACAGCCGAGGGCTTGCCCCAGCGCACAGCGCAACGTCGCCTTTCTGGTACTTGCAAGTGATGTGCAGCGCTGCCCGCCCGGGCTGCAGGTAGGAGGGCGCCGTGGCCAGACCGCTTCGGAACACGACGAAACCGCCGCCAGCAGCACCGGGTCGGGCATCACCAGATCACCATGGGGACGGCGATGAAGCCGGTGCCCGTGTTGTTGGCCCACTCCGGGACAAAAGCCCCACCTGTCAAAGGTCAAGGCCAAAACCCGAAAGAAAATGACGTTGATGATGATGAGGAGGTGATGGAGGTGCTGATGATGTTGGAGATGGTGGGTTGCATCCTGAGACTGAGACGGTCTGATACAAGGGAAAAAGGGGGAGTGATGGGGAGTGAGCCGCGTAAATTGAGTAAACTTCTCAGCGCAAAACATGGCCCAGTGGCCCGCAGCGGCAATGGCGCGCCCAGCATATTGAATCCGGACTCGAATGAAGGGCAAGTGTTTGGGATTGCCATAGGGCGGCTGAAAAAATGGCTTGGAACGCGTTGCAAACTGACCAGAAACTGCCAAGCCCATCACCCGGCCAACTCCTGATGCAGAAGATGTCTGAAGCAGCGGCGGCGCCAGCAGAAACCCCGAACGTCGTCAGCTTGCTGTTGGCCGCCGACGCCTGCTGCACCACCAGCTTCTGGGTGATGCAGTCAGCCTACCAGATTTCCAGCCATGGGTCATAAGGCTCCAACAACACACCGCACGGAGAAGACCCGCTACCGCTGCTACGAAAAACATATCTCCCAAGCGGTCGCCCCGGCCTGCTGATCGCACGGCTTCCGCGCCTCTGAACATGCATTGCTTCGGCCATGGGACCTTTGCGCTCTACAGCTGCGTGCTTGGGACCGGTAGCAACCATGCCTCCTCCAGCCCTTCGGCTTTCTGGAGCCATTTCGACGCAATCGCTTCGTCTTTCTAGCTCTGCATGAATGGCGAGTCTGGTAGGGGATCACCCATCCACCCCCGCCAATCCAACCCTACCCCCAACCCAACTTCCACTCCCGTCCACTCCAACTCCACGCACAAAACTAAATTCCGCGCTCCAAATCCTCCTCCTCCAACTCCACTTGAACCCCACCCAGCCCAACTCAACCCCGCCCCAACTCTCGCCAACAACTCCACACCCGAACCCCAGTTCCACCACCCAACCACAACTCAACCCCACCCCAAAGCCCCCATTCACAAACAACCCCACGCCACCCACGTCCGCCGTGCACGCCTCCGTGACAGCAACCGAGCGGCAGAGCTAGATCCCACAAATGGCTGGCGAGCACCAAAGCCACTCTTCAACCTTTTGAACTGGGTGAATTATGATATTTCACTTGGTTTGGAAGGCTATTCCCCACATAAACCACCATTTGGGGTGAGGTTGTGTGAGGTCGTTAGAATTCACCCAGTTTTGAAGCTTGCGCTGGCCATCCAGGGCGACCGCGCCAATGTCGGCGGACCGAGCCGGAGGCTCTAAAGTACTAAAGTTAGTGGGTAACCCAGGACCTGGGTTGCTGACTAATGACACGGTCAACTCCACTGAAGGTGGCCTTCTCCACATACTAACTTGGTTGGCGGAACATTCAAGGCCACTAAGCGGAGGCCTGTTCCAACTCGTAGAGGTCGCTGGGCAAGGTGTCGCGGAAGTAGTCTCCGCTGTACCGCTGGGGGTACTTGCGCTCCTGGAGAAACGACGACACGAGGCACATCCAAGTAAAGAGCAAGATCCTCGAAAGGTAGGGGAAACTACAGTTAAAACACCAAATGGGTGTGCTTTGTTGGCATGGAAAGCAACAAGCAAGTACTTGGAGAGAAAGGTGGACAATTCGCCATTGACACGGTCTTCCCAAAAGTAGAAAGTCCAGGAAGTGACAGAAGTGAATTAAGTCAGGTCCGCCCCTCTGCAGTTCACCGAACATGCGGATACCAACCCCTCGCACCAACATGTGGAAGCTTCAAATGGTGAAACGGTCCAGTAGCCTGGGAAGCTGAGCAATAACACGACTCCTCATGTCCGCATGGAAAGATCCGAAGATCTCCCTAAGTTTTACAGAGTCTTAATATTCTCCCAGCGCGATCTTAAGATTCTCCGGGCACAAAAGAGTGTAAACATCGGGGGGCCCCAAAATGGGAACAGGGTGAAACAGGTGCGTTCATCGGGGGGCCCCAAAATGAATGATTTCCTTTTGATATGCCTGTAAGCCACCCCCTAACTGACAGCACACACCCATTTGGAGCTGACCGAGCTGACTCGCCGGACCTACGGCTTCACTGCTGTGGCAAAATCAACGAAAAGCGTGACGTTCGTCGCACCCAAAGGAACCAACAACCTGCGAACTTGTCTGTTTACCGTGATTCAACCCGGTCTTTTTCCCCATCTAGATTGAAAACCCCGGGGTTCAAATTCCTCAGGTGCAAATGAAAGGCCCAACTTTTGGACACCGAAAAAGGTCAAGTCGAGTCGAGCCAGGGTGAGAATTGCAACTTTCGCATCTCGTAGTAAAGCGGCGTTCACAAACCTTTGTGTGTGTGACTTTGTTTGGAGTTGGTACTCCTTTGCTGTGGCTTCAAAAGGGAACCAAAAGGAAAACCACCATTTGGGAGGGTCCACGTAAGAACATACACAGAATCCTAGACATCTAGCCTGAAAACCATGCCATGGGGAAATGGATAACACCGGGGCATACGATGGATGCCGCAAAGCAGTGGCAAGTTGCGGAAAATTCCAGGATGTTCCTTGGTTCCCTTCCTTGCAACATGTAGAGTGTCCACCGCACATTTACGTTCCATTTACATATGATTCCCTGTGTTTCAGAAGTACCATCCAGGCATTTTAAGAGACCTCATGAGAACGTCGAGGCTTCACCTTTGTCTCCCTTCCTGATTGGAAGTCCTAACTTTGTCTTTGCCACTGAAAGACCTTCCCGAGAAGTGACTAGAGTCGGCGCAATGAGTTTCCCAGCCCCCAGTAGATGTCCATTTGGACAAAAACTGGCACACTTGTTTGGTGGAGTGTAAACGGTCTCCCGAAACAGAAAAAATACAAAGAAGAAAGGAAGCAAGCTACTCTGAAGAGTTTTTGAGGGAACTGGCTTTGGATGGATTCCAACCAGACAAATCGCGTAGGTCTGGGTTACCTCAAGACCGATTGGTATGAAAATGGGCCCATAACCAAAAAGAAAGGCTGCTGTACCAAATGGAGTCTGTCTTTTTTCAGGGTACCCATTTTTTGGGGGCGGTTTTTCAAGGAACCCAACAGGAGAACCACAACCTTTGGAAGTTGCTCGCGAGATTCTCCCACCTTCCACCCGAATCTGGCCTCCAGCGCTGGATAGTCAAGGGCCCAGGATGGCAGCGTCATGGCGAAAACGGCGAGGCGTGGCGCTCGAGGCGAAGCGTCGCGGCGCGCGCGGATCCAACGCGGCGATCCGGAACACTGAAGGCCCGGTTTCAACGTTTGAGAGACGTGAGAGATAGGGTCTTGGAACCCTCTAACCGGGTTCTGGAACTTGATTTTGTATCTATCTATTCATTTGGTTTGCCTTCTTTTTTCTTGGGGGGGGGTGCTGGGTGGGGTGGGGTGGTAGTCGAAAATGCCTCTTCCGGCATGCATCCTTTCCTGGAACTGCCATGGCCTGAACGTCCCCTCCAAACAGTGGCAGTTTCAATTGGCCCCGCTTTCTACTCCTTTTCTTGCCGGTTCTCTGCAGATAATGAGGGAATGACCCCCCACAAATTCATTCCCAACACCCTGGGTCTATCCAAGCAAGTCTTGCTCGAGCTTATCACTAACCTGGTGGCCAGCAGTTTGGTGGTTCGGGGTGGATTCCTTTTTACTGTCTACAAGAACCAGGGGTTCAAATCCTCAAACCACCTTTTCAGCAAAAGCGAAGAATCAGTCAGCATACCCGACCCACCGATACAGTTAGCACTATGAAGATCTCAACCAGGAAATGGGTGGGAAATCCACAAGGCACCATGCAATATGATTGTGACTCACCAATGCAGGGGTACTTGTTTATTCTTTTTGGGGGTCCTTCTTTCTATAAAACCTCCGGAAACGCAGGGACAACTGCTGGTTCTTGAAAAGAACGATGCTTGAAAAGAATGGGGAATCACCCCCTGGAACCAATCTTTCCTTGGGATACTTGAAAAATCCAAAAAGTTTGGACTTGCCGGCCATGAGCCAGGCGTGAGGTATTTCTGCAGATATCACTTGAGTGGATGGCCCTCAAAACAGTTCCTCAAAAACCACACACACGCATAAGTGTTTGGGCCATTTTCTGTGACTCACTTCGTGAGTGGGTTGGCATGAAAAGAAACCACATTTGTTGTTTGCCACTCGAATGGTCTTCCCTCGCTTCCCTAGAAGTAACTCAAGTCGGAGCCCCGGAACTCAGAAATTGAGAAACTGGCAATTTAAGGTGCAGGGAGGACTCACTTTTCCCTCGCGAACCCTGAAATAAAAGATGATCACCGTTCGGCTTGCCCCTAAAAATGAGCACCCACAAAGGAAAAACCACAAGGTTAGATCCGGTGGATTCGCTTTGGGTGTTTCGACGAGGGAGCGATGCAAAGGTGGCCTTTTGAGAAAACTAGATGGCACTGGCAAACGGGGCATAAAACCAATGTAAGCCAGTCAAACTACCTGATCAACAGGACACCTACTGATGGACGAAATCCATTTCGCACCACAAAATGAAACCATGGAGCTGAAACCATTGTTAGAATTCACAGGGGAATCACCTCATTCCAGGATTTCTTAGGCGGTGCACAATGGATTTCGTCCAACCACACCTATGTACCCCACTGGTGGCCCAAGTATGTACCCTGCCCCACGCATATGGAAAAATGAAACCATGGAGTTGAAACCATAACGTGGGAATTTACACCCTGGCTGCGCGATGCCATTACTCGGTTGCTTTCTGCTCCCCAGCCAAAAGTTTAACTTTTAGTGGTTTTAATAGGGAAAACAAAAGCATGAGTTGGCAATGCACCAAAGCAATGGTGTCCCCAAGGGTCCCTCAGAGCGGGTGTAATTACCCAGACCAAAAGGGGTCCCTGTGACCTTTGATTTGAGGCCTTAGGGACCTTACACCGTGGCTGTGCGATGCCATAACCTTGGAAACCATACCCATGGCCGAAACCCTGACTGTGGGGTCCGCAGTTTTTTTCCGCCTCAGCCCCCGAAGAGCTCCACGCACTGCTGCAGCATCTGCGCCCGCGGAGAGGGCCCTTCCACCAGCAAGACCTGCGCCAGAGCTGAGCGCTGCCGCTCCAAAAAAAGCCCACGGGTGGGAAGGTTTGGAAGTGGATGCTGCTTGCCTTGCGTTTGCTTTGGATGATGAGGTGTGATGCTTGGTTGCTTTGTGCTGCATTTGGCATACTGATGCCCGATTGCCGAAAGTTGGCAGGACAGATTGCAGCGCTTGGCATTGCGTGGTCTTGCTTAGTTATGCATGAATGGCCGCAAGAGGCAATGTCAGAACTACCACGACGGTGCGTCGGCAGGAACGGCATATTCAACATGAACTAAATTTGAGCTAATTGAGTTGTGTTCGTATTAGATTATATCTAACACTTAGATTATATTTGGGAATAAACTCCTAACTTATTTTGTTGAAGATTAGTTGGAGTTTGCCCGAGACTATACGTATATTCTCATGTAGATCCCATTTGGAAAGGATTTGCTTGTATAAGCTATAGTTGACAATGTTGAACATAAACACATTTTGGAAACTATATCCTAAACAAATTATATTCAAAATTCCAATTCTAGTTGAAGTAAAATCCTATTTGGAAAGGGTATCATATTGGGACATGTCGGATCTTGCCATGATGGACTGCAAGCCCATTCGTCTGTGCTGACAATATATTGCAAAAAAAACTAAACTCTACAGCCTGCGCGCTGAAATCAAGCAAGACCTAGGCACCAGGGTCCATGGGGGGGGTACCATATATATATATATGTATAGATGATACTCTAGACTTACCATCCCCAAAAGGCAGTAAAACCAGGGTGCATGGGGGGGGGGGGGTGCATATATATATATATATATATATACATATATGTATATATAACAAAACCACACATACATATGGCCATTAACAGGTATATATATATATATGTATTAATATGTATATATAGTAGGTAGTAATGATGCGCATACATGAGCGACTGCCCCACGAAATGGGTATGGAGAGAGATTCACAGACAGACACCATTCTTCATCTACCACCAGTGATCCACAGGTCAAAAAAGAAGCCAGGGAGCGGAACCCTTCGAATGATCATTTTTAGACGAGGGCCCCAGGGACCCGTTCATTCCAAATAAAAGCGGGTGGACGCTGGCACCTTAAACCAACTTGGCAAGTAGGGTATAACCACAGTGACAATGGGACCAACCACAGTTACCGTACTCAGTTGCAACCATGGTCCTAACCTACTAAGTTTGCTGAACATCCAGGTGAATGCTCCAAATTCTGCGAGGATCCCGGAATCGGAAGGCATCCTCGCGTACGCTCCTTCTCAAAAGTCCCTTGGTATCTCGTACATTCTTAGTACCCAATGAGCTTTGGGCTCACTCATTCCCTGAGCACAATTGAAACAACCACAGGAAGTGAAGGCATGATAATTGGATTGACTAAAGTCATACATTTGCTTAAGCATGCCTCTTCCTTTTGTTTTTTTTTGTTTTTCTCATGTTTTCCCAGCATGGCTGCTCTACTTGCGATGCTGAGCTGGCATCCAGCGGGCTACCTCGACCCCAGACTACCAGCTAGCTTGAGAGCCCGGCTACATTTTTTCTGCCTGACCAAAAGGGACATTTCGATTGTCCAACGCTTTGCCCCGATTCTTAAGATCATTGGCCAAAACAACCTTCCAACCTTTTGATCTATCGCTACATGTCCAAGCCCAAAGAGTGACAAGTCCAGGAACTCAGGGACTCAGTTGCTGAGTCTCCGATTCAAACTCCGCCCGTTCCCTTCCACGCCCTTCGACTCCCCCAGATCCGTCGTTTCCTCAATTCCTGAATGGATTCACCGCCAAAAAGGGTTTACCACTAAAATAGCAACCAAACCCTCTAAAGTGACTCTTCAGTGAGCTCGCTGGGTATCCTCCATTTGCTGAAGTCCCCTGGAAAATATCGGAGAAATTGTCCAGCGAAATCGATTCCCTCTAAAAACCAACAGGCGGGAAATGAACCAGTCTTAGCCAAAGGAGTAGTGATAGATTCCACAACAGAAAGCAAGCGGGGGAAATTCCTAACCCAATCATGAAGGTCTCTGAAACGGGGAGAACCCCTTCGTCCCAAAAACCTGCTGGCCGCGAGTCTGCGACGTCAACGACTTCACGTCCGTCGCGTCGCCTGGTCCAAGGCCCGCTGCGCCATGTCCTCCGCCAGCGGCAAGTCCCCGAGTTGCGCCGCAGCTTCGAAGCCAGCCTCGCGAGCGAGCCGGTGAGACGGGGGGGGGGGGGCAACGTGGAGGCGCGTTGAACTACTTGAAGGGGATCGAGGCAACCATGGATATAACCCAAAAGCCATGGTGATCAGTCTCCGTGTGGATTATAACCAGCCTTCCTCGGCGCGGGACCTCCGGGGCCAAAAGCAAGAAAAGGGTCCATTGGGGGTTCAGGTAGTTGGTGACCATGGCTACAATTGGGGTAACTGGTTGGGTCCACTTTTAAATAAGGTTCTCACCTATTTACCTGATGTTGGTTGAACATCCAAGAAGGGGCAAAGAGGATGCAACAAAAAATGTGATTTGCGCTAGAATCCAAATTCCTGCGCGGAAAAGGTATGCATTGACCAGTTTGGAAGCTTCAAGTTTGTTGGACACCCAGCCAGTTTGGTAATGAGGAAGTTTGTTGCGCAGAAATGAAAATGAAAAAAGTGGGGTACGGACAGGCAAGGAGCAGTGAAGGCGCGGCATTTCAGGGCAGGATTCCCCCGCAGCTCGAGCTCGACCAAATCGGCCACTTCCTCCACCGTGTGATCAAGCAGGGGGGTTTGAAACGCGAGGTTTGATATCCGCAATGTTAAAAGGTTTGAGCCGGTGCCCAGAGTACGCCATCCACTGCCCCCGCCACAAAAAAGAAGGGCTGAGATTCTGAGCTTGAGGAAAAAACAACAACTTATCGATGCCCCTTTTAACTTCCATTTGGGTACCTGGCAGCACTGAAGTCTTCCTCACCCTTTTAAACATGGGCTCGTCTGCCCAAAATAAGGGGTCATGACCCCGTGTTGAAAGGGTCATGGAGACTTGTACATATATATATATATGGGTGCATTGAGGATACACTTTTTCGGGATTGTGGGAAACCAAAAGAAAGGAAAGCCAGCATGAGGATGCACAAACTGCCACGCAAACAGACCCGCCGCCCAAGCCGGCCGCTCCGAAATTACTGCGCCTGTCACGCAATCGAGCAAGTCACGAGGAGGCGCAAAGAGGAGCGAGTGGCGCGGACGACGACAAAACAAAAACACACAAGAGTGTGAGGAAGAAGCAAACAAAAAACGTACTCAACTTCTGAGTGGATTGGACAATCTAAGTCCTGGAACTTTGGGTTTACCACTAAAAATGGCAACCAAACGCTTCAGTCCACAAACATCTCTCGGAGTGAGGTCGTTGTGTGTGTGTGTGTGTCTCAAACACATTGGGCACACGCAGCTAGTCCTCCACCATGTCAGCCAACTTCTCCTCAGGAGAAGCCTCCAGCTCTTGAGACAGTCGCCACAACCTCTGGCGGCTCGCATCGCTGGCGTCTCTGTCCTTCCCGGTCAAAGTACACGCCTCACCTCAGCTGCCTAGTTTAAGTTGAGCACCGTTTCGGCCACTAAACATGGGATCCCATTGGAAAAAGCAAAGGCTACCTCCGCTCGACGCGAGCGCGAGCTAAGGGCAAGTGAGTCACAGGTGCACTGAAACTTCAACTTTCTGGACAACTCCTGCTGCCGATCTGCGCGAACCTTGTACAGGTCCAGATATGAGGTGCAAAGTTCCTCCCCCTGCTCGATGCGCCTCACGGCAAAGAGGGATTCCAACCCACTGCCGGCGTTCCAGCTGTTGTGCACGTTGGGCACGCAGCTGTGATTGAACCGAGCAATCACCTGGGGTGGTCGAAGTAAACCCCTGCAAAAGAAAAGACTATGTAGTTGAGAACTCGAGGGCAAGCCATGACTTTGAAAAACCAAGCCACGTTGAACACCGCAGCTGACGTGTTGCCCGAATCATCCTCAACCTCACTCCAAAGAACCTGGACAATAAAATACGTTTGCAAGCTTGATTGAAAATTGACCAAAAGGCAAAAACAACAAACGGTGAAAAGGTCGGGTTTGGACAACTGAGTCTGTTGAAGCAATACGGTCGCTGCTTAGCACTCACTCCACCATGGCAAAAGGTCCGAGTTTTGGGTAACTGATCCAAGAAACCAGCTACTACTACAGGACATCAACGTTTTTGGTGGATATTCTGCTAATCTGTAGAACATCCCTGTTTGCTATAAACTGAGCAGCGAAAAGTCCAAATGTTGGTTTTCTAAAATGGCAACCAAGCCCAAAAAAATCGACTAAAGTCCGTGAACTCGGGGAGTAAGGTCGTTGCATATCCGAGCAACGGGATAACTATTGGTCAGCACTCTGCTCTTCGCCGACCGCTCGGCGTCAAACAGCTGGGCATCAAAGAGTGCCCAGAAGTGCTCCTGAGTTATCAAAACCCAACAAACAAACAAACAAACAAACAAACAAACAAACACTTCCTGGTGCTCGGTAGGGAATGACCCAGGGTTTGAGAATAAACCGGAAGGGGATTCCTTTACTCGGTTGCGTTTTGCTCTTCTGCTAAAAGTTTACTTTTAGTGGTTTAATGGAAAACACATGAGTTGGCAAAAAGTTAGAGTCCGAACATCCAAGCAAACTGCGCCAAAGCAATGGTGTACCCAAAAATCCCTCAGAGCGGATGTACCCAAACGGAAAGGGGTCACAAGGGACCTTTAAGGCCTCAGGGCTGCTGGTTTCCAATATAACAGGTAACCAGGTACAGCCATCATGTATATAAGCCGAGGTAAGAAACCCTGGTTGCCTAGTATAGCGGCAACAGAAAGAACTGGGCCATTCAAAACCTGGTAGTAGAATGGTATACCCAAAAAACCTTTGGTAAAGGATTGAAATGCGGACATGCGCACCTACTGCGGATGGGCGAAATCCTGCACCACCTAAGAAACCCTGGATTGCTGATTCCCTTGTAAATACCGAACAAACAATACAACGGTTTCAGCCATGGTTTTTTCAAAGGTGGTGCGCAACAAATTTCGTCCATCCACGGTATGGTTTGGGATCGTCCCTTGCTCCCATCCGCGCGGATTTTGATCCTGGCTCGCCTGCTGCTCGTTGGGCAACTCATCCAACAAGCGCTCCACATCCGCGTCCGTCTGCGAAGCCAAATGCTCATAGGGCAGCAACAGCAAGGGCTTTTCAGAAACCTGAGAGGCTTGCTTCCAGTTGGTGAAGACCCCTGAAAAAAAAATCCAGTAGTGGATAAATTCCTTTGAAGACAACCAGGGAAAATAAAAGAATATTCTTAAGCAAATGGAAGTCGCTAAAAGTTTAACTTTTAGTGGGCTAAATGGAAAACCCAACTAAACACTACAAGGCTACAAAGGTAAGGAACCGGATGGCTGGGAGCCACCAAGAAGCCCTTGCTTAAAAGTTACCTGGACTTCCTGAACTGCCTCTTCAACATGTTGACACCCCATAAATTTGAGAAACATAAAATATTGTTGGGGTAGGGTGAGGGTCCAGGTAGACTTGAGGGATAGGAACCAAACATATCGAAATGTAACAAGTAACTGGGCTGTCTTCATATCCCCTGCTAAGACCTTCACTTTTAGTAGGTTAAATGGACGCCACCAAGCCCTACAAACCGGGAAAAAAAACTAAGGAGTTGGACGGCTGGGAACCGCCAAGGAAACACACCCTCGCAAAAAAAAGAAGAAGAAAAAGTCCGGGGTCCAGGTAGACTTTTAGAGGGATATCAACACAACAGACCGAAATGCAAGCACAAACAACTCGCCAAACAAAAACAACAACTTATTTTTGTGTTCGCTTAGCAAAGAACAAAACAAACAAGACAAAACAAAACCACCAAGTCCAGTATGGTAAGCGAGCAACGATGAGCTCGCCAGCCTGGATCTCCCTCCGGGCCAGCACCCCCAGACCTTTCCCTTCCAACGGACACACCTCGAAGCATTCGCTTGGAGCATCCTGACCTGGGTTCGGCCACAAAAAAAAAACGAGCCATGCTGTTGGCCCTTGGCGAGAAATGATGAAGAAAACCACCAGGAAACATGTCCAGAAATTGTGACTAGAAAACCTTGGATAAAAAAATGTGTCCTTTGTTTCCAGAAGAAATGGTGAAATGTGGACTGGCCACAGACGAATACTCAGGAACCCACCTGGACATCCTGGACAAAGTTGACTGGCCAGAAAAAGCACAAACACCGAAAAAAGTTTCCTTGCGGCCGCAAAAATGAGGAAACAAACCAGCAAAGACTTGAACAATTGCCAACTCGACTGGTAACCGCCAGCCCCTGGCGCTCGACACCTCCGCGTACTACTCCCGCGGATGAGCACGCCCGCAGCCGCGGCAGTTGTTGCCTGACTTGAAACGGGAAGAAAGCGCTGTGGTTGCTCAGAACTGCGGCCTTAAAGGACAACTGGAAATTGGAGTTTGGAGGCGGGTGTGGAGACAAGCGAAGAACTGGAGTTCAAGGATTCTTGCCTGCCTTTAGTTGTGAAGATTCTTAGTGGTCTTCCCCAAAAAGATGAAGTGCAGGAAATCCGCAAATGAGAACCTCTTCTGAACGGGCAAAACATTTCGCACTGCCAGCGAGGCTCCGCGCGGCGGCGCGACAGCTCCGCACTTCTGCCGCGAAAGCTCGGCGGCACCGGCGCCAAAACCGTTGGCGGCGAAGCCGGCGCCCACAGCGCCATGGCACGAGGTGCTCCGTATACCCGCGTTTTCTCAGAGCCCTGGAAGAAGACATGCTACCAGTTTTTTTTTGCGGGGGACCCCAGAACAAGAACGCGTTAAACCTGGGAACCACAGAAAAAGCAAATACAAAACACATGTGAAACAATTTACATGGTTGACTTTGCATGCTTTTTAGTCGCCAGACATGTTATTGGGTGTGGTTGTCGAAATACAATAACCCCCAAACGGCTGGCGCTGGCAAATAGAAAGCAAGGACTAAAGCCTGCGGTCCCTTGGTGGTTTAATTTCGACCCATACCCACAATTTTGACAATAGGTCGACAGACACCATCCATGCGATTGAAAGGGTAGTGACAGAGAGTCTCTAGTCCCAATTCCCCTTGTCTAGTTTTCTTGACATTTAAAGGGAAGAACGGAAGCGTAAATCACATTTCAAGGGGGTGGCCCCCTCCCCCAAATCCAGCTTTTTAAACGGATAGTGTCTACATGGTGGTGGGGTTTTGTACAGTTCTTCAATCACTTCGAGGTCGTGAAGAGGCAAAGGTCGTGAAGAGGCAAACCTTGAATTCAGAAGAACCTGGAGGCTGCATAAGGGGGCGCCAGCGCGCCTGCCCCATTTGCGAGAGACGATCCCATTTTATCCGGTTTGGCGCACCTGATTCCTGAAGCTGCATGAAGCGATGCAACTACTCAGTTGCCCAAAGGACGTGGGACTAAAAGGTTAACCTTTTGGGGCAATGACTAAATATGGACCAAAACAGGAAAACCAAAAGGTCAAAAGGTTGGCTTTGGGCAACTGAGACTAGTGGGCCTTCGGATTCAGTTTGAAGGCAGTAGCTGGACTTCACCCGTGGATGAACAACCGACCATATTGCCAGTGGGAAAACCAAGAGGGTACTGGTTCAGATTGCACGTGAAACGCTGTAAATAGGGTTTCTAAGACCCCCCCGCAAACAAGATACCTGGATATTAATCACGGCTTCAAAGCCAAACACTCAGATGCCCAGAAGAGGGCATCCTTTCTTAGTTGGTTGACTTTAATGGGCAACCCCTCCCCCCAAACAAGGAGCAACACGGGCACCACTGGGCAACTGGGAACAACTAGCAGCAGAGAGATCCTTCAGCCCTTGATCAAGTTCAAGCAGCTGTCTGTTTGAAGTCGGGTAACCCCAAAATGGGCTGCCCTGGGAATTTGAGTTCCTGGACCCAGGGCCGGTCACTGGTTTCTTTCAGGCGGCAGCATCATTCTGATGCTTCTGCTGGTGGCAATTCTTTGCATAGTCTTGGGCATGGGGTTGCCAACAACTGCTAACTACCTTGTCGTCGCGACACTGATGGCGGGCGTAATGGTTGATCTAGCCGCTCAAAATGGTTTGTTCATTCCGCTCGTTGCTGTCCATCTTTTCGTCTTTTACTTCGGGATAATGGCCGATGTGACGCCACCAGTCGGCCTTGCTTCATTTGCGGCAGCTGCCATCTCGCGTGCGGATCCTATCAAGACTGGTGTTGTTGCCTTCGTTTATTCTTTGCGGACCGCAGTGTTGCCCTTCCTCTTCATCTTCAACACCAAGCTCTTGCTGATTGGGATAGAAGGTCCGCTGGACTTGTCCCTGACAATTCTAGGGGCGGTTGCCGCTGTGCTTGTATTTGCATCTGCAACACAGGGGTACTTCGTTACGCGCAACCGAATATGGGAGTCTGCAATCTTGTTGCTGGTCGCATTCACGTTGTTCCGGCCGCAATATTGGGTGGACCAAATTGTCCCGGCATTTGAAACGGTCCCTTTCAATGGTGCTGCTTCTTTTCTTGAATCAATTCCGTCAGGTGGTGATGTTCGCCTTACGGCGACAGGAGAGACGCTGGAGGGAGACATTGAGACGCGTACCGTCCTTCTGCCGCTTGGCGAACAAGCATCTGTGGATGTTCGCCTAGAACATGCAGGCCTCATCCTGCGGACGGAAGAAGGCGGAACCTTTGTCGATGATGTGGTGTTTGGAGGTCCAGCTGGAGAGGCCGGGATCGACTTTGATTGGGAAGTCCTGTCGGTCGAACTGCCAAATGATCAGCCAAATGCCTACTTCATGTATCTACCTGCCGGTGCCTTGTTGCTGGGCGTCTGGGTGTTTCAGCGACGGCGGCGGACCAGCCAGCTCGAGATAGATACAAAAAAGGCAGCTCCCTAGTTTGCCGCATTTTCGAACCACAAAAGTCTACAACTTTTGTTGAAAATGCTCAGGGGCCGCCTTCTTCGAACTCAGTAGGTCGCGATTATTCAGCCGCAGGTTCTTCTGCTGCTGGTGCCGCTGCGCCGGTCTCCTGACGGAGATAAGCAATCAGGTTCACCCGATCCTTTTCTTTCCGCAAACCAACGAAAGACATGTTCGTGCCGGGTACATAGTCCCGCGGCTTGGTCAGATATTCGGCAAGGTTTGCATCGTCCCAAGTGCCTATTTCAGCAGCGCGAGCGGTCATACCATCAGAGAAGTTGAAGCCGTCGACTGAGGCGACTGGGCGTTCAAACATGCCATAGAGGTTCGGGCCGATCTTATTGTCTTCCCCTTCACCAAGGGTGTGGCAGGCAGCACATTTCTTAAATACTTTCGCGCCTTTGCCCAAATCCGGCTCGCTTGCATGAGCCGCCATTGGCAGTGCGAGAGACAGGCCCAGAATGGAGAGACCTTTGACTAACTGGTTCATCACTTTCCTCGTTTCAGTGCGGCGCCAAATTTGAACGCCCGTACCCCTTGGTGGTCTTACAAACACATGTCATCTTACATGAATAGTTAAGAGGTCAACCTAATCACCCAAAAAGCTCAGGCAATGTGGCCGTATGACGCGGTTCTTGTGGTACAAGAAACTGAGGGAATTCGGTCAAAATAAGACCGTATGCTCGACAGGGGTTTGATCGGATAGGGGCAATCAACGCGGCTATGAGCGGGACCACGACAGCGACATTGGAAACCGAGGAGGCAGAGGTTGGCTTCCTGGTGCGTGCCAAAGGTGCGTGGACAGTCCGGCTGGTCCGTGATCTTGATGGACCGCTCCGGGAAATCAGCCCGAAGCGCGCACGTGGCCGAGACGCGGTTATCGACCTCACGGGCCTAACGAGGCTTGATACGGCTGGTGCCTGGCTGCTTCATCGCACCAGCGAGCAACTTAGGGTCGCTGGGCTCCGGGTTTCCTACCGCGGTGAAACAGCTGAAATCCGGACCTTATTGGATGTGGCTGAAGGGTACCGATTTGGTTTCAACCTTCGCTTGCCGCGCCCTCCTGCCTATATCCAACTCGCTGATAGGGTGGGGGCAACGCTTATATCCGTTGCGAATGAAGTCCGTGGCCTGTTGGGATTTTTTGGGCTTCTGCTAGAGGTTCTCTGGCGCACCATCAAGCACCCTAGCCGGTTGCGGGTTGTCCCTCTGGTTCATCACATGGAACGTGCTGGTCTTGATGCGCTGCCCATCGTTTGTCTGATGACATTTCTGATTGGGGGCGTTCTTGCTCAGCAGGGTGCCGTTCAGCTACAGAAGTTCGGAGCTGAAGTTTTTACTGTGAATATGGTCGCGATCACGTTTTTGCGTGAGATCGGTATTCTACTCACCGCCATTATTGTTGCCGGTCGCTCGGGAAGCGCTTTCACCGCTGAAATCGGCTCCATGAAGATGCGCGAAGAGGTGGACGCTATGCGGACCCTTGGGCTCGACCCTATGGACATGCTGGTGGTGCCCCGTGTTCTTGCCCTGGTCATCATGCTGCCGCTTCTCACCTTTGTTGCTGACATTATGGGTTTGGTTGGTGGCGCCTTGATGGTCTGGCAGATGTTGGACACGTCACCGGGCGTCTTCATTGTGCGTTTGTCGGAGGCTGCAGACTTCTGGACCTTTGGGGTGGGCATATTGAAAGCGCCGTTTATGGCGCTGGTGATTGCGATGATCGGGTGCTACGCGGGCATGCGGGTCACAGGAAGTGCCGAATCTGTTGGCGTACAAACAACGCGGTCTGTTGTGCAATCGATTTTCATGGTCATAGTACTTGATGCACTTTTTGCCGTTTTCTTCACTGCGATAGGGATCTGATCGATGACAGATGATGACCCTATTATTCGCGTAAGAGGCTTGCGGAACCAGTTTGGTTCGCAGGTTGTCCATGACAATTTGGATCTCGATGTGAGGCGAGGCGAGGTCCTGGGGATTGTCGGCGGGTCAGGGACAGGTAAGTCCGTGCTGCTTCGTTCCATTGTTGGCCTGCAACGCCCAACAGCGGGCACGGTTACTGTGCTGGGACGCACAATTTCTGAAATGGAAGAAGAAGAACGCAAACGGCTGGAACAACAATGGGGCATCTTGTTTCAAGATGGCGCTTTGTTCTCTGCTCTCACAGTGGCTGAAAATGTCCAGGTTCCCTATCGGGAACATCTGGGCCTTCCGCTGGATTTAATGGATGAGCTGGCGGCTCTTAAAATCACGATGGTGGGGCTGCCGTCTGATGCCTGTACCAAGTATCCGTCGGAGCTTTCAGGCGGCATGAGGAAGCGGGCGGGGCTCGCGCGGGCCCTGGCGCTTGACCCCGATATTCTCTTTCTTGACGAGCCCACAGCGGGGCTCGACCCTATTGGGGCGGCGGCTTTTGACACGCTGATACGAGACCTTCAAAGGACCCTTGGATTGACTGTTTTCCTCGTCACGCACGATCTGGATACTCTGCACGCGACGTGTGATCGGATCGCGGTCCTCGCTGACAAGCGTGTTACGTTGCAGGGGACCATGGATGATATGCTGCGCAGCGATCATCCCTGGATCAAAGAATACTTTACGGGCCCTCGGGCGCGGGCGGCGCAGGCGTCGGCAACCGGGTAGGGATAGAGAAGTCACATGGAAATCAAATCCAACAATATCATGATTGGCGCCTTCGCCTTGGCAACGATTGCAGCCCTGTTCCTGTTCGCGTTGTGGGTTGGCAGGGTGCAGCTTGATCGGACATATGCTTACTATGAGATTGTGTTCTCAGGATCTGTATCTGGCCTGACGGAGTCGGGGGTTGTCCAATATAACGGGATACCAGTCGGCCGTGTTGTTGACCTTCATCTGGCCGAAGATGACCCCAGCAAAGTGGTTGCACTTGTTGAACTTGACGCCCGAACACCTGTGAAAGAAGACACAGACGCCAAACTGGAGCTGTTTGGTCTGACCGGCGTGGCGCAGATTGAGTTGACGGGCGGTACGTCTACGGCACCGCCGCTGATGCCGCAGGCCGGGGAATCTTATCCGACCATTATCGCGGCGCCGTCTGCCTTCCAGGAACTCTTCATGAGTGCGCCAGATGCCATCGAAAATGCCAACGCGCTTCTAAGGGACGTGCGACTTCTGGTTCGTGAAAACCAGAGTTCGATCAAAACCATCGTGTCCAATCTGGAAACGCTCTCGGCGGAACTGGCGGGTAGTTCTGGTGATATTTCTGGAACATTGGAGAATATCAACACAATTACCTCAGACGTCGCTGCCGCGACCGGCAAGCTTGAAAACCTAGCGGGGACGGCTGACCGTTTGATGGAAAATGATGTGACTGCATTGGTCCGGGAAGCAAAAGGCGCTGCGGCATCCTATGGGCGCGTAGCGGACGAGCTTGAGCGCGTGCTGTCCAGCAATCGCAGTTCTATCAATAGTTTCGCACGAGATGGATTGGGTCAGTTGCCGCTTCTGATAGAAGAGGCTAGGGATATGGTCGCGGCGTTGGAGCGTTTTGTCTCCCGTGCCGAGGGCGACCCCGCTGGCTTCTTGCTCGGAAGCGATACACCAGAATATGAACCGGAATCAGGACGATAAAATGCAAAAGTCTCAAGTCAGGTTTACACGGTTTATGGGGATCGCGTTTGTTGCGGTTGCTCTTCAGGCCTGCGCACTTGCCGCGGTGGGAACGAATGAAGCACCTGACATCTACGTCCTCACGGCTCCCTCGATTGATTTTGGGCAGAACCGGCCGCAAGTATCGACACAGATTGTCGTGGACGCACCCGAGGCGCCAGCAGCACTTAACTCGAACCGCATCGTTTTCCAACCGTCCGCGAATGAGATCCGATATTTCTCGGGGGCGCGGTGGGCAGACCGGGTTCCTGACATGGTTCAGGTTCTTTTGGTTGATGCGATGGACCAGGGAGGCCGCTTTCAGGCTGTCGGTCCGCGCTCAGCGGGTATCCGATCTGATTATCTCCTGCAGGTCTCCATTTCCCGTTTCGGCGTAGAGAGCGAGGGGGCGGAGATGGATGACGTACGTGTTCAGATCAACTCAAAGCTGGTTCGCCGATTTAGCGACACCGTGATTGCAAGCCGGCGCTTTGAGAGTGTGAAAGAGTCTGAGAGTTCTCGAACTATCGATGTTGTGGGCGCGTTTGACGACGCTAATTCTGAAGTGCTCTCAGCCATTGCCCTGTGGGCCTATGACGAAATCATTTCCGCTGAGCGAGTTGACCCCGCCAGCTAGCACGTTTCAGGGCACCTAAGCGATCAGGAGAGGCGTCCGGTCGCCTGTGCGAGCAGAAGATAGACTTTCCCCGTATCAGAGGTGAGGTAGGTGTCTGCGAGGATGCCTTCTCGATCGCGCTCGGCTGCTTCTGTGAGTAGTTGCTCGAACTGCCCCATGAACTTGTCCGCATTTTCACGGAACTCGCGTTCGGCGGCGTATTTCTGCGATATCTGATCGTAAAGTTCTCGGCCCTGGAGGTTGTAGAGGCGGCGCGCGAAGACATTTCGCTCTCCTGCCTGGTACCGGCGCCATAGGTCTGCCGGTGGGCTTTGTTCAAGGGCCCGGTCAAGGTCAATTGCGATAGATTGCAGGCTCTCGATGATGTGTAGCGACCTTCTATGAAGCTCACCATCATTGGCCTGCGGGGTGGGGCGCTCAGCATGTCCTGCAGCGGCTAACAGATCTGAAATTCCCCAGGAGCCGTTTTCCGGGGGACGCGCGGCGCTGCTTTGTGGTGCCGCTGGCCGTGTAGTGGCGACAGTTTGGGCGACAGCCCGCTGTGGCCCGCTGTGATCCAGGTTGCGCGCATGGCGCACGACGATTTCGGCAATTGAGGCAAGGGCTGACACTTGGTCCTCCAGGACCCGCTGAAGGGCTTGTGCACCGTCTGCAGCTTCCTCGGGCAGTTCTGCCATCCTCTTTTCAAGCTCTTCACTAGCTGAGTGGAGCGCTCGTCCTGCCTCTTTGGCTGCGCCGCCAATGCCAAACATTGCTGCGCCTAAGCGTTCGCCAGCGGCTTCCGCATCTGTCGCAGATTTTTCCATTTCAGAGCGCAAATCCACAATGCGCTTATCAAGCTTCGTGGCGGCAGCATTTGATCGCGCAGTGATCGCGTTTTCGATCTCTGTCGCTGCTTTTTCCAGAGACATTGAGGCAGCCTGCGCTGCCTCCGTTGTCTGCTTGGCGGCATTGCCAAAGGTCGCTGTCGCAGCTTCCAGACCGTCGCTGGCGCTGCGTGATGCATCGCCAACGGTATTTGCGGCATCGTTCGCGGCGCGGGTAATGGCGCCCACTTCTCCGGCAAAGGTGGAGCCCAATTCCTTGGCGCGTGAGGAGGCGGTCTCCATAGAATGGGTGAGTTCTCTGGAAAGACGCGCAACGGCTTCATCGATTTCAACCGTCCGTTC